CAGAATCCCTTGTGCCTGCCACGCAAAACGACTGCGCCGAACCCCTTCGATTTTTTTCACTTTTGACTTCGAAATGTGCTTCGCGCCACAATATCGTGCACTTTTTCAACATCGCAACTTCCAAAAGTGCTCTGGGGCTGAGGTGCTTTGTTCGAAGTCAAAATGTGCTTCGCGCCACAACATCGTGCACTTTTTCCGCATCGCAACTTCCAAAAGTGCTCTGGGGCTGAGGTGCTTTGCACATTTTGATTTCGAAATGTGCGCGCCACAACGGCGTACACTTTTTGAACATCTGAACTTCCAAAAGTGCTCTGAACGTGGTGTGCTTTGTACATTTTGACTTCCAAATGTGCTTCGCGCCAACATCTCAACTTCCAAAAGGGCTCCGAACCCGTCAGTTTTTTACACTTTTGACTTCGAAATGTGCTTTGCGCCACAACGGCGTGCACTTGTTCGACAGCTCAACTTCCAAAAGTGCTCCGAACGTGCGGTGTTCTTAACTTTTTCACTTGCAAATGTGCTTCGTGCCACAACGGCATGCAACTTTTCATCTCTCATCTAACCAAATGGCTCCGCACCCGCCGCTTTGGCGAGCCTACTTTTCGACCCTCCGGAGCCACAAATCATTAGAAAAAACACAGTGTTTCGCCACTTTCCTCCTTTTCGCGCACCTAGATCTTCTTTCTTCTGACTCCTTCTCTTCGCTGATCTTCTCTCTTCTTCTCTTCTTCTCTTTTGTTCTCTTATCTTCTCTGACTCTTCCCACCTCTGCTTTTGATTTGTCCATATTGTCGGAAGTTTCACTTCTAAGCTTCCTTCGATAATATGTAACTATAATGGGGCGGTTTTCATGGAGTCAAGTGGTGGGGAGTTGACAAAACATGTTCCATAAATCGCCCCATTCTGGGCCGGATGAGTGTTGCATTTTCTGGATGATAAAGATACACCCAGATCTCAGATCCGCCCAACAGGTGGGCCCAAGGGTGCCGTTCCGAACCCAACGGTGCTCGCGCCGCTGTGAATTGAAATGATCATATCCAGTAGTTTTGGGTTGATTTTCCCATTCAATTCAATGCCTCTTTTCCAGCCATATTTGAATATCAAGCCTTACAGATGAGGTTCCTGTAAAAAAATGGAATGTCCATGGTCAAACAATGTTGCTAGAGGGTGAATATTATGCGACATGCAACAATTAACGGTTGATCCATTGGAGCATTGGCCAGTGTTGGGCTTCATGTTGAATTTCAAAGGGTTGGTCATTAAGAACTTTGAGCGTCACGGCTTCCTGTTCCTCAACCATTACCCTTTTAACAGACCATGTTTTCTCTTCGAATCCTTCATCAGTGGAAGGCTACCAGGTTGGAGCATTGATTTGCTGCCCATGGTTCCATGGCGACAATAAGAAGTGGAAACCCACTGCTCACGTTCATACTGTGGATATGTATACCAAAAATCACTCCTGCCTGTATCCCCTCTCATTTTCTGACACCTCTTTGGAAGCATATCTATGCTATGGGACCTCCTGATATTAAGAGGAAAGTTAGCTACCATAAATCCTCTACTAGGCAAGTTTCCCTTGCCAGGTTCCATCACCAAAGGTTAAATGGTTAGCCCTCTTTGGAGGTTGTAATCTGTATACTATCCCTTTGCAGCGGGCTAACCCCATGTAATCCCGAAATTATATACACATAATCATGTCATTATTATCATCTGGCCATTTTATTTTGACATATAGTATTCATGATTTAATGATCATAATATTATATGTATGTATATATATATATGACCAATTATTGCCCTCCCGTGATTTGGCATAGCCATGGAAAGTTGCCAATTTAGTTCGATCATTTACCTATTAACATACATTCTTCATGGTGACTTTCCATAGGAAACGGCTAAACTACCAGAGGATACATGATTTTTACATGTCATCATGGTTTTCACATGATAAATCCATGATTTCAAGTTGATACTGCTAAATTACCATAGTTTGGCAGTTTTTACATGATAAATCCTTTGGGAAACCATAGTTTACTAACCATTAAAAAATTGACATCCCGAAGGATTCCCCATGGTTTCCCGCCGCGGCCTATCACTGCAGAGCTGAAATTCAGTTCTGGCGGCGCAAGCTGCGTCACTGGTGGTGCCGTGGGCGCCTGTCGAACGCGCCAAGTCGGAAATCGCTCTCCGCGAGGCGGTAAAATCCACCATGTTTGCGGATTAAATCCACCATGTTTGAATAGATATACATATATACATATATATATTTAGAGAGAGAGAGAGAGATTAGATTATTAGATGGATGATATTTATCTATATTTATCTATCCTAATGTTTGATGTTTACCCGCTGATCAAAATATGTTCAGCCCGCATCTCCACCTCCATTGTTTCAAGCGTTCCCTCCACCACAGATGTGGCGGGCGAAGGCAGCTCGGTTGGCACCTGGAATCAGCTTGGCAAAGTCCTCTGTTCAAACCGTCCTTTCAAACAATGTACATACTCATATGTGTGTACATCTTTATTCTATGTATATATATATATACATATCTATCTACCTATCTATATATATATATGTACATACATACATATAGAGGGAGAGATAGATGAACAGATAGATAGGATAGACAGGATAGATTAGAAAGATTAGATAGATTAGATAATTAGATGGATTAGGTAGATTAGATGTATTACATAGATTGGGTAAATTGTATTAATTGGATAAATTGTACAAATTGCACAAAGTGGATAAATACTTTTAGATAGACAGACAGACAGACAGACAGAGACAGACAGACAGACAGATAGATAGATAGATAGATAGGATTAGATAGGATTAGAAAGTATTAGATAGGATTAGATAGGATTAGAAAGGGTTAGATAGGATTAGAAAGTATTAGATAGGATTAGATAGGATTAGATAGGATTAGATAGGATTAGATAGGATTAGATAGGATTAGATAGGATTAGATAGGATTGGATAGGATTGGATAGGATAAGATAGGAAAAGATAGGATAAGTTAAGATAGGATAAGATAAGATCGGATAAGATAAGATTAGATTGGATTGGATTAGGCTTGATTAGATTAGATAGATTAGATTGATTAGATATGTTAGATAGACTAGATAGATTAGATAGGTTATATAGATAGATTAGATAGGTTAGACGGATTAGATAGATTAGATAGATTAGATAGGTTAGAGGGATTAGATAGATTAGATAGGTTAGAGGGATTAGATAGATTAGATAGATTAGATAGGTTAGATAGATTAGATACGTTAGATAGATTTGATAGGTTAGATAGGTTAGATAGGTGGATAGACAAATGGATAAATTAATGGACAGATGGGGAGATTGACACGTTCAGAGATGGATAAATGGATGGACGGATCTTAGATGGACAAACAAATAGATAGACAATAGATACTAGTACAGAAGATAGATCGGGCAAATAGAGTGATGTACGTTGTATGTATATATGCGCATACATAGATATATATATATATTTATTTATTTATTTATTTATATATAGGTTACATTATTATATATATATATTATACAGATATATATATATATATACAGATATATATATATATACAGATATATATCTATATATATATATACAGATATATATATCTATATATATATACATACATGTATATATATACATACATGTATATATATATATACATACATGTATATATGCATATGCATATATATATATATACATATGCATATATACACATATATATATATACAGAAATATATATATATATATACAGATATATAGATAGATAGATAGATAGATAGATAGATAGATAGATAGATAGATAGATAGATAGATAGATGTATCTGTACAGGCCCCATGGATAGACATGCCTTCTTAAGAAAAGTATAATTCAGGGCATCATTTTGGGGAATCGAGTAGCTTCCTAGCTTCCCAGCAGGAATTTGAGCAGGTACTTGGATCCAGAAGGTCACGATCTTGGCATGTGCAGGATCTAATTGCGGCAATATTTTTCTCTAGCAGATAGACACCAGTTACCCTCCGGTAATTTAACATAGCTATTGAAAATGGTGATTTATATTGGATTTACCCATTGAAAATGGTGGATCTTTCCAGTTCGTTATGTTAGCCCGTTGACCAGAGGGTATCATATCAAAAAAAAACATTATTATAACCATTACCATCCATTATAACCATGACCATCCATTATCCATTACCATTATTATAACCATTACCATCCATTATCCATTATTCACCATCCACTAACCCTGCAAATTTTAGTGAGTTGGCACAATGATTCCCTAGGAAACTCTGTGGAGTCTCCCAGTTTTTATCCCTCTGGGTCTCCGAAACCGGCAATGCTTCAGGTGAATCCACTGGGGGCGCGGATTCACCTTAAAAACAGCGGTAGATCATATTTTTCGAACGGGTGAAGAATGGGGTTTATCATGCTGTTTATTATGATATGATATTAGTTTATTATCATTGGGATATTGGATATTGGTTTATGAATATATTGGTTGATCATATTGGTTTATTAATGTTTATTATCCAATAAGAGGGCAAAAATCAAAGACGAGGCTGTCCCGGAAATGTCTGCATCCAAGACATTGCTAGTGCTGCTAGTGCGACTGGAAAGAGGATCTCTGATACCAGTAGCGTGTCAGATGCTCTTGGCCAACACTGGATTCACTGGATGCACACTGGCGTGTGGGATTCCAATCTGTCCTCTCGGATTCAGCTGGTATCTCGTTACATGCTCAAAGCTCAGGGTTCCACTGAAAGTTGGAACATGTTCCCATAGGATCCATGGTGCTGCTATACTGTATATGGCAACATGGATCCCATCAATATACCACCTTTATGTTAGCTTGCATATAGCATATATACCAGCACCATGGATCCTATGGGGTTGGAACCATTTTCACATGCTAACGGATTCTGCGAAATCTTCTGGTCAAGTGGTGCCTCTAAAATTCTAGAAGGCCCAGACTCATCGCAGCTGAAGGCTCGGGTGCAAGGCCCAGTCCCTCTGGCACATGGGGCACCTTGCTGCGGTTTTTTTCCAGACCCTGCCACGAGGTGGGAGAAGAATTGGGTTGTTTCACTTTGTTGATGATTGGATTCCTATTTGCTGGTTCAATCACTAGTGTTAATGGTTAAATCACCTTTTTTGATGGTTACCCTCTAGTAAACGTTTACATAGCGAACTGGACAATCACCATCTTTAAAAACGGTAAATCAACGAACTCAATGGGCCATGTTCAATAGCAAACTGTTAAATTACCAAAGGGTACTGTAAAATGGGTGATTTTCAGGGTCTATGTGGATTGGAGGAAGGTAGTAGTAGGAAGGTCCTTGGGTGAAAAGATGTGAAAAAATGCGTCATTTGAGGGCAGGAATACCAAATATGTGGAACCACAAGGGATGAATAGTGGCCAGGCACGAGATCCAAAATATCGAAGAACAGCTTAGCACATGCGGAATGTAGGTAATGGTTTGGTGCCATGATGTTATTAGAATTTCAAGAATTGCCACAAATGGACAACGATCAACTTGACTTTTGGTGGTCACCATGTTTCAACCACATGGAAAAGGATCTAAAATCGTCATTGGGGATCATCATCCCAAGACATTCTCAGTGTGTCCAGGAAATGTCTGGAACTCGGGCACCCATGGGCACCCCATTTTTCCTATCAACGTTCATAGTTTGAGGTGTACTAACCATTTTCAGACACCTAAAACCACCAAGAAGCTGGACTTTCGCGGATCGCTTGTGGTCCCTATATACTGACATCTGGCGAAGGGCCCCGAGCCTAGGGCGGTTTACCAATCAAACATGCAATGGCAAATCCTTAGATTGTCGATTCTTGTGTTCCTCAAAAATTATCCGAAATCCTATTTATAGATAAAAAAAATCTTCTCACAAGATTGGAGTGTGTATGTATATATATAATTATATATACATATCCACTGCCAGCTTGGATTGCCAGATCTTTTTTTGGTGGGTTCTTAAAATATAGGTGCCCCCGAATCATCCAAGTCATGGATGACCATTTTCGTATATTTTAGTATATATAGTTTAACCCGTGGTGACGACTGGTGAACCTCCGTGAGGGGATGCTCATCCATGGGCGATGTGGGCGACGTGGGCTTCTCAGTGGGCACCTCACGATCTCTTTGTTTCCCAGTTTTACGGTGATCTCGAGATGGAACGGAAAAACCTGGGGAAACTATGGACAAAATTGACAAATACTGATCATGGTATCTCATATTGGATTTTGGGCTATGTTTCATGTGTGTTTGAAACAAATCCGTTTGGTTTAAGGGAAAAACTAGACGAAAACTCATGTTTTTTTCCACCCAGGCATCTGTGTCATGGGTCATAGGTATGTACCATCAAAGCTCTCTTGAAAATCAATGAAACTCAAACAATGACTGGCTTGGTTTGAATGAACATGTTGGAAGCTGGCCTGTGCCACCAAGTACAGTGTGGATAGGAATTATAATGATAGTATGGGGTGGTTTCTTTCAAATTCTGCCGTCAAACTCACAAACCAATCGTTGAGAAAGTAAGAAACTGTGAGAATGACCTCAACCTCTCTCTCTCTCTCTCTTGGCTTCAGCCCACAATTAATCAGGCCCCGTGGCTGCGATCTCAGCTTCCGTAGGCGAGGATGCTCCGACTGAAGATACCACACCTGGCTGATGGGATCTAATGATCAACTGAGGATGCCAATAATGCCGAAAATCTTTGGGGCGTCAAGACTCACAAGAAACTGGGGGAATCATAAATCTCTTGGCACTTCATGATAATGATAAGACTACGAGTACTGGAAAATAAATGGAAATAGTGGAATTGAATCATCCGACAAGACCCTGAAGCAAATCTACAAACCACCGGATGGTTGCACCAACCACGGCGTTCATCACAAGTTTCAAATGGTTTGATACTGTCTCAACCAAAGTTCCTTGGATCGATCTATATAATCTTCTTGCAAGACCTGGTTGGATTCCTTTTGTCTAAATGTAAATCAGTGCATGGGTCGCTTCGGAGGCTTGGCCAATTTGGGGGGCGAAACATTCTTTTTTCTGAGGTGTCAATCCCCGTAGGCCCACCTAATAACCAGTGATACCAACCATTGATAGTACAACCACTAATACCAAGTTTTTCTAACAGGGATTGGTATCACTAGTTTTCACACCACTATTGTACCAATTTATTATATACCATTCCTAAATACCACTAATACCAGTGATTATGACAAGTCGATGTCGATGTTGGCTTCCAACCTGACGTCCCCACCTGAACTTCCGGGAAGTACGGGGACATCATCCACGTCCGCCTCAGCGCAGTGACCACTGGGAGTGTCTCTGTTGGGAGGTTTGGGTCTTCAGTAATTCAACCTTGGGAAAAGTCGTCCATTCACAGATGGTTCTTGGATATTTCGCTATTGAGACTTGGGATTTTCCACCATGTTCATTTCTGGAGGCTACAGGTACTGAGAATCTTCACTACAAACTGTTTTTGGGGGCATGTACAAGATGAAATGATATCCCGAAGATTGGTCAAACACAGACGGACATGTTGAATCAAACACCCCGGTGTGGGAGCTGCGTGTGCCTGAAAATTGTATACTCCATATCCATCCATATCCCCATTTGATCCACTGATGAATCACCATTTTCCCTCTTAAGATTGCAAGTTTGGGGTAGACATCCATTTTTAGACAAACCCATATCCAGTTTCGATGCAAACAGAGTGTCAAGATGCACCCCATCGCTTCGAGTTGTTGGTGATTTGCCGTGATGTGATATACATATTCAATATGATGAAGTATATAATATTATAAAATGTACATGCATGTTATGTTACTACATCATATCATATCAGGTTTCACCAGCTTCACCTCAATAAATCAATATGTATATATATATATACATACATATGACTTTATATACATATATATATTACATACACAATTATCACAATATATACAAATTGAATCAAGTTGATGTTTCTGAACATTGAGTACCCCAAAACCCATGTTTTCCCATTAAAATGATCAGGTGTTGGTGATTCGGGGTCCCCCCATGTGAAGAAACGCCCATGTGATAGGTGGTGAATCTGCATCTATGTTTGCCACATCCCCATCATTGAAACATTGACATGACAAGAGACCGTTGGAGGAACTCCACCTCATATCGGTGGGTCGGTTCACCCTGGTCTGGACCTTTGGTTGATGTTTTTTCCAACCTGAAATCTGGACACACCGCCTCCATTTAAGGTGGAACCCTATTGTTTCAATTTTCAGATGGGGCCCTAAAAAATTACACCGGTGTGAGGCCCAAGACGGTGCGGGGAGGAAGTCAATGTAACAAATACACGCAACAGTAGCTATGGAACAGTAACAGATGAGGTTAGACACTATCGCAACTGCAGCAGCAGGACCTTCTATTTAGATCTATAAAGAGGATCTCACAAGATCTTCATAAAAGAACTTCCTATAAGCATCACAGAAGAGCTTTCATACAAGCACCAATGCACAGCATCTTCAAGATCTTAATGCAAGGACCTATTGAGGAGGGTTTCAACAGGATCTCCACGAGATCTTCTCACAAGGGCCTATACGAGATCATGTAAGGACACACAGAGGATTTCACCAGGACCTCTTCAAGAGCTTCTCACAAGGGCCTGTACAAGATCATGCAACGGCTTCTGACCGCATTTCACTAGGATCTCTGCAAGATCTCCTCGAAAGGAATTGTGAAAGACCTTGACCAAGATCTTCATGCCAGGACCACTAAGAGAATCTCACAGGATCGGCATAAAAGGACCTGCTGCTGCTGGAGTGGATCTTACAAGATCTTGATGCAAGAACCTCCCAAGAGCCTCCCACAAGAGCTTTTTGTACAAGCACCTCTAAGATATGGAATCTGCGAGATCTTCATGCAAGGACCTCGTAGAGAGGATCTCACCAGGATCTCCACAAGATCTTCTGTTAAGGACATCTACACGATCATGCATGGACCTCTTAGAGAGGAATTCATCAGGATCTCCACCAGATCTTCTCATAAGGACATGCACAAGATCACGCAAGGACCTCTTCGATGTCAGCAGGATCTGGGAAGGACCTGTACAAGATCATGCACGCACCCCCGGCACGATTTCATCAGGATCTGCACAACATCTTCTCACAAGGATCGTTACAAGACCTTGGTCAAGATCTTCATATATTATGCACCACGAAACCCTTGCAAGAGCGTCATAGAAGGACATTCCAGAGAACGCAGAAGATCTCCTTACCAGGATCCAAGAGAATCAGCTAAAATCAGCACCGTGGCACAAGGAGAGCCATCCGGCACGGACAAAGTCACGAGAAGGCTGCGCGAGCGATATCAAGATGCGGACTGCGCCACAACGAGAACCATCCGACAGGCACAAAGTCACGAGAGGATTGCGCGAGCGATATCAAAATTTGCACCACGCCACAACGAGAGCAATCAGGCACGCACAAGGTCACGAGATGGTTGCGCGAGCCAATGTTAGATTTTCACAAAACATTGCAAATGTCACAAAGGACGGCGCCTGCACCGAAAAATGACCCCGAGGCATCCAAAGTGCCGCAACTGCCACACGGAATCAGCATCATGTCCAAAAATGACGACAGTTTCACGAAACGAGACTTTCGAAAACATTCGACCCTTTCAAAAAATCATCCATGGGGCCAAATTCACCAAATACTGCGCCTGCCATGCAAAATGACCTCCAAAACCATCTCTTATTTTGGCCCACGCCTGCCACACACGGATGAATTGGTGTCCGATGTCCTACACCTGTCACGCAAAACGAAGTTTTAGGCCTCAAAATGCCCCGGCTGTCCCACACCTGCCACACGAAATGAACATAGCTAGTAAAACCAATTTTCGGAAGAGCCACAACTGTTACCCACATTTTGTGCGAGCCTGCGCAATCAAAATGCACATGGACACCTCACCATCCCAGATATTCCAATGGGAGTGTTTTCCATGAAATTGGGATGACCCAATGGTATCCAACAACACCCAGAGATGAGGATGAGTTGGATTGCCCACCAAAAAAGCTGGTCCAGGCACTTTCTGACCCCAACCGGGCGCTCAGATAACCGGTAAGTCCATTGGCTTCCACATGGAAGAAGAAGCTATGAAGATGTAAATAGATACCACTGCACTGGAAACTACATACCCATGTTCAAATATCATGAAATATCCATGTATACATATCCATTTGTGCAAATACGTGATATGATCGTCTTTCCACTTTTGACACCTTCAGTTTTTGTGAGACCCAAACAAGACAGCAGTCTTAGTATGGCTCAAAATGATCAACCTGCAAGAATAAATGGACAGTACAACACAAACAAAGAATTTGTGGATCTATCGGTAATCAAACACAGCAGAAATTCCCGATCAACGGATCAACGGATCAATGGGAAAATCATTGAAAAACATAGGGTGATTTTCCATTGCCATGTGAGCAGTGTTCAAAATCCCGTCATGAAAAACCTGGTTGGTTAAGAACGGGATTTCCCTATTGGATTATTAGAATCCCCAATATATAAAGGGTAGTATAATATAGTATAATCCCCGAACTAATCATCAACCAACACGGGTTTAGCAGCCACTGCTCATGTGTTTGCTTACAGCCACGGCTGCCCTCCCACGGGTGGCCTAGTACTGTGGGTTCCACTCGCGTCGGTGCTGTCGGCACCTCGCTGAAAATCCCATGGCTGGTGAGTGGCTTTTCACTGGCCAAATATGCATATATCATGTATAATTTGTATAATTAATCAAAATATATTGTATTATGCATTATTTGGGATTATATATGAGTAGCGGGCAGAATGGCAGTCGAAAAGAATGACATACAATATTTTGGGTGTAAGTATGCTCTGCCAGTTGACCAGCCTTGTCATAGGTAGTGACGAGCGTGGGGATATACCCAATAAACACAATTGGGGAATTAATTGACCAGCAAATGATGCATATTAGCCACTACATGCACGACTAAACAAAAGTGTCAACAGGAGACTCACCCCAGTTTAATCACCGTTAGGTCAACACCGTCGCAACGATCACAACTGAGGACTCCCGGCGGTGTCATCCCCCAAGTCCGACACGGGACTGGTTGGCATCTCTGTTGGCACCTGGGAAGTTTGGAATAAAAATGTGATGATTCTAAGTCTAACTTCATTGCTGCATCAAAGAATCTGATAAATCATGACAAATCCATTCTCATTGGTGATGTGCCCATGTTGATTGCCTCCACTAATGACACCGAAGACAAAAATGTATAGTGTAAGATAGTGTACTGTAATCATGTCTAAGCGTTCCATATCTAAAAAGACGAATAAGATTTCCTGGGAAAATATAGTGGAATCGACCCATTTCTTGGATTCAGCCACCTTCCTTAGCTGACACCCCTGACCAGCCCGTGGCCCCTTTCCTGCCGCGCTACCGGCATCTCCGAGGGCGACCCCGGGGCCGCAGAGGAGCCGGGACCCAGAAAGGCTGAGGACTGCAGACCTCGCGGTCAGCGAAATGACTCGTGAATTGTGGCAGAATAACTCTTGGACATGCTGATCCCATGTAGTGGGGCGAATCGATGTTTGGAATACAACAATGTGGACATTTACCAACCCTTGTACCGATGTTGATATTGGTGATACAGATTTTGCGATGCGGGTGTTTTCCATGAAATTGGGATGACCCAATGGTATCCAACAACACCCAGAGATGAGGATGAGATGGATTGCCCACCAAAAAAGCTGGTTCAGGCACTTTCTGATCCCAACCGGGCGCTCAGATAACCGGTAAGTCCATTGGCTTCCACATGGAAGAAGAAGCTATGAAGATCTGAATAGATACCACTGCACTGGAAACTACATACACATGTTCAAATATCATGAAATATCCATGTATACATATCCATTTGTGCAAATAAGTGATATGATCGTCTCTCCACTTTTGACACCTTCAGTTTTTGTGAGACCCAAACAAGACAGCAGTCTTAGTATGGCTCAAAATGATCAACCTGCAAGAATAAATGGACAGTACAACACAAACAAAGAATTTGTGGATCTATCGGTAATCAAACACAGCAGAAATTCCCGATCAACGGATCAACGGATCAATGGGAAAATCATTGAAAAACATAGGGTGGTTTTCCATTGCCATGTGAGCAGTGTTCAAAATCCCGTCATGAAAAACCTGGTTGGTTAAGAACGGGATTTCCCTATTGGATTATTAGAATCCCCAATATATAAAGGGTAGTATAATATAGTATCGTCCCCGAACCTCTCATCAACCAACACGGGTTTAGCAGCCACTGCTCATGTGTTTGCTTACAGCCACGGCTGCCCTCCCACGGGTGGCCTAGTACTGTGGGTTCCACTCGCGTCGGTGCTGTCGGCACCTCGCTGAAAATCCCATGGCTGGCGAGTGGCTTTTCATTGGCCAAATATGCATATATCATGTATAATTTGTATAATTAATCACAGTATATTGTACCAGTAGTACCGCACAAGGCGGTGGCGGAAGTTTCAAAAATAGGAAACCTATAGGAGAAGTTGGTTGTTGTGAATCAGGGATGGCAGAGCGAAGCCACTGATTGACCGAAAGGTGGTTGGAGTTGTGTTTGCTGGAATGGTTGCAATGGTTGCAGTGGTCACCTCACCCACAACTGCTGGATGTAGTGTGATGTACTGCAACTGTAGTTGTAGTTGTAGCGTAGTGGAGTTGTAGTTGTGGTGTAATGTAATTAGTGTAGTGTAGTTGCAGTCATATAGTTGTAGCTGTAGTTGTTTTGTATTTGTAGTTGTAGTTGTTGTAGTTGTAGTTGTTGTGTGGTTGTAGTTGTTGTGTAGTGTTGTAGTAGTAGTAGTAGTAGTTGTTGTTGTTGTTGTTGTAGTGTTGTGGTTGCGTTGTTGTTGTAGTTGTAGTTGTAGTTGTCTGTTGTTGTAGATGTAGCTGTAGTTGTTGTAGTTGAGTTCTAGTTCTAGTTGTAGTTGTTGTGTAGTTGTAATTGTAGAAAAATTGAGTTGTAGTTGTGAGTTCCTTGTTGTAGGTGGTGTGTTGTTGCTGTTGCTGTTGCTGTTGGCTGTTTGTTGGTGTGGGGTTGCTGTTGTTGTTGGAGCTGTGGAGTTGTAGTTCTAGTTGTATAGTTGTAGTGGTGTGTAGTTGGTATGTAGTGTAGGGGTAGTTGTAGTTGTTGTTGTTGTGGTTGGTGTTGTTGTTGTTGTTGTTGCTGTTGTCGTCGAAGTTAGGGTAGTTAAGTTAGTGAAGTTAGTTAAGTTAGTCAAGTTAGTTAAGTTAAGCAGTGTCTACTTTTTCGACATCTTAACGTCAAAAAAGGCTCAAAACCCTCAGTTTTTTAAACTTTTGACTTCGAAATGTGCTTCGCGCCACAACGGCGTGCACTTTTTAGACACTTTTTCGACATCTGAACCTCCAAAAGTGGTCCGAGAATGGTGTGTTTTGTACATTTTGACTTGGAAATGTGCTTCGCGCCACAACGGCGTGCACTTTTTCAACATCTCAACTTCCAAAAGTGGTCCGAGGTTGCGGTGTTTTGTACATTTTGACTTCAAAATGTGCTTCGCGCCACAACGGCGTGCACTTTTTCGACATCTCAACTTCCAAAAGTGGTCCGACATTGGTGTGTTTTGTACATTTTGACTTCAAAATGTGCTTCGCGCCACAACGGCGTGCACTTTTTCGACATCTCAACTTCCAAAAGTGGTCCGCTCCTCTAGTGTTTTGTCCATTTTGACTTGGAAATGTGCTTCGCGCCACAACGGCGTGCACTTTTTCATGTCTCATCTGGCCAGCTGGCTCCGCACCCGCCGCTTTAGCGAGCCTACTTTTCGACCCTCCGGAGCCACAAATCATTGGAAAAACACAGTGAATCGCGACTTTCCTATCTTTTCGCGCATCTACCTCTTCTTTCTTCTGATCTTGTCTCTTCTGACTCTTCTCACCTCTGCTTTTCAACTGTCCATATTGTCGGAAGTTTCACTTCTAAACTTCCTTCGATTATGCATTATTTGGGATTATATATGAGTAGCGGACAAATTTTCTATGTAAAATTTAATGCCATGCACAAATTAATTAGGGTCGTCCCCTATCGGTTGTGAGGATTTCAGTCTTCCCGGAGGTATCACAAATGGGGTATCGGTATAGGGTCGTCCCCTATCGGTTTTGAAGGTTTTGTTGAACCTCGGAAAGGCCAAGGCGAAGCAAAACTAAATTAGTATTACAATAATTTTGTTGGTTACTCATATTATGCATTGATGCAAGCATGGGTGGATGGATGGATGGATGGATGGATGGATCCCAGACCAATCCTATTTGTGCAAATGGACATGATGAAAATGCATGAAAGATATGAAAGCATCCGAATTTTTAGGGGATGGAAAATGACAGAATCGAAAAGGATGACATACAATATTTTGGGTGTAAGTATGCTCTGCCAGTTGACCAGCCTTGTCATAGGTAGTGACGAGCGTGGGGATATACCCAATAAACACAATTGGGGAATTAATTGACCAGCAAATGATGCATATTAGCCACTACATGCACGACTAAACAAAAGTGTCAACAGGAGACTCACCCCAGTTTAATCACCGTTAGGTCAACACCGTCGCAACGATCACAACTGAGGACTCCCGGCGGTGTCATCCCCCAAGTCCGACACGGGACTGGTTGGCATCTCTGTTGGCACCTGGGAAGTTTGGAATAAAAATGTGATGATTCTAAGTCTAACTTCATTGCTGCATCAAAGAATCTGATAAATCATGACAAATCCATTCTCATTGGTGATGTGCCCATGTTGATTGCCTCCACTAATGACACCGAAGACAAAAACGTATAGTGTAAGATAGTGTACTGTAATCATGTCTAAGCGTTACATATCTAAAAAGACGAATAAGATTTCCTGGGAAAATATGGTGGAATCGACCCATTTCTTGGATTCAGCCACCTTCCTTAGCTGACACCCCTGACCAGCCCGTGGCCCCTTTCCTGCCGCGCTACCGGCATCTCCGAGGGCGACCCCGGGGCCGCAGAGGAGCCGGGACCCAGAAAGGCTGAGGACTGCAGACCTCGCGGTCAGCGAAATGACTCGTGAATTGTGGCAGAATAACTCTTGGACATGCTGATCCCATGTAGTGGGGCGAATCGATGTTTGGAATACAACAATGTGGACATTTACCAACCCTTGTACCGATGTTGATATTGGTGATACAGATTTTGCGATGCGGGTGTTTTCCATGAAATTGGGATGACACAATGGTATCCAGATGAGGATGAGTTGGATTGCCCACCAAAAAAGCTGGTTCAGGCACTTTCTGACCCCAACCGGGCGCTCAGATAACCGGTAAGTCCATTGGCTTCCACATGGACGAAGAAGCTATGAAGATGTAAATAGATACCACTGCACTGAAAACCACATACACATGTTTTCAAATATCATGAAATATCCATGTATACATATCCATTTGTGCAAACAAGTGATATGATCGTCTTTCCACTTTTGACACCTTCAGTTTTTGTGAGACCCAAACAAGACAGCAGTCTTAGTATGGCTCAAAATGATCAACTTTCAAGAATAAATGGACAATACAAAACAAACAAAGAATTTGTGGATCTACCCTCCGGTAATCAAACACAGCAGAAATTCCCGATCAACGGATCAACGGATCAATGGGAAAATCATTGAAAAACATGGGGTGATTTTCCATTGCCATGTGAGCAGTGTTCACAATCCCGTCATTAAAATTCTGGTTGGTTAATAGGGATTTCCCTATTGGATTATTAGAATCCCCAATATATTGGGTAGTATAATATACTTATAATATAGTATAATCCCCGAACTAATCATCAACCAACACGGGTTTAGCAGCCACTGCTCATGTGTTTGCTTACCAGAGCCACGGCTGCCCTCCCACGGGTGGCCTAGTACTGTGGGTTCCACTCGCGTCGGTGCTGTCGGCACCTCGCTGAAAATCCCATGGCTGGTGAGTGGCTTTTCACTGGCCAAATATGCATATATCATGTATACGTATAATTAATCAAAGTATATTGTATTATGCATTACTTGGGATTATATATTATGCATTGATGCATGGATGGATGGATGGATGGATGGATGGATGGATGGATACCAGACCAATCCTATTTTGCAAATGGAAATGATGAAAATGCATGAAAGCATCCCAGGGCATGGAAAATGACAGAATGGCAGTCGAAAAGGATGACATACAATATTTGGGGTGTAAGTATGCTCTGCCAGTTGACCAGCCTTGTCATAGGTAGTGACGAGCGTGGGGATATACCCAATAAACACAATTGGGGAATTAATTGACCAGCAAATGATGCATATTAGCCACTACATGCACGACCAAACAAAAGTGTCAACAGGAGACTCACCCCAGTTTAACCACCGTTAGGTCAACACCGTCGCAACGATCACAACTGAGGACTCCCGGCGGTGTCATCCCCCAGGTCCAACACGGGACTGGTTGGCATCTCTGTTGGCACCTGGGAAGTTTGGAATAAAAATGTGATGATTCTAAGTCTAACTTCATTGCTGCATCAAAGAATCTGATAAATCATGACAAATCCATTCTCATTGGTGATGTGCCCATGTTGATTGCCTCCACTAATGACACCGAAGACAAAAATGTATAGTGTAAGATAGTGTAAGCATGTCTAAGCGTTACATATCGAAAAAGACGAATAAGATTTCCTGGGAAAATGTGGTGAAATCGACCCATTTCTTGGATTCAGCCACCTTCCTTAGCTGACACCCCTGGCCAGCCCGTGGCCCCTTTCCTGCCGCGCTACCGGCATCTCCGAGGGCGACCCCGGGGCCGCAGAGGAGCCGGGACCCAGAAAGGCTGAGGACTGCAGACCTCGCGGTCAGCGAAATGACTCGTGAATTGTGGCAGAATAACTCTTGGACATGCTGATCCCATGTAGTGGGGCGAATCGATGTTTGGAATACAACAATGTGGACATTTACCAACCCTTGTACCGATGTTGATATTGGTGATACAGATTTTGCGATGCGGGTGTTTTCCATGAAATTGGGATGACCCAATGTTATCCAACAACACCCAGAGATGAGGATGAGTTGGATTGCCCACCAAAAAAGCTGGTTCAGGCACTTTCTGATCCCAACCGGGCGCTCAGATAACCGGTAAGTCCATTGGCTTCCACATGGAAGAAGAAGCTATGAAGATCTGAATAGATACCACTGCACTGGAAACTACATACACATGTTCAAATATCATGAAATATCCATGTATACATATCCATTTGTGCAAACAAGTGATATGATCGTCTTTCCACTTTTGACACCTTCAGTTTTTGTGAGACCCAAACAAGACAGCAGTCTTAGTATGGCTCAAAATGATCAACTTTCAAGAATAAATGGACAATACAAAACAAACAAAGAATTTGTGGATCTACCTTCCGGTAATCAAACACAGCAGAAATTCCCGATCAACGAATCAACGGATCAATGGGAAAATCATTGAAAAACATAGGGTGGTTTTCCATTGCCATGTGAGCAGTGTTCAAAATCCCGTCATTAAAATCCTGGTTGGTTAATAGGGATTTCCCTATTGGATTATTAGAATCCCCAATATATTGGGTAGTATAATATACTTATAATATAGTATAATCCCCGAACTAATCATCAACCAACACGGGTTTTGAACACTGCTCATGTGTTTGCTTACCAGAGCCACGGCTGCCCTCCCACGGGTGGCCTAGTACTGTGGGTTCCACTCGCGTCGGTGCTGTCGGCACCTCGCTGAAAATCCCATGGCTGGTGAGTGGCTTTTCACTGGCCAAATATGCATATATCATGTATACGTGTAATTAATCAAAGTATATTGTATTATGCATTATTTGGGATTATATATGAGTCGCGGACAGAATGGCAGTCGAAAAGGATGACATACAATATTTTGGGTGTAAGTAAGCTCTGCCAGTTGACCAGCCTTGTCATAGGTAGTGACGAGCGTGGGGATATACCCAATAAACACAATTGGGGAATTAATTGACCAGCAAATGATGTATATTAGCCACTACATGCACGACTAAACAAAAGTGTCAACAGGAGACTCGCCCCAGTTTAACCACCGTTAGGTCAACACCGTCGCAACGATCACAACTGAGGACTCCCGGCGGTGTCATCCCCCAAGTCCGACACGGGACTGGTTGGCATCTCTGTTGGCACCTGGGAAGTTTGGAATAAAAATGTGATGATTCTAAGTCTAACTTCATTGCTGCATCAAAGAATCTGATAAATCATGACAAATCCATTCTCATTGGTGATGTGCCCATGTTGATTGCCTCCACTAATGACACCGAAGACAAAAATGTATAGTGTAAGATAGTGTACTGTAATCATGTCTAAGCGTTCCATATCTAAAAAGACGAATAAGATTTCCTGGGAAAATATAGTGGAATCGACCCATTTCTTGGATTCAGCCACCTTCCTTAGCTGACACCCCTGACCAGCCCGTGGCCCCTTTCCTGCCGCGCTACCGGCATCTCCGAGGGCGACCCCGGGGCCGCAGAGGAGCCGGGACCCAGAAAGGCTGAGGACTGCAGACCTCGCGGTCAGCGAAATGACTCGTGAATTGTGGCAGAATAACTTTTGGAAATTCTGATCCCATTTTGGTAAGGCGGATCGAACCTCATGGCTTGGAAGAGCAACCTTTTGATGGTGAGTTGTGTGAATCAAAATGGGGTGATTCCTCATGAATCCTCCACTAATAATATGGAGGTTTCCGTCCAGGACTTAGGAGGTACCCCGAATCATCCAAGTTTTGGATGACCATGACTTAGGTTAACCCATGGTGACGACTGGGGACCCCCAATCTAGGAAACCCCCTTTGGGGCACCCCCATTTATGGAACCCCCATTACGATCTTCCAGATATTGCCCAGAAAACCATTGCAGCATCCCATGTTGGTGCCACCTACCTGGCACTAACAGAGGAGGTTCATCGGTGGTCACCTGACAGGTCATGTGAGAAAGTTTAACCCCCCCAACAAGAAACCATGGTTTAGGAGGATTTACACCTATTTGTTCCGTTTACGGGGTGTCAAATATTAGGGTGATGGGATTTCATCAAATCAACATTCCGCTATTGAAAAGGTGGAATGGGGTTCCGAAACTTTGAGACAGCTTCCATACAATTCCAAGATCCTGCATGGAGTTGGATTCACACCATGGATTCGCGATTCGGTGATAATCCAAATTGAGTCTGCAGGATGGGGCCCCCAAGATAGCGTTCAGTTGAGATATAAGTGGCTTAACTATATTGTTTGTGGTAGATATAGCTATAGATACTGCTTCACTAAACACTAAGCAATAGTTGGAGTGAAAATGATTCGGTTCAAGCTGCACTGGGCAGTGCCAATGCAACAAAGGAAAACGCACTCTCAACAGAACTGGCTGCAGGGCCCTAGCATGTACATGGAGGCCCCGAAGACCGAGCTGCCGGAGCGGGGGCATACGTGACCCAAAAGCCAGAAGGCAAGGGGGCCCACGTGAGCTGATCAGAATAGAAACAAAACAGCAACAGGCATCTTGCAGAGTGGCTGAGGGCGCGAGTCAATCCGCGCGCTCCAGCTGCTGACAGCTGAAACAAAGGTGAAAGTGAAACCAAGGGGTGAGAATGGCTTGGCTCAGACGTGGTCAGAAGAGCAAGAAGAGCGGATAGTGAACCCATCAGTCCAGGCGCCGTTGGACAGCTCTAGCGTTTTCGCGCTGCAGCGCGATACCCAAATTCACCAGTGCGGGCGGAAATCGCCTCACCCAAGGAGCGCCAGGTTTTCAAAGCGATGGGCCCCCAGCCACCACTGCACGCTTCAACAACGAGCGGGACGAACTGGAGCCCTTCACTCGTGCAGGCTTCCAAAGTGCTTAGGCTTAGATGCTGGCATTTCCGTGCTTCATAGTCCGTAGATGCGCTGCTGCCATCTGTCACGGATGCAGTCAGAACACTCTGTCTCATGCCCGAAGTGACGGCAATGTCGAACGCAGCTGGACCATGTAGGTGCCAGTTGGGGAGCCAGACATCGGCTGGCCGGCGACCACCGCCACAGGGTTGCTCCCCATCTTCTGGGCCACCTTGAAGTTCAGGGCGTGGAGGTAGGAGGTTGGGCTTTTCAACCTCGGGCTGAAGGCCTGCTGTTTTTGCCCGCCCTGCCAAAATGTTTCTGAGCTGATGGTGCCGCTTGACCCGATCAGGGACAAACGCGCGCATGGTCACCAAATCTGTCACAGGTGCCATCGCAGAGGGGGCAAGGGGTGTCAGAATCAGACACCGGCAAGCGAAGCCGCAAGCGAACCATGGTCCGAAAGAGCGGGGTCACCACGTGAAGCCCCAAGGCGGCGCTTGCGAGCATGGAGCGACGCCCCCGCGCCTTCTTGCTGCAAGAGCTGAAGATGCGCCCGAAAGGCTTCCCGACCAGGAGCAGGGGCCACGACACGGTCTCTTGTTGTCTGACAGGTTGCGGGGCTGGGACCGGGAGGTGGTCGGCCGGCGGAAGGGCCATGTTCACCAGGTTGAGAGCAGCATTGAAGTCAGGGTCGTAGCCAGGATCCATATCTTTGCACAGTGGCGCAGTAGCCCACAAAGAAGCAGCGTAGCCGGCGACACTGTGCCGGGCCACGCTGCGGAGCCCGAGCCCACCACACCGAGTGGAGAGTGTTGCTTGGAGCCACGCTTCCGCACAGTGAGGGGCCCGCTGCAAGCCACTTCGAGGCAGCCTCTACCAGCATTGTCAAACGCTTCCAGGGAGGGGCCGAGCCCATCAGGAGGGGTGACTCTGATGGAGTAAGCCATCCGACAATGGGAGGCACAGTGGCGGAGGAGCAAGAGGGCAGTTTGGGCATCCGGCAAGACAGCCAAAGCGTCTAGCAGTGGCAAAGCTTTGGCAACTCGCTCCGATGTTGTGAACTGGTTGCAGAAACGACCGTCTCCAATGGGCGCCCCCAAAAGGCTGAAGGTCCCGGTTTGGTTGAGGGGAATGTCGGGTGGGAAGAGGCTCATGTCCACAGTGGCTGCGGCCCCTCCACACGCCACAAGCTCGCATTTGGCGGGGTTGACTTGCAATCCGACCTGGCGTGCGCCCGCCGTCAAGCGGACCAAGCCTGCGCTGACTTGACGATATGAGCCAGCCAAGTACACATCATCCAGGTAAGCCACCACCAGGGAGGGTCGAAGTTCCGGAGGGCCTCCACGGGCAGCAGCTTGGAGGGTCCAGCCGCCGCAAAACTTCCCCAACCGCGATGGGTCGCACATCGTCAACCCCTTTCGGCAATGCGTGTAAGGAAGCTCCAGCAAGGTGGGGCGCAATCTCGGCCAGCGCCTCTCCGCGGACGAGCAGCTTCACAACATCGGCAAGCTGGACAGCCATCTCGTCTCCATGAAGGGAAGCGAGGGCCTCGCGAAGGTGGTCACCTCGAAGGCCAGTGGGGCCCGCGGCACTCCCACGGCTGAAGGAGCGGATGGCCTGGATGACGTCCTCCACCGCCAGCTCGGCCACAGCAGCTAAGGCAGGCAGCCCTAGAGCCGGGTGGGCAGGGGCGGCGCGGGGGTGTTTGGCTTGCAGCTTGGAAACAACATCAGTCGTGTTGTCCAAGAGTGGCGGAGACTCCAGGGCAGCACAGGCACGTGAGAGCTCCCCTTCAGCGGCCAAGGCACAGCATCCGGCCTGCCTGGCAGCCTGCGCTGCCTCTTCGTCATCGTCCCGAGGCTGGCGACGGCGAGGACCGGGCAAGTCTCCCCAAAGTTCCTCGCGCTCACCAGCCAGCCATCTGGCACAGCGCCGCTGGGTGAACTGCGCGGCCTGGAGGCGGTGCCGGCGTCCTCCACGCGGAGCAGGGTGGAGCACCGCCTTGGGGAGCTTGCAAGGTGTTGTTGCCTGCCACTTGCCCAAGGCCAAGCGGCTCGCGCAGCTTTGGGGACATGCCGGAGGACTGGGGCGGGGTCAGCGAAGACGGCTTCAATGGACGGCCCAGGCAGTGCCAGGCTTGCGGCAGGGACTGGCACGACAGCTCGGCGAGCTGCTGGCCGACAGCGTGGGTGCGCACCATTGAAGCGGGATGCCACTAACCCCCCACAAACCGAGCACAGGTCAAGGTGATGGCGAGCCCGATAGGCCTGTGGGACTTCCCCTTCCAAAGTGCCAGCGGCGTGATCTTCGAGGTGCGCGGTCGCATGGCTGCGTGGGAGGTCCAGCCACAGCCAGACGAAGCAGCGGCGGGGCACGCTGGAACGGGGCAGAAAACCCGCTCAGTCCGGCGAGCTGCCGGCGGGGATCGCTCACGCGCCTGGCCCAGAGGCATCAACCACCATTGGTTGCCGCTCGCCGCCGACAGGGGTGCCAGGGGCTGGAGGCCCTGGATTTGATGCCTCCCCCACACAGATCCCGATGAAGCCAGTGCGGCGGCGTAGTCGCCGGCGGAACCTTCCACGGCCTCGGCGGGGCACCCAGCAAGCCCGACGCCGGCGCCAGCGGATGGAAGGGAGCATTGGATCAAGGGGCAGCGCAGAGCAGGCCCATGCCTGCAAGAGGATGGAGGTGAGCTGGCGCCGCTGATGGTGACTGGCTCGGCCGAGTGGTTGATGCCGACGTTCCGGCAATGGTATGCCGCCAGGGGCAAAGGTCGGCTGACCGATGGTTGGCAAAGGATGAGGGCAAGAGAGCAGGGACAGAGCCACTAGCCGGGGCAGCGCCCAAAGGAGGAGCACACCGCAGGAAGCCATGGCGGGCCGCTGCTGGGCGGTGCAAGCAAGCAGAGGGGGCACACAGAGGTGCTCACACTTGGGGCCCACGGCACCGCTTGCCTGCACCCCCGAGCAGCAGCCTGGAAACCACTTCAGGGACACGTATAATAACTAATAGTCTAATGGTGTTTATAAACCAACTTATCACTGGGGGAGCACCATCCTGTGGAAATTCTCCAGAAATCAACCAAAGGCTTTAAATGCCCATCGCCCAAGCACAGACTGTCCTCGTTCTTGTGACTTTGCGTGCCAGCACGATTCCAGATTCCTGTTCCCCTTTTCATCTTTGAACCAAACCAGAACAAAAAACATTTTTCGTGGTGTGGATCCATCAGGGGGATCAATAAAAAATATGAAAATCAATGGGAAGGATGACATCCCATATATCATGGAAAACAAAAAATGTTCCAACCCTCTGGTAATTTGTCACATAACTATGGAGAATCACCATTTTTGATGGGTAAATCAACTATTTCTATGGTAAATCACCAATTTTGTCACATAAAAATGTTCCAAACCACCAACCAGAAATCATAGCCATTCACAGCCACACCTCCTTCGTCGGATCGGCTATGCCTGCCCGGGAGAGGCGGCCATGGGTGCTAAGTCTTGGGGAAAATGTACCGAAAGCCAGATATGGGAAAATACCAATGGATGTCCTATAGATGTTCCTATACCCTCCAACACCAATCCATTGAGTGAAATCTCCTGGGCATTCTGAGCTTGACATTTTTAGGGGTTTCCATATATTGGGGTACCCCAAAATGGATGGTTTATAATGGAAAATCCTATTAAAATGGATGATTTGGGGGTACCCCCATTTTAGGAAACCTCCATGTGCTCTTTTTTGCATGTGTCATCATATGTCATTATTGTTTCTACTCCAGCAACCCTGCCATCACCTCGCCTGGCAAGTGAGTTGGCTCCCCCACCTTTGCCAAGTGGATTGGGTCTCTGGGAGGTTGGCTTGAATGGCAGCAAAAATTCTGGAAAAGCAGCTTGATGGAGAAACACAGAAAACATGTCCCGTAAATGATGGATCAAACTATATATATTGTGAACAACTTATGCAGCTCTTTCTCCAGGATGAATATGATTCTTGGATGACCGGGGGGTTCCGAAGTCATCAGGGGCAACATGTACTTGAGTAGTCCAGCATTTTCCACCCAAAAGGTTGATTTGCTCCGGCGAAGATGTGCTTTGAGACCACGGAAATACAGTAGAAACCTGAGTTTGCTGGGTCTTACCTCCGATACTTGTCAGTTGCATCAGTAGAAAGAGAAAATGCTGAAAACACAATAGCCGAAATATGCTGAAATCCATCTATCAACCCAGATCTCTATCAATCTCCTGATTTCGCCACAGCAAGCTTCCAACTCCCCAACCGGGTCTCCCGACCGCAGGTTCTTCCATTGGACTGGTGGTGGGAAGTTCCGTGGGAACCTGTCCCCGTTTCAGGTGAAACTGGAAAGGAAGTGGTCAACCAGTGTTTCATGGGAAAATCGATGGGATGATGGATGATCATGGCGAAAATAGTGGTTAATGGATGGTGAATAATGGATAATAATGGTTATAATAGTGGTTAGTGATATGATACCCTCTGGTAAACATAGAAAAAACATCAAGAAACGATGGGAAATCACCATTTTATAGCTGGGAAAATCAACGATTTCTATGGGCCACGTTCAATAATATCAAAGTGTTTGTCATTACCAGAGGCTATTTTCTTGTAAAGCATGAACAGCCCCAGTCGCTTCAATTGGCTCAATGCTCAGGTCAAAACCCTACGTTGCCTCCCGATACTTGGCATGTCCAGCTGAAAAGTCCACGCAATGTTCTTGTTTCACCTCCAATATGGAAAACCCAAACAATTATATATTTTACTGCCACCAAAAATATCACCCACATTCCGGATGTACCGTTGGATAATCACATGTTGAGATCCCCAAATGAATTGAGGATTCTATCTCATGGTTTGAAACTCCAATCTGTTTTTTCCCGCCAAAAAATGCCACACATTGGGGCGAATTCCCCCATCTTTGGATCCGAAAGAACTGCTACAACATCCTCCAAGCCAGAAATCGGAAGTCTCAACCATCTCGCAGTGAAAGTTCATATGTTCTCTGCTAAGTTGACATGACGAAAGACCATTTATAAATGACCTGAAAATGGTAAAAATTGTGATGTTCAGAGATTTTCCAGTTCGCTATGTTAAAACTACCAGGGGGTTTTCATTTGGATTTGCCACATGATCCTCAACTCTATCCCCATGTCAATACGGGGGGCACCCCGGAAAGCTAATATGTTATCCGCAGTATCCGTAGACTGGGTTGACATTGTTGCTAAGCGCACATGCCAAAAAAATACTTTTCTAGCTGGCCAGTCTGTATCCCCAAAAAATAGGAAAAGATAGTACTAGACTATCCATGCAAGGCCCAGATAATCAATGAGATTCTAAGCATCAAAACTGGAAGTCTACTATTAATCCTATGTTGACATATGTTGACACTATCAATTTCCCCATTCAGATTCCCAAAGACTTTCAGTTAAATGGGTGTCGAACAAACATTGTGTTTGAGCCATCCCCTTTTAAAAATATATGGTGTTGTCATGTTTTGTCTGGAAATGGGTCTTCCCCAATTCCCATGGATTATCATCATAGTTCTCCAACAAAAACAGCTTAAACGGAGGGTATACCCCATTTTCAGACACCCCCATATGGATCTATCACAGAATCTTTAAGCAGTAAAAACATGTCAACCATCCTTGGAATACCCTCTGGTAATGACTAACAGTTTGCTATTGAAAATGACCCATTTATTATAGATGATTTACCTATTCAAAATGGTGATGTTCTATAGTTTTTTTGTATGTTTACCAGAGGGTATCATATCATTAACCATTATTATAACCATTACAGTATTATCCATTATTCACCATCCACTAACCACTACTGTATTTTCACCATGATCATCCATCATCCCATCGATTTTCCCATGAAAATTCTTGATTTTACCATTGAAAATGGTGATTTTCCATCGTTTTTTGATGGTTTTTGGATGTCTCCCAGAGGCTAAGTGGATCCAAAACACCCCATTGGAAGGGGCACCGGCATCTCTGAAGGCGACATCGCCAGGGCAGATGAAGCCACAGCCGAGGACACCAGGGGGCCTGGGCTCATTGGGCTCCGGGGGACCTGAAAAGTGGAGGAATTTGGATAAAAAAAGTGGGAGATAGTGGGATTATACACGAATTATTCCATGGGATTCCATACTTTTCTCCATGTATAGTGGAATAATTCAGGTATGATAGTGGAATGGTAAACCCAATTTCATAAAACTCATAAACCCCAAAAATCATCATAAACGGGTTCTATAAACCATCCCCAAATGAGAGGTTTTGTCACTGGGTTGACCACTTTGTATGAAATATTCCATAATAGTCCGCATTTTCCAGCTATAGTGGAACAATTTATGTATAAAGTGGAATAATGGATCCAATAATGATGGAAAATTAATTATGTATGGAAGAATAATGTATGATAATCACTATAATTAATCATCAATGAATAGATTATTCCATCTTCCTAAATAATTCCAAATTCTGAGGGGAAAATGATGTACCAAAAGTTTGGGATTTAGAGATAGGAAAATGATGCAATGACTAGTACGATTTTTGGGCATACTGAAATCATCCTAGAGGAAAATAGAAAAGCAAAAGATTTGAAACCAGCAAGTGGTTGGAAAATGCGGATGGAAACTCATTGAAATCATTGAGCATGATGATCTGGTGGCAATTGAAACCGGCAATTGGTAGATGGACAAAAGCACAGATGCAAACGTCATCATATACGTACCTGCGTGCGTACCTATACATATCTAAATCTGTGTTTTGCATGTACATATATACATATATATATATATATACATATCATTATACATATACATCCATATATTCATATCAATACCCAACGCGGACATGTCAAGCCTATGCGTCTCTGTGTTCACTCAGATTCGTGTAAGTACCAGGCCTGACGACCTTTGCGGCAGTGGAATTTCTGTTGCTTCCTCCTCACATGACATGGGGACCACCAAGACTGAGAAGGTAAAAGAACGAATAAATAAAACCACAAAACACCAATTTCAGAGGTCTGGCGTCTGCAGGTGGCCACTAACAAGCAAACCAACGAAGCACATGGTTTGACCCTTGCCCACTGCCCCAACATGGATTGTCGTATTGCATAAATCCTACTACTCGTGAAATCAGCAGCGAGTTCAAATACTGTTTGCACATACTAAAGAATACAAAGCATGTTTCTTCTTGCATCAACATAAAGTATGGATCCCGGATTCGCAGTAGAAAATTGTATTATAAGTTTAAGTTATGATTCGACATCTGACAATTACTGTACATAATTACCATGTTGGGTCATGTTTGGAGGTAAAAAACAAAAGTGTTGCGAAACAGCGCGAAACCCAACTGGCTGAAGCTGCTCCTGAGTGCGTTCACCTCCTGGCTGCGGCAACTCAAAGAGAGGAGTGGGTGGGACTTAATGCCTTGCATGGTAATCGATAAGTGGATAACCAGATATGGCTATGGATCAATACCTATACATACCATTTTTAGGGGGATGAACATCCATTTACCAGCTATTTTGATGTTCACCAGGGGGATAGGGTTTTGACCCATCCCCATATAATTATCAACATGTTTCGTTTGTATAGCTGAAAGATGCTGAAAGTAAGGGTCAGCAACTCATTCCAAACAGGCATACGGTTCCAAGTTGCATTACTAATGATTACATTGGACACTGAAAAGGTTATCCTCGATGCCAAAATTGAATTGGTCACATGGCCCAAACACATGCTGAAACCTTGCCCCTTCGGATGCGATTCTTGAGACGGGTGTAACGCCAATGTATTCGCCTCTGCTTGGTTCTTTCCCCTTCCCCTTTCTGAATCGGTGGTTGTCCGGTCCGAGCCCTCCATTCTCCTGACACCGTCGGCACATTGGTTCCCAAGGTGCGAGTGTCGCGAGTAACAGCCTCGCACTGCCGGACACATGCAACCCTTCCTTTACCAATCATTACGCTCAAGGATAGCATAAGGCGCTGAATAGCAGAATCGACAACTGTACGTGTACTGGGCCCCCCTTTCAGAACAATGAGCTGGCCAGTCCTCCTTTTCAAAAGGAATGAATGTGTCATGCAGGCATCAAGACAATACAATCTGAGCAGTTTACAAGACCTCACTGGTCACTTAGTTCTTGTGTGTGGTGAATACAAAGTATGGTATTGGGATACATTCACGGACTGTAAATGTATATATATATATGCAAAAATTATATATACGTATATATATATACATATATACATGTGAATTCATACAAGTACATATCTATATCATGTCTATCTATATATATATACATATATGTGTGTGTATGAGAACGTGTCCATATGTATGTCCATATGTCCATATGTCCATATGTCCATGTGTCCATATGTTCATATGTATGTATGTATGTATGTATGTATCTATCTATCTATCTATGTATCTATCTATCTATCTATCTATCTATCTATCTATGTATCTATCTATCTATCTATCTATGTATCTATCTATCTATCTATGTATCTATCTATCTATGTATCTATGTATCTATGTATCTATGCATCTATGTATCGATGTATCTATGCATCTAGGTATCTACGTATCTATGTATCTAGGTATCTATGTATCTATGTATCTATGTATGTATCTATGTATCTATGTATCTATGTATCTATGCATGCATGCATGCATGCATGTATGTATGTATGTATGTATGTATTAATGTAATGTTATGTAATGTTATGTAATGTTATGTAATGTTATGTAATGTTATGTAATGTTATGTAAAGACTGTATGTAATGTAATGTAATGTAACGTAACGTAACGTAACGTAATGTAATGTAATGTATGTATGGATGGATGTATGTATGTATGCATGTATGTGTATGTGTATATATATATACAGTTTTGTTTGTATCTTTGTGTGCATATGTATATATATACTGTATATATATCTAATCTAATCTAATCTAATCTATTCTATCTATCTATCTATCTATCTATCTATCCACCTATATATATGTTTATACATACATTATACATGTAGTATGCATATTATATATATATATATATTATACGTGTATTATACATATATTATACATGTATTATACATATATTATACATGTATTATACACATATTGTACATATACTATACATGTATTATACACATATCATTATAGATATATTATACATATATATATATGTGAAACTTGCCATGTTTGGTCTTATACTTGATATTTTTCTGGACAAATCCAGAACTCACCATGAAAAATTCACCAGGACGATGCCTCAGTGGGATCTTGTGGTGATTCCGCCGGGCTCGTGGGCATCTCTGTTGGGACCTTGGAATGAAGGAATGACAACACTGGACGATGTTCTGCAAAAAATGGAAACATGGGACATACCTTCTGGTTATTGAACGTAGCTATGGAAAATGGACAATTTATAGACCATTTATGATGATTTACCTATTTATAGATGATACAATATAGTTTACTGGAAAATAATATAATGGGAGAATATAATGTATGAATGTAATGGGATAATATAGGGGGATAATATAATGGGATAATATAACAGGATCATATAATGGGATATTATATCGGGATAATATGACGGGATAAAATAATGGGATAATATAATGGGAGAATATAACGGGAGAATATATTTGGATAATATAATCAGATACAAACGAACAAAAAACATGGGGGGATATAATGGGACATGACTATACTCAACATTGGGAAAAAAAACGCTCAGTGGTTGTCTTTTGTCCAAGAGTTTGACCCCTACCCGATTCAATTCGCAAATCTTATGGTGCACCGCTTGGGTTACAGTCAAGAAAAACTTCAGAACAGGAGTCGTACGGCTGAGAACCAATCAAATCAAAAATGAACCAGCGAATATTTTTTTTTGAGAGAGAGAGAGAGTCTACATCCACTACTTGGCAACCTATCAGGAGGAAATTATATGGAAGTATGTAAGTATATAAAATGGTATGATTTCACCTGTGTCTTTCAAGCAATAATTCAATATCCAATTCCATTCTAGTTCCCATATTGTGTTCAAGGAAATACAAGTACCAGTACCCTCTGGCAAACTGACAGAACTATAGGAAATCACCATTTTTCAGAGGAAAATCAACAAATTATATGGCCATTTTCGCTATGTTACTCATTACCAGAGGCTAGGTTCGTGCCAAGTTGGAAATCCTGGCAACCCTCTCTGTAAGGCTCGACACCGGCATCTCTGAGGGTGAAGGGATCGCTGAGCTCATCAATCCCGATGAGCCCATGGCGACTGGCAGATGCAACACATCATGGAATTCTGAGCATCACATGATCATGATGAGGAAAAAAAAACATGGTCACAATGGTCACAAATACCATGACCTTGGGTAAATTCTTGGCTTATGAGAATTGGCACGGGGGCTGCTTGAAGCGGAAATCTCCAGGAAATGGGCTGGAAATGGCTGGTGCACACCGGGGGTATCTACCAACGACAGGGCGTCAAACAAGTTGAGCAAGGGAATTCTCAAATCCCCAGCGAAAGATTGAGCAGGAAAAGGATCTTTTTAAGAAATTTTGGATCTTGAATTGCCATAAATAGATGATGATAATCCCATATTCAATATATATATATATGTATATTATATATATTTTTATTTATTTATTTATGTATGTTTATTTATTTAATTTATATATATATATATCGGGTAGTAGAACTCCCGAACTCATCATTAACCAACAGGGGGGTTAGGCCCCAAAATCTTGAATGATGGAGGCTGCCATGTTTCGCCCATGACTTCACATCCTGCCTGATGATCCATACGGAATTGGTACCTCTTCCGGCACCTAAAATGAGGGACGATCAAGTCCCGGCGACTTGATCAACTGTAGCGCTTAAAACACGGGAGTTTGGAGGTGTCCTAGGTCATGGGGGTATCCCCAAATCATCCATTTATAGATGGATCTTCCATCTCGAAGCATTTGAGGATGTCTTGATGGAAACCTCCATTTAGTAATTGAAACCTGCGAACGCTTCCACCACTTCAATACTGCAAAACCCTTTCAAGGTCTTTGACAAGCTGCCAGAAGCTCAGTTTGGAAAGCATTGGAACATATTGGAACCCCAAAGTAGAGAAGCCAGGAAAGTACCCTCTGGTAATTTAACATAGCTATTGAAAATGGTGATTTATAGTGGATCTTCCCATTGAAAATGGTGATTTTCCATAGCTATGTTAGTTTACCAGAGGGTAAACATATTGAAGTGGGTTTTCCCATCAAACACAATAAACTTCAGAATACAATCGACTGGTCTATTTTAGATGGCATCGCAATCGACCAGCACCAGGCTCCCGAGCTACCATCTCTGGCGACCCAAAGACGGCCGAGTCAGATTCACCTAGAAATCGTCAGACTTTTTGGGACGACCCCATGTTTCCATACCCTCTGGGAATTTAACATAGCTATGGAAAATCCATTATAAATGGAGGTTTTATTGGGAAAATCATCTGTAAATTGTCCATTTTCCATTCATTTTCCATAGCTATGTTAAATTACCAGAGGGTAACCAACAGGAAATGATCCCATCTAAGCTGAGGAATCCCCATTCTGATCCAAAAAAAACATGGTTTTCCGATGTTCGGGATCAATATCCCAATGAGCCAATGGGGATTGATGATTCGATATCAGAAAATGGTCATAATGGGATCATAGAAATGGTATGAAATATTCCATTTGTTCGAGAAAATGATCATATCCCAATATTTCTCGATACTTTTCCGATTCAATCAAATGTTGATTGCTGTCTTCCGACCAGCCATTGAATATCAGGCCTTATAGTTAACGTGATATTGCCGGTGAATATATTGTGCGATGTCTAAGAGATTCAAAGCAATCATGACCCAACACATCCCTTGGAATACTGGCCAGTCTTAGAATTCATGCTGAGTTCAGATTTGGTTGTCAGGAACTTGAAACAAACCATGTTTTTTTTGCTCCTCAACAATTACCCTTGAAAACAACCGTTTTTAATCTAAATCCTTGAACACTGGAAGGTTATGTACTAGGTTCAAGCATTGGTTTGTGGGCAAAAAAACACTGGGAATTCCGATTCACGCCCATTTCCAAAGGTTTTTTTTAGAGTTGTTACACAAAATAAAGACTTGTGACGCACAGGATTATTTGCCATGTTCGAGTGGCGACAATAGATGGAACTCACTGCTGCCATTCAGTGCTGAGGATAAATCACTGGAATCATCTGGTAAGCTGACCGCAATAAAGTCACCTCCAACATATTTACAATATAATATGATATATGTGTATATATAATGTATATGTAGTGTATATGCAATGTAAATAAAATGTATATACCATGTATATATATATATAATGTATATATATAATGTATATATAATGTATATATAATGTATATATAATGTAAATATAATGTAAATATAATGTATATATAATGTATATATAATGTATATATAATGTAAATATAATGTGTATATAATGTATATAAAATGTATATATAATGTATATATAGTGTATATATGATGTATATATAATGTATATATAATGTATATATAGTGTATCCACGTGGGTAGATGGTGGGGTAGTAGCACTAAGTTCCCAAGAAGTGGTCCTTTCAGTCCCTGCAGCGGCAGCCTCTCGATATGGCTAGGCAATATCACCCTGGGCTGGCTAAGCTGGCTTTTCCCTTCTGAACCACAGACTGAGCGTCATGAGCACAAATGCGTGCACATCGACCTAAGTGTTCTTTAACACTTTCATGCCCCCGGGTTCCTCCAGTTTCCACGGTACTTTGGGGTCACCAGACACACACTCGTCAGCATGTATGTTTTGTGCGCGTTGTGTTGTTTCTGTGTGTCCTTCAAAGGTCTCCATCCCTTCGCTCCTTCTCTTCCGGGCTGATCTCATCTTAGGATCGTTCACGATCCGCCAGGTTCCACCCATTTGATAAAACATTTCAAGTTCCTTAGCTCCACTCTTTGTAAGAGCGTTCCCAAGTTGGGCCTCAGAGTGAACCCACCGTACCCGAACAACGTTGTTTCTTTGAGCTGACTTTAAGGAAAGGAGTTCGAGATCTACCCTACGCTCTTGACCCTTGATAGACAACTCTTCCGTCTGAAGTTTGTCGAAAACATTTCTTGAATCAGATATCACACAACCAGGTATCCGATTAACCGTACTGTCAACATCAAAAACATTTGTTTCCGCTTCAAGGTATTCTCCAAATTGGTACCTAGCATGAAACAGATAGTCCTCTCCTGATAATACTGCTCTCGCCTCTGCGGCTCCCGGGCTTCTGGAAACCCTCTCTATCTTACTTGAGTGCCAAGCTACCGGAGTTACTTTTTCCACATACCCTTCATACAAACGTTCAGGGGCTATTCCCACAAAAATCCCTTGGGTGCTGCTTCCGTCCCTCCGGTTTTGACAAGCAGCATCAGCCCAAACATACATTCCCAGTTTTTCATTGGGGTGAAAGGCATGAACGATCATCTTATGTTCTTTTCTTTGCTTAGCCTCATACAGGAGTTTGTTGGCCCTGACTATTGTCTCAACATTGCTATCGGTAACTTCAGAGAGCAACAACCCTACTGATGCAGACAGGTGCGGTGCACATTGTTGGCTGTACCAACTCAAAGCTCCCAAAAGACCTCTGAGCTGGGTCTTTTCTCTGTCAGTGGTTGTTTCTTTGGTTTGTTTTCTCCTACCCGCACTCAAACAGATTTCGCTGACCTTGGTGAGGTATTGTTGTTGGCTCAGGTGAAATGAACCATCCTTTTGTCTTTCAATTTTTACCCCACACTGGACAAAATTGTTCTCTTCCCATTCTCCCCACTTGAATCTTTGTTGGATCCTTTTCTCCAAGGCACACCATTCCGGGTCTTTGGGGTCCCCAGTAAACATGAAATCGTCCACATGTCCCGCAACCAACCCTTTCAACTTACCATTCACCTTGAACATCCAACAACAGGGGTCCGACCAAGATTTAGTAAGCCCTTCTTCTTCTAAATAAGAGGAAATAGTCATGTACCATTCAAGGGGGGCATCCCACCAATCCATAACAACCCTGTTTGACTTTGACAATTTCTTCCGGGCCTAATCCCATAGCTTCGAGGATTTCGGGGCAAGGAACACAATACAATTCATTGGGATATTCCCTCCCCTGAAGGAAGGCCCCACTCACATCTCCCTTTTTCACACCCCATTGTCGCCAAGATGCCACCTGCAAAAGAAGCTGTCTTGTTTGGCGTGTCATGACCGGTGTTGTTGTGGCTCGAAACTCATACATGGGATCTTGGTAACCCTTTAAAATGGCCCTGGCCTTAGCCTTATATCCCCCATCATCAGTTCTTTTCCAAGTCAAAATCCACCGCATCCCAATGGTTTGGTCTCTTGAGGGTCTCAACTCGGGGGGTATAGCTTCAAACGCTTGGGCAGCAAGGTAGTTAGTGACCTCTTTGTGTTTGGCTTCCCGAAACTCCTCCCTTTCTTTCGGGGTCAATCTCTTTTCACTAACCTCAACAGCCCTGCGTTTCAACTGGTTCACAAAATACCCCCCCAAATCTTCCGCCATCCGACTCATCCCTCTTTTGGTTTCCGGGACGGGAATTTCAATTTGGACAGAGGCTTCGGGGTTCTCCCAAAAATGTTCCCCTTTACTTTCGTGGTACACATCATCAGGGACCTGAATCCACCAGGCTTCTTCGAGGTGTTCTCCCATTAAACCCTTGTTAGGTCCACTGGTTCTGAGGTGTTTGGGTTCTCCCCTACTTCCACTGCTAAAAGGGTCACCAGTTCCTCCATCTCTTGTTGGGTCGACTGGTCGTTTGCCCCAATGTCTCACCTTGGGATTTTGTCGCACTAAGTTCTGCTGGTCTCTCTGCCAAGTTGCCAAGTCCGGGATCTCCCCCGTGATGTCATCCATTTCATTTCCACCCAAGGCACTTGCCACCCGTGTGAAATTCCAGGGGGCTTTGTTTTCTTCAGGGTTCCCCAAAAATTCAAGGAGTTCCTCCCTCTCTGAGGCAGGTCTCAACTGTTCTGGACAGCACTTGATTAGGCGCCTTCCCCTAACCAACCAAATCGAACTACTTTCTTTGAGGTTCCCATAGCCATCCCTGTGTTTTTCGGTGGCCAAAATCCTTGCGGGTCCCATGAACATACCATTCTTTCCGGGGTTCTTACCACTCACTTGTTTCCTCCAAAAATAAACCATGTCCCCAGGATAGTAGTCATATTTGGGTTTCGCCCTAGAGTTCATCCCTCGGTTGATTCTCTGTTCAGCCTGCCACTCCGCCAAAGCTTGTTCGGCTTGTTTGCGCAATTGGATCCCTTCAACACAATCTTCACCGGGGTTAGGAACCATCAACTCATGTCCCTTATGGTTTTCAGGGGTGACAAATCTCCCAGTTTCATCGGGGGCTCTTCCCAAAACATGTTGACAGGGGGAAAAACCTCTCACCATCTCTCTCTCATTAAAGGTCTTCACCGCAACCGTCAACAAATCTTCGGGGTCTTTTTCGGGGTCTCCCTCAGCCAACTTCGTCATAACCATTTTTAACCCCTTCACAGCTTGTTCACAAGTTCCCAATTTCCAGTGGGCCTCCCCCGGTATCACGTCCAGGTAAATTTCATGTTGGTCACACATGTGTTCTATTTCCCGGCTCCTGAAAGCCCCCGCAGGATCTAACCGCAACACATTTGGGGTACCGAAAAACTGAAACCAACCATCCCTCAGGTATTCAACAACTTGACCGGCATTCATGGTTTGGTGTTTCCCCTTTTTCATCACTTTGGCAGTTCGGTACCTAGATCCCTCATCAATGACAACCACAAACTCATAGTCCTCATGAGAAACGGGGTGATTCCACTTGGCCCCATCCGCACTTATGGTCATCAACTTTGGGGGTAAAGGTTCCAGTGAAGCTACATGTTTTGACCCAATCTTCTTCCCTTCGTGACACACTGAACACCTGAAATCCTTAGCAAGTTGGATGATGCGAGCACTGGCTCCACGTTTCTGTAGTGCCGTCACAAGGTTTCTGGTGTTTGAATGTCCTGTGGAAGCATGGAGAAGATACAGTTTCCGTTTGATCTCCTCTTCGTTTGTTTCGTTTTTCAACTGCTGAACCCCACATGCCATTTCTGTTTCGGCGTTTGTTTCCGTTTTGTCCTGGTCCATGTCTGTTCCATCAGTTTGCTGCCTAGGGGGCTGTTGTTCGCGTGGTGGGTCTTGTTGTGATTGCGCATCACATACTTTTTCCTCAGATGCATGGGGCACCACACAGGCACCGCATTTCATTTCAACAGCATGTTCACGCAAACTGTGACACACACAAGCGATTCCTTCCCCAAAGTTGCATGGCAGGCACGTACGGCCATCAATTTCCCTCAGGAGCTTCTCGTGTGTGAGCTCCTGCAAAATTGGTTTCACAGCGCGCTTCGCAAACTCAGGTGTGTAGTACGCGGTACTTCTAGCTATACCACCATCACATTTCGCGTGTTGATACCCCGGTGCACAATTGCATCTCTGGTTCATCGTGTCCGCAAGATGTGCATGTGTGGTCATAAGTTTCCAACCCTTGTGCAGAAAGGTTTCGGTTCTGGGGTCACGCAAGTTCACTCGGCAGCCATGTGTCACGGCAGTGTATGGCTGGTACTTTTTCATCAGTTTCTGCAACATGGGTAACCTCCAAGCCTGACACCTCTCCGCAAGTTCCCAGGTCACATGAATACCTTTTTGGCAACAGTACTGAAAAATGCAACTAGCACCCACATACTGTTTCAAGGCTCTTTTCCGTTTTCCAGCGAGCTCAGCGACTTGCTCCGGTGTTCGCTGGTTAATAGCTTGCATGGGTGAGTAGGGGCCACATTCCGGGGATAACCAAACATGCCCTGGGTCCAGTTGGTCAATGAGTTTGATGCAGTGTTTAACCCCTTCGCCCGTTTCAAGATCACAGCCATTCCAGTGTGAACATCGTACTGCAGCAGTCTCTCTACCTAAAACCTTTTGAACCTCTGAGCTGAGACGGCTCTCTGGTGAACAAGCCACTTCCAACAGGACAGTCTCTTTGTTGAGGAGTTCTTGAAAGGCTTTTGGTCCCATATTCTGAGATTCTTGCTCGAAAAACCGAGCCATGGAGTCACTTATAGTGGTCACAGTTTTCTCGTTTGTTTCTGGTGACTCTTCTTCTACGCTACCAACTAAGCCTGCTGCCGATGCTACGTCACTCACTTGGGCTGGTTGCTCACCAGGCTGAAACTGGCCTCGCTCTTCACCTCGGTCTTCTTCCGGGGTCGCTCCTCGCGCAACTCTTGCAACTCTCCCTTCATCTCTTCCATGGTCGCCATCATCTTTGTCATCATGTGTTGGGCTTCGACCAGGGCTTGTGTTGAGCTGGTCGGTGCCTCGCTGGGCTCTGGCTCTGCCTTCACACAGGTCTCGGTCTCCCCTTTGGACTTGACATACTGCTTGGCCAGGTAGTGTGGCATTTTTACCTGGTCCTTGGGCTCCATGTTCAGCCACTTGACAAACCTGCCAAGTCGCAGGCTGTGTTGTCCTTCGCTGGCTGTGGTCTGCGCCGAGGTGCAGTAGCCCGCATGCTGACTCTTGACCTCGGCATAGGTCAGGCTGGCATGCTGTCCAAAACCCATCGGGTCCTGGCCATCTGGTTCTGTCAAGAGGTAGATCTTTTCCATGGCTTGCTTCTGGAGGACCGGGATCGTTTCCTGACCACTCAGAGTAAGGCCCAGATCCGACTGGCAAAACTCTTGGAGTGCTCTCTTTTTTCTTCATGGCCTGGTTGAGGCGCGTCACCCATGTCATCAATTCCGTTTGGTGGTGGCGACTGCGGCGCAACTTGTCGATGCCCAGTTCTTCCTCCACCTCCATCAGTCTCACCTTCAGCTCTGGGTTCTTCCACTGGGCAGGAGGTTCCTCCCCTAGTTCTTTCAGAGCCTCTTGGAGCTGATGACGGTTCATGGCATGGACGGTCGGCATGGCTATCTAGTTGTTCCGCTCTCTGCAACCTGCTGTGAGTGTCTTCACGGCTGGTGGTGGTCACATGTCCATGTGTGTGAGTCCTGTGTTGTGAGAGTGCGCGCTGTGTTTGTTTGTCCATGTCCACACACACACACCCACCATTACCAGCCTCAGCTTCTTCCCCCTTAAAAGTGGAAACTGGTTCAGTAACCCTGGCCTGAAAAATTTCCTCTCCCTCCCTTTCTCCGTCAGACCTCGGATAAGAGAGGAGTTGTCCCTAGCAAAAACTACTCAAACTGGGAACCGCGCTGTGACATTGCACAGAGTTGCTGTACAAGTTCTCAGTCAGCGGCAGAAGTTGGTGTCCAGATTGGGACCTCAGGGCCTTGATCACTCGGCGGTCGTCAAGCTTCCGAAAGACGATGAGGTCTGCCTCAAAGTCTATGATTGCGCCCAGTGACCTCAAAGTACTGATTGACAGCAACACAGGCCCCTGTCCTTCTTCCAAGGCATGTACCTGCAGGATGCCCTTCTGGTCTCCTGCCTGTATCTGAACTTTTGCAGTGCTCACGCATTGATTGCGGCTGGAGTTTCCAAAGCCGAAAGTCGGCTTCTGTTCTGGGTCAATCTCCAGAATGCGATCATCACTGTGTTTGCGGAAGTTCTCCGCGGCCACGGCTTCTAGGGCGTGGACGCTACCCAAAGTCTTTGTTGCTCCACCATCGATGATGCCATAGCCCTTCAGGACGGCCTCTTCGGTGGTCATGGCGTCCTGGTTCGTCACCATGGCGGCCTCATCTCGGGCATAGCAGACAAAAGGTGCTGACTCTGCCTTCTGTGCCTCTCCTGCTCTCGGTGCCTGTCGGTCTGGACAGTTGGCAATCTTGTGATTGCCTCCACACCTAAAGCATTTGATGGGCCCTGATTTGCTCTTGTACTTCTCAACCTCGGTCTTGTAGTATTGTCGGTTCATTTTCACCTGGTGTTGCTTTGCCCTTGCCTCTCTCAGCGTCCTCTGCGCCCTCTCGATCACTGCCATTGCCTCTTCTGCCTGTACTTCTGCATCAGCCATCATGGCCAATCCCTCTTCATTCATACCCTCCTCTTGGAGGCTCTGAATCGTCATTCCTTCTCCACCTATGGGTTCTCCATCTACCTCATCCTGCCAGTAGCTGGCCTGTTTCATTCCTTGTTCGTGGTCACGAAGTTCTTCTTCTGGCCATTGGGTGCGGAGTTCTTGGGCGATTCGTTCGCTTCCAAAGTCTCCCTGTACTGCCGTCTGGACCAGGTTCCTCTCGGAGCTGGTCAAGTTGGCATCCATCAGCAGGTACCAACCCTGCAGGAAATCTGGTAGAAGTTCTGGCGTCTCATGAAGCCATCTCTCGTTCTCCTGTGTGCCCCATGGTCCATAGTGGTCATTGTGCCACTGTCCTTGGTAGCTGCTGTGCCACTGGCTGGGTGCATCCCACTCTTCGGCGGCATCTTGGAAGTCCTCTGACTCCTCTTCCTCATTGTTTCGGCGCTGTGCCCATGGGTCCTCATTGTTCTCACTCTGGTCTCGCTGGCTCTGGCCGGTGTTTGACCAGTCATCTCGCCACGAGGTAGCGCTTCTCCTCGAAGGTTGCCACGTGGAACTCCTCCATGAAGCCTCGTCCCACCGGCTGCTGGCTCGTTGGTCTGGCAGCACTCGTGCAAGTGCTTGTCGGGCCCTCTGATACACTTCTGTCTTTCTCACTATGTACTGGTTCATCGATTCAAACTTCCTCCTCTTGCTCTGTTTGAAGTATCTATTCAGATACTCCGACAGCTCTGGTATCTGTGGCCTTCCAAGGCTCTTCCTCAGGTGCTGCATCAGGTATGTCACTCCTCCACTGAAGCTCAGCCAGTCCGGCCTCTTTCCAGTGACAAACTTCCTTGCCGTACCACTCATTTCCTGTATGAGCTTTGGCCCAAACAGGTACCTCTTCCCATAGGCTATGGATTGCTCCCATTGGAGCGCTTGCTCTTCATATTCTTGAAAGCTCGCTGCTTCCCCACTCCATTGGGGAACTCCTTCTTTGTTTCGGCTGATGCCCTCCACCATCTCTCCACGGCTTTCTCAAAGGGTCGTAGACCGCTTTGAGCTCTTGGCTTTCTCAAAGGGTCGTAGACCGCTTTGAGCTCTTCTCTTTTCTCACACGAACCTTTCTAGGCTCCGCCTACCATCCACGTGGGTAGATGGTGGGGTAGTAGCACTAAGTTCCCAAGAAGTGGTCCTTTCAGTCCCTGCAGCGGCAGCCTCTCGATATGGCTAGGCAATATCACCCTGGGCTGGCTAAGCTGGCTTTTCCCTTCTGAACCACAGACTGAGCGTCATGAGCACAAATGCGTGCACATCGACCTAAGTGTTCTTTAACACTTTCAGTGTATATATGATGTATATATAATGTACATACTAATATAATATTTATATAATATTTATATAATACGTTCAAAGGCGAGTTTCCAATGCCAAGTTCGAGGACCAGAGGTAGTCAGATAATCCAAACACTACAACTTTGCTTACTGCGGAGCAACATCATCCCAAATCACACATTCAATGATACATAAATATATATATATATATATGTATCTATATATATATGTATAACTATACATATATAATATACACACAAGAATGTGTCCAAAATTGTTCAAATACTATGAAAATCCCATTACCATTCTAATATATATATATATATACTGGTTGGTGGTTTCACCCCTCTGAAAAATATTAATCAGTTGGGACTATTCTTCCCAATATATGGAAAAAATAAAAAATGTTCCAAACCACCAACCAGATAATATATATAATATAATATATATAATATAATATATATAATATAATATATATAATATAATATATATAATATAATATATATATATAATATTAATATATCTTATAATATAAATATATATATATACATCTACCCCTGTTAAATGTTGGAGGAGTGTTTTCCAAATGATGTTCTCAGCGTTTGTCGACCTATATATATACATTTGTATTTGTATATATTTGTAATACATGCGTGCCCCATCTTTTCAACCACCTGGCCAAACCCCCATCCCTGCCTAGCTCGGGCCGTGGGGGAAGCTCCATCACATCAGGCGCGGTAGGCACCTCACAGCAAAAACATGGAAAAACCATGAGTTTAACCTGTAAATCTTGAGTTGTTCTATGATGTTCTATGCATCTTCAGGTTTTTTTCGACCCCAAAAAGAAGTCTGAAACTAAGTCTGGTATATTCTGGGGAGGAAACATGGTATTTAAACCTTCAACCAACAACGGAATGGGGTTCACCCCATCATAGTGGGAAGGGCATCGCCGCAACTTGGAAATTGTGTATTGATCCGGTCTTCCTAGCTACATAGGCTAGGTATAAATGGCTATAGCTCGTTTCTACTCATACTTCTACGCACATTCCATTGAATATCCCTATTTCATATCATGTCAATGCATTTCATCCAATTTCCCAATGTCCAAAAAAATCCACAAAACGCTGGGAATCGTCAGCTTCTTCAAACATTTTGAAGCGATGAACATCTCCCCATCCCACCTCCACCGTACCCTCCACCACGGATGTGGCGGGCGAAGGCAGCTCAGTAGGCACCTCAAGGTGCTGCGCAAGGTGCCTGTCCTGTGATGTGGATGGCGAAAAACCTGTCCTTTCAAAATGCACATTTTTTACGCAAAAAAATATAAAGATATAGAGAGATAAATAGAATGTCAGTTAGTTAGATAGATTCACAATGATAGTAAATGATAGACAATGACCAGAGATGTACAAATGTATATTATATGACCTGTGGATACAAGATGATACAAGTACCTTCTCATGATCGAAGTATCTGAGGCATCGTTCTGGGAATGGTGTAGCTTTTTAGGAGGTATTTGGATTCAGAATGATTCCGAGGATATTGACATTTGCGGGATCGTTGTTGTGGGCAGGGATGATTTTTTCTTACCATTTAGCACCTGACCAATGTCATTTGGGCTACCAACATTGAGACCCATGTGGATACTGTATCTCCAAACCTCAGCTATCCCTATCCTGACGTGCCAAGTTTCCTTCGCATTGGTTACCACCATGGTAATATAAGGTGCCCGGGTGCCCCTGGGTCGCCGCCACCGGCAATGCTTCGGGTGAATCCACGAGCGGCGCAGATTCGCCTGGCTAAGTCATCATCCAATGATTAAGGAAGCTGGTGGAAATCAACTGGCTGGTGGTTTTAACCATCTTGAAAAATATGAAAGTCAATGGGAAGGATTATCCCATATATTATGGAAAATAAAAAATGTTCCAAACCACCAACCAGTCGAAAATGTCATGCTGTCCTGGACATGGATCATGATGGATCATGGCTAGCAATGTCCGATGAGCTTTTGGCATTTTAAGGTGTCCGATGATTTTCAGGTGAGGCCATGCAAAAAGGTGTAGTGGATGCATCAGATTCTGCCCTGAAATTTGTGTGCCCAAATTTCAGGGTGAAACCTGCTTAATTTCATATATAGGCTTCGCGCTTGTACCTTATTTTCTGCCTTGTACCTTATTATGTTCGAAGGCTTTTGGATTTAAGAAAGGAACTGGACACTAACCCTGCTTTAAAAATTAAATTGTAGATGGTTCAACGTGACCAGGGCCAATGGAAGCCTGAAGATATTGTGCAAATATTCTGGGGGTATATCCAGCAGACAAAGTACAGGGCTCCCAGTAAAGAACGGGATTTGTGCATCTGAAAACTTCACTGAAATGCTGGGTCCCGGGCTCATCGCAGCAGATGGTTCAGGCACAAGGCCAAGCCCCTCCGGCACATGGGGAACCTGGCTGGTGAATCTGAGCCACCCTGCATCCGAAGCAGTATGAAGAAATGCATGAAATCACCCACTATTAGAGTTTTAGAGACTCGTGTGGGAATTTAATGGATTTTTGGGGGGTCCCTGCTGATATCTGTTGAGCCTTGGGCCCACACCTTCCAAGCCCAAGAGTCGTTGATGTTGGGTGGGTTTTAGGCGGGAGTTTTGCCGGTGGTCAAACGGAAAATTCAAAGTCTTATTTTTTTTCGTGCTACAAATTGGCAGAACCTCTCGTTTGGAGAGTAGTTTCCTACTCCGCATTTGTTCGAAATTGAATGTTTCCCTTGCCAGGTTAGATTCCCAGCGCGCAATGAATGGTTTCAACTAGAGTATGTCACTTTTGCTTTTCATGATTGGATACAGAACAAGTATACAGCAAACAGTGTCTGGTTCCTCATATCAGCACCTTCCCAAACCCGCCCTGAGTCCTCTGTGAGTGGATGTTCATCCATAGGCGAGGTGGGTGACGTCGGCTTCTCAGTTGGCACCTGAGCTCTGCCAAGTCATTGGTTTTAGTTTGTCCGAAAATGGTGCCCCAACAATAGCTATTTTCTGGGTGGATATGTCTGAAAATAGGCTGCCCATGAATTCGGGTAGATCCCTCATGTTAGCAAAATCCATAGGTGTTCAATGGTTTTACAAAATGAAACATGCCCCCATTTGAGTTTACCTGTGGTGGTTATGGTGGTTATTGGTTTTGGGTGGGTGGTATTTGATGGTTATTGATGGTTATTGGGTGATGATTGGGTGATGATTGGGTGGTCATTGCGAAGTTATTGGGTGGTTATTAATTAGTGGTTCTTGGGGGTTACTAATGGTCATTGGGTGTCAATGTCACCCAACCTTTGAATTCCGAAATCATTGGGATGTCATGGGGAAAAAAAGGACGCCACGCATTCAATCTCAACCAAAGGGCGGGAAACCCAAGCTGGTTGGTAGTATACCATTTGACTCATTTGGATCTCAACTTTGGATCTCAATTTTGGATCTAAATTTTCTGGTTGCTGGTTTCAACCTACCCCTCTGAAAAATTTATGAGTTCGTCAGTTGGGATGATGAAATATATGAAATTCCCAACTGAATGGAAAGTCATAAAATTCATGATAATTCATGTACAAAAAACATCAAAACCAGCAAGAGTCCAACCCATCCCACCACACACCAGGTTCCCTAACGGCGATGTCGGCTTCTGTCGGCGAGGATGCACCGACTGAGGAGACCATACCTGGAAATTTTATGTTGAAATCATTGAACATCTCTGAGGGGACGCTACGGACGCATCATGATACGAATGGAATCATCCGGTATCTTAGCAAATCTATCATCTATACTGTATCGTTACATCAACCACAGTGTTGGTCAAGTTGCAAATGCTTTGACACTCTCGCAATCACATTTCCTTGGATCAGCTAATACAAAAGTTCCAGTAATATCCAGGCACTAATACTACCACCAATACCCACTTTTTCTTGATTGATTTTGACAAATTGATATTTTTCTTGCTTCGTTCAGCCGGCTTGGACCTTCCAACAGTCCCCGCCTGAACTTCTGGGAAGTACCGGCACCTCATCCACTTCCGCCTCAGCTGTAGTTGTTTCCGCAGGAGGATTTGCCCTCCAGGAATTCAGCCTGGGAAAAGTCACCCATTTATAGATGATAAATGATGATAATTATAATGTATCTCATATGTTCCCCGTATACAATTCTACATATTCTACCCAGAGACGAATTGGGACTCTCGGACACGTTTGGTCCATTATTTTCACATGTGGCAGTTTGATTTCCCGTGCACTTTCTTACGTGCTGTTCAGAGCACACGTGAAGAATGGTGCTGGAAATTCTTCAGCACATGAGTTGAGACCGTCATGCCAAGATGATCCAAGATGGCCGCGCTAAAACGCTTGACAATCTGTACCCTCTGGTAAACGTTTACATAACTATGGAAAATCACCATGTTCAATGGGTAAATCAACTATAAATGGCAATTTTCAATAGTTATGTTCAATTCCCAAAGGGTACATGTCGTGAGTTAGAACTTCACCTTGCGGCATTCGCATCATTCGCCCTGAAAGGAACATTACTAAAGCTGACACCTATAGGACACCTACAGGACACTTAGGCAAACCCATCTCCAGTTTCGAGGCACAGTCCTTTGGTTGATCCTGCCTTCCCAATTGCACGCGTTGCTGGTGACTTTCTCTGTCTGATATACCCTGTGACATATACAATCAGTGAAAATAGTATACATCCACGATATTTTGGTACATTGGATATGTTCTCATGGTAAACCTTGTTTCGTCGGTAACAGTTAGCCGCTGTTGTGCGTTGTCACGTTCACAATGTCAATTAATGTCAACTAAACTCATTGGAAGAAGTCCAATTTGTATAATGGTCAAACATGTTCACAATGGATTACCCTCTGGTAAACTAACATAGCTATGGAAAATGGCCATTTATAGTGGATTTACCCATTAAAAATGGTGATTTTCTATAGTTATGTAAACGTTTACCATAGGGTGTGATCATCCCCAAAATATCGATGCACCAACTCAATAGCCAACAGGAACCGATTGCTTGGAGGTACCTACCATATATTAATTTTCGGCATATTTTTCACGCTTATTTTTCAGGGAAGATCCCCACAAAATATGGCCGGAAATATGGTACTAACGTAGCTACAGTACCTCCATTTTAGGGTCCTGAAATACCCATTGACCCACTGGGGTCTTTGAAAACTGTTCAGGTCCATCTATGTTGGTCGCACCCCCATCATTCACGTTTTCGTCGGCGAGAGACTGTTGGGGGACCTCCACCTGGCGGAAGGTACTTCAACCAAAAATTGCAGGTGGAACCCCCAAAATTAGGTCTGGGGTACCGGTAAAGATACAAAAAACGATGCAAAATCACCTTTTTAATGGGTAAATCCACTACTTCAATGGGCAATTTTCCAGTTCGCAAACTGTTAAATTACCGGAGAGGACCATTCATTGTCCGCACTTGGATGTAGTTTTTGAAGGGTTCCGTGCCAAATTTAGGGGATGTAGTGACAAGATTGGTCGAACGTCCCATTTTTCAACACCACCTAGGGACCCACAAAAAGAGGTACCCTCTGGTAAACGTTTACATAACTATGGAAAAGCACCATTTTTAATGGGAAAATCAACTATAAATGGCCATGTTCAATAGTTATGTTAGTTTACCAGAGGGTACATTGAAGGGGGGGGAACGGCGTCTCCAATACCACGCATTTCATCATTTGAAGGTGATGTTTGAAATCTAGAATATGAACCCGCGTACTGACATTGATGATCCTGTTTTCGATCCTTCATTCATTGGGATGATCAAATCATACCCACCGAAAGATGAGGATACGGATATGGAAGATGGGATGGCCACAAGGACTGTCGAAAAACGTGCTTAAAAAACCACACATTCTATCTGACAGATATGCTGGCACTCTGACATGCGATTTGGCAAATTTTACATGACAAAATTTGTTCATATTCTCTGACATTCTACCTGCTCTACCTCACACGGATTCTGACATCTAACCTGGCATTTTATCTGATATATATTCCGACATTCTACTGGACAAATATTGTAAAAGTCTGACAAATTTATCTGACATGTATTTTGACATTCTATCCGGCATTTGCTCTGGCAGATTATCTGACGCTTTATCTGGCATTTCCATCTGACACATTCTGACATTTATCTGACAAATATTCTCATAGTTTCTGACATTTTGCCTGACATATGTTCTGACAGTTTATATCACCGACAATTCACCGTCTACCTGACATATATTCTGACATCTTATTTTGGCATTTTGCCTGGCATATCCTTACATTCCAACCCTGACATTCTGACGAATATCTCCTGGCACACAATCCCGGGCATGTCTTCGAAAAAGTTCCGACATGACAGATATTCTGACCTCTTATCTGAAATGTTTACCCTCTGGTTATGACTAACATAGCCATGGTATAGATGGCCCATAGAAATAGATGGTTTACCTATTAAAAATGATGATTTTCCATGGCTATGTTAAATAACCAGATGGTAACATCTATTCAAGAAATTCGAACATATGTGCTGAACATATGTATTTTCAACAATTGGCATTCTTTGCCTGTTAAAAAAAAAAACTTAGGATATACCTTTTTCATATACCAATTGATAGGTATAATTTGACATACAATTTTCAACAATAGAATATATATTTATATACATATTTTAGGTTATACCATTTAGGATCTATAAATTTTACATATAATATATATTAACCAAGGTTTGATATACCTTTAGGGATACCTTTGGTATCCGTCCCGCGAGCCTAGCATTGTTGGCTCCACCCGTGTCGGTGCTGTCGGGACCTCGATAAAAAGGCAGCTCCGATAGCAGGTAAGTGGCTTTTCACGTGCTCCAAATGTGTGTATAATATATATATATATATATACACTTATATACAGAGATAATTATATATATATGATTCTATATATTGGAGATAATTATGTATATAACTATATATAGTTGTATATAATTATTAGATATGATTATATATAGATATAATTATTAATTACATATAATTATATATATACACACATATAATTCTACATTTATATATATACATATAATTATATATACACATATAATTATATATATACACATATAATTATATATATACATAATTATATATGTAGAGAATTGTATATATATATGTAATTATATATATTATGTACGAGTACACGAATCATGTGTATGTGTATATATATATACGATTTTGTCTTATATGCGCCAGACCAGTCATCAAATATTACTAGTGCACTATCATCCTATTTTTGCAGATGGAAATGATGAAACTTGATGAAGGCATCCCAATTCTAGGGGATGGAAAAGATGGAGATTATATAGTAATTAGTCGGAAAAAAATGAATATGTTGGGTGTAATTATCCTCTACCAGTTGGCCAGCATTGTCATATATAAGGTTTGTTGCCCCTCCAACTGTGGCCTTTCTTTGGTCCTAAAATCTACCTAGTGGCCGACATGGCATGAGGAAAATTAATCATCCACTGAGGCATATTCGCCACGACTGTACATACCATGAAACAACAGTGTCAACAGCGGACTCACCATAAAAAGGTCCGCACCGTTGCAACTTTTTGGACACCCGGCCGTGTACTCTCCCAAGTCCGACACCGGACTGGTTGGCATCTCTGTTGGCACCTGGGATTCCAAAAGATGGCTGTGGATATTGGTTGGCAGAGGGCATAAATTTGGTGAGTTGCAGCAATTCACCCGAAAAAAAATGGCAGCTGGCTTGGCATGCTGACCCACATTACGTTCTTAAACTTGGGAACGCTCTGCAAAGATCGCCAGCAAACTTTGCGAGATGTGGCGGTTTGGAATGAAAACGGTGGTTCTAGCTTCATTGCTGGGGCACAACATGATAAATCCCTCTCATTGATCATTCAAACCATAACACCAAACGACGAAAGAAATAGAGTGCAAGCCTTGTAATTACATCTCAAAAGAGTCACTCCACAGCTTATGATTTCTTGTTTTGCCAAATGATCTGACCCCTATATATCAGCCTAATGGTAAAATGGATTTATTGGGTTCAGCCACCCCAGCTGACAGCCCTGACCGTGGCCCTTTCCTGCCGCGCTACCGGCATCTCCGAGGGCGACCCCGGGCCCGCGGAGGAGTCGGGACCCAGAAAGGCCGAGGAATGGACACCTCCAAAGGCTGCATGGTGAGGGCGTCTCACTTGCGACTGTCACATTGGCACCCCTTGGTGACCCCTTGGTGACGTGAATCAAGAAACAAAGGTTGGGCGACTTGGATCGTATGGGAGCGAATCGAACCTCTGGCTTGGAAAGAGCAACCCTTCACGGATTGTGCCTTGAATTCTTGGATGTGTGAATCAAAAAGAAGTGATTCAGTCCTCACGAAGGGGAATCACACATTCAATCCGCACAAATCCTTGATGAATATGTAACATTATGGTAAGTAATATATATATATGTATATGGTCACCGACAGAATTTTGGAAATGAAAAAAAGGTTCGACATGGGTCGGTAAAAATCTGCCTCGCGTCGGGCCGTATTTTTCCATAATTCTTTTTTACTCATAAAAATGCACACCTCAAAAATCGGTAATAACTTGTATAACGAACCTTTTTGGAAGGGGCGTGACGCGCTGCAGGTAAATTTCCATATATATTTTTTTCCATGTAAGGATGCTTCTTGGCACTGGACCATTTCCATGATTATTTGTTTCCTGAAAGGGGTGACAAATTTTCTATTGACATGTTTCCATAATTCTTTTGGCCATGGCTACAGTGCATGATTATGGCTACAGTAGCATCAGTGGGAGATGTTTGGAGGATAAGGATCCCAAAACTGAATCTGGATTTTGTCCCAAAATTATGCGAATTTGCTGTAAACCAGGTAGTTTGGAGGATCAGGATCCGAAAAGTAAGATTTCCAAAATTAATTTTGCATCGTGGATTAGAAGCTTTTGTAGACATTTGTTTCATCCTGTTTTTTTGAAGGATCAGGATCCCAAAACTGAACCTGGATTTAGTCCCAAGATCATGCAAATACGCTGTACACCAGGTAGTTTGGAGGATAAGGATAACAAAACTGAATTTGGATTTAGTCCCAAAATCCTGCAAAAACATTCAAAACTAGGTAGTTTGGAGGATCAGGGTCCGATAAGTAAGATTTCCAAAATTAATTTTGCATCGTGGATTAGAGGCTTTTGTAGACATTTGTCTCACTTCTTTTTTCTTTTTAGAGGATCAGGATCCGAAAATTGCTATTTCCAAAATTCTTTTTTTGAAAGTCCGTAATGTCGCTAATCTTTTGTCTTGGTTTCGGTCCCGAACCTTTTCCGATACCTGCGGCGCGCGAACCTTTTTTCATTTCCAAAATTCTGTCGGTGGCTGTATACGAGGGTTTCCTAAAATAGTGGTACTTCCAAATCATCCATTTCAACGGGATGTTCATTATAAACCATCCAGCTATTGGGGTACGGCAGCATCCCAGCATGCTCCGTCCATGCCGCCTGGCACCAACAGAGGAGGTTCATCGGTGGTCACCTGATCGACATCCCAGAGATTTTATGGCTACAGTATCAACAATTGGGAAAATGATGCATTAAAAATATGTTTTTAAAATGGGATGACATGGTGGTGGTCCGAATTTTGAGACAATTCCACCATAGTGGTCGGTGAATTTGGATTCACACTGAATGGATTTTCATGATTTAATGATATTAAATGACAATAGATCCCAAGTGAATCTGCTAGTGGAAATCATTGAAAAATCAACCAACCCACGTCAACCGGGAAATGTCTCCAAGTTCTTGTGAGGGCCGTTGGGGACGAGGAGGCAGGACTGGATACGATTGGCGGTCGAACCAAACCATCCTTTTAAAAACTTATATAAAAGATATCAAAATACGGTAAACATAATAAACATAATAAACAAACATCAACAAACATCTATATATCAATCTATCAATCTATATCAGGTGATCCTTTGTATCGGTACCCATCAGCACTGCCCATCACTGAAGCTTCGCTGCACCTCCACCGTGGGCACCTCCACCGTGGGATCGTATCCTGGCACCAAAAGATTGGATGTAGCCATCATTTTGGGGATATAACCCATGAATTCCACCAAATAATCCCATCACCCATTCATATTAAACACCCCTTAAAAATGGTCCCAATGGAATGTGGAAATTCCCGACAAAAAACCATGGTTTCGTTTAGGTGTTTACTTTTTGCGGGCAAGGGATTACTAAAGTGATCCACCAAGAGATCCACCAAGAGAGCCGTGGCTCATCGATCTCATCGATCCATCCCGGTCCCCGTGGATCATGATTCATGGAGGTTCCCGAAAAAAAGTGCTACCCCCATTTGTGATCCTAATTTTCATAGGATCTTCCATTATCATCCATTTTGGGGGTACCCTTTTAGTATGAAACCCCCATAGATGTGTATATATATATGTAGATATATATAATTATATATATATGTATATATCTATCTATCATATCTATCAACATCAACATGTGTCCCAAGTTTGTTGATTTCGTCTTCGTATCCACCCCACAGAGAAAAAGCCACCCCAGCACCGCCATCACCTCGCCTGGCAAGTGAGTTGGCTCTCCCACCTTTGCGAACAAGTGGATTCGGTCTCCACTGGAAAAGCAGGAAGAAACATCGAGAAACACCAAAAACGTTTTAACATGTCCCGTAAATCATGGGGTAGTCTATGTGGACAGATCATGGAGCTATTTCTCCACGATGACCGTGGTAAGTCTTGGAAGACCTGGGATTTCCGAAGTCACCACGGGGAACATGTACTTGAGTAATGGTCCGCCAAAAAGATCATTTGCTCCTGGCAAGATGAGGAAGTGCAAACGATCGTCGACGGTGTTCTACCTTTGTAAATCCTTTTGGACCGCATAGAATCTCCATAGTTTGTCCTGATTTTCCCCCCTATTTACTCCCCAATGTGCTTCCCGATGTTCTTCCCTAGTTTCTTCCCTGTTTTCTCCCCGAAGATCTTCCCCGTTTTCTTCCCGACTTACTCTCCTATTTTCTTCCATAGTTTCTCCCCGGTTTTATGCCTTGTGTTTTCCCAACTTTCTTCCCAATTTTCTCCCCGATCTTCTCCATAACAGAATTCATATTCTCCCCGATGCTCTTCCCGATCTTCTTCCCCATTTTCTCTGCGATGTTCTTTTTCATTTGCTACCCTTGTTTTCCTCCGATTTTAGGGTACTATTTTATATAAAATGTATGTATGAATGTATGCATGTATGTATGTATGAATGCATGCATGCATGCATGCATGTATGTATGTATGTATGTAAGTATTTGTACACAGTATGTATGTATGTATGCATGCATGCATGCATGCATGCATGCATGGATGGATGGATGGATGGATGGATGTAGGTAGGTAGGTGGGTAGGTATGTAGGTAGGTAGGCATGCATGCATGCATGTATGTACGTATGTCTGTGTGCGTGTCTGTATGTCTGTATGTCTGTATGTATGTCTGTATGTCTGTATGTATGTCTGTCTGTATGTCCCTTGTCTGTATGTCTGTATGTCTGTACGTATGTATGTATGTATGTGTGTATGTCTGTATGTCTGTATGTCTTTATGTCTGTATGTCTGTATGTCTGTCTGTCTGTCTGTCTCTATCTATCTAATCTAATCTAATCTAATCTAATCTATCTATCTATCTATCTATCTATCTATTCATCTATCTATGTATCTATGTATCTATGTAAGTATAGTATGTATAGTATGTATCGTATGTATAGTATGTATAGTATGTATAGTATGTATAGTATAGTATGTATAGTATGTATAGTATGTATAGTATAGTATGTATAGTATGTATAGTATAGTATGTATAGTATGTATAGTATAGTATGTATAGTATGTATAGTATGTATAGTATGTATATATATATAAGTATATGTATATATTTATATATATGTATGCATATATATATATATGGTCATGTAATCCATATAGATCCATATAGAGTCACCATTAAAATAAAAAAAACGCATTCAAGCACCAAGTAGTGGCTGAACCTTCCAGGCTTTGGCCCTTCGGCCCTGAAGGGTCTCCCCACCACAGGCTCTTCCATCGGACTCGTGGGTAGCTCCGTGGGAACCTGTCAACCAGTGTTTCATGGGAAAATAATGGGATGATGGATGATACCCTCTGGTAAACTAACATAACTATGCAAAATCACCATTTTTATAGGTAAATCCACTATAAATGGCCATTTTCAATAGCTATGTTAAATTACCAGAGGGTAAGTATGATGGTTAATGGGATAGTGTTAATGGATGGTTGATGGTTAAGAATGGTTAATTATGATGGTTTTTTGGATGATTAATGATGGATATAATAATGGTTGATTATGTGATTATGGTGAAAATAGTGGTTAATGGATGGTGAATAATGGATAATAATGGTTATAATAATGGTTAATGATATGATACTTTGTTGGTTTTCTTATAAAACATGAACAGCCAGCGTCCAAATATATCATTGGCATTAATTGGCTCTATGCTCAGCTCAAAACCCTGGGTTTTTCCCTACTGTTTGCATGTTCCTATTGTAATTTATTGGTTGATACAGTATCCCCAATTGTTCACCAAAAAAATACAAAAAAATAAATCCCACAATTCGGATACACCATTGGATGATCACATGTTGAGATCCCCAAATTGATCGAGAATGTTCTTCCATGGCAGGGAGGTTGCCCCCAAAAAGTTATTGTATGTTGTTAACCCCGGGTTGACGTGATCTTTTGCCACGTGTAGATACCCTGCAAAAACTACTTGACTGGTTCTGCAAATAAACAGTATTGTATACAGTATCCGTTCCAAGATTTACCCAGAAAATAAACTGAATTTTAGGCATCAAAACTGAATGTTTACTAGCATGTTTTTTGTCGACCAAAACTAGAGGTTAATTGCTAATCCAGTGTTGACATTATCCCATTTATGCCCAAAATGACTTACCAGTCAAATGGCTAGAGACTAAACATGTCTTTGAACCATCCTCACTTGGAATGACAGTGGATCTGCCACTGTTATAGCTAGTTATCCTCTTAGCCCCATGATATTCCCATCATATTCCCATGGATTTACCTCATGTTCCCCATTTGGTGATTTCTAAAAATGGGGGATTTCCAAGTCGCCATGGGTTGACCAAGTCACCAATGTAAGTCATCGTCTCATGACTTGGATGATTTGGCGTTCAAAATCCCTCTCTCATTCCAATGAATCCTGGTTGGTTTATAGGGATTCCCCTAATGGAGTATTATAAATTACTATAATCCCCGATATAATTATTGGCTAGTAGAATCCCCTTATTAATCATCAACCAACAGGGGTTTTGAACACTGCTAGATCCTTTTATTCCAAGAATAATATAATTATCTTGATGAATTATCATTATAGATGGTTAATGATCCATTATAGATCCATTTGTCACTTAAATCACCATTAAAGCAACCACGAAAATCACCATGAAATCCCCATGTGAAAACTCCAACATTTCGCACCGGCATCTCCGAAGGCGACAGCGCCGAAGATGCCAGAGCGGTTGAGGATGCCAGGGGGCCTGGGGCTGCCGCGGGGGAGGCTGTAGCCGGCGCAAAAAAAATGGGGGAAAAAGTTGGAGGAAATCCTAAGATTGAAAATCCATTCATCAAACATCCCCAAATTACTCATCGTTATTCCTGAATTATTCCAATCCCCCACCTTAAAGAAAGCCCCCTTTTTTTAAGAAAACAAATGGGGACCTAAAATGTTGAGGACATGTTTGAGAATAATCATCGGTACAGTAACACTTGAAACCATCATTGGGATTGGGATCATCATCCGAAGCAATTTGAGAATCAAATCGCCCTTTTAATTGGTGGCTTCAAAATTGAAAGAAAATTTTTGAGAAAAAAAAACTCTGTTGAAATCAGCAATTTGTAGATGGACAGACGCTCATCATATACATACCTGCAAGAGTTTCTACATCTAAATCCGTGTCATGTATTATGGAAATACAGGTATACATACATATAATGTATGTATGTATTTATATATACATATACATATATTATACATATATCATGTATATATTATATTATGTTATATTATATTATGTTATGTTACATCATATTATATTAGATTATGTCTTATTATATTAAATTAGATTATATCTTATTATATTCTACTATATAATAGTATATTATATTATATTAATTATATTTTATTAATTATATATATATATATATATATAATATTAATTATATTATATCATATTGTATTATAATCTATTATAATATATTATATTATTCTGTGACTATATGTGATTCATATTATCAATACCCAACACAAGGTCAGTTCAAGCCTCTGCATCTACCCACTGAGATGCGGTTTTTCAGTACCAGGCCTGACGACCTTTGAGGCAGAGGAATTTCTGTCGCTTCCTCTGCACCAGGACCACCAAAAATTGCACGTCATGGAGTGACAACGTCTCAAATTGACAGGAAAAAACGCATGGCTATTATGCTAGTAAAAGAACAGATTAAATGATAAATGGATATAAATGGGAGCAGTCACTGCAACAAGAGCTTGTGCAAACCACAAACTACAAAATCTTAGGGGTCAGGTCAATTGGAGTCTGGGAGTGACCACGCACAGCAAACGAACGAAGCACACAGCTTGATCGTCAATCGAAGACAGGTGAAATCAACAGCAAGCTCAACTGCTGTTGCCACAGACTTGGCAAAGAAAACACCGCGTTTGATTTATTTCACCCTGTGGATCCCAGTAAAATCTAGTATGATGATGTATGATTAGTATGGATATAAGATATATATATATAAGAATATAGAAGATACAATTCAAGAAATCTGGATATCAAGTTCCCATGTCATCATGGTCATGGTCACACCACCCAACTTGATCCACCGGAGCTCCAGAGTGCGTTCACCTCCTGAAAGAAACTTGCCGCGGCAACGAGAAAAGGGAGGTGCCCCCCAGCGTGAGGTTTGTTGGTTTATAACCCTCATGAAGTATAGCTATATCTGCCATAAACATCCATAAACCCAAGTTATTGGAATTATAAACCAACTTGGCTAACGAACTGGGGCACCACATTGTAGTGACCAGTGGACAACCAGCATAGTTCACTTAATTCACTTGTATTGAATTTTGAAAGTGAGGGTCGATTCAGTTCTCTCGGCAAACTCATTCCAAACACGCGTACGGGTTCTACATTGCATTGCACCCTGAAAGGGTTGTCCTCGATGCCAAAATTGAAGTGGTGACATGGCCCAAACACAAATTTGCAACCTTTGAACTAGGTTTTTCAAGCGGCCCCATTCCGAGCCCAACCACAGTCCGAGCCCTCCATGCGTCTCCTGACACCGTCGGCACATTGGTTCCCAAGGTGCCAGTCTCGCCAGTAACAGCCTCGCAGTGCCGGACGTATCCCATGCGACCCTGCCTTTACCCTCTGGTAAACTAACATAACTGTGGAAAGATCCACCATTTTTAATGGAAAAACTCACTATTTCTATGGCCATTTTCAATAGCTATTTTGACATAACCAGAGGGTACCAATCATTGCGCTCAAGACTAGCATGAGGCACTGAATAACATAATAGACAACTGCACGTGTATTGGGTTTCCCTTTCAAAACAATGACGAGCTGGCCAGTCCTCCTTTTCAAAAGGTTCGAATGTGTCATGCAGGCATCAAGACAATACAATCTAAGCAAATTGAAAGACCTCACTGGTCGCCTAGTTCTTGCGTGTGGTGAATGCATAGTATGGTATTGGGATACATGGACAGATTGCGATTGGATATACATATATAAATATATAATATACACACACTGTATGCACTCATAGTCACACAGTATATGTATATACAGTATATAATTATACATGGTTGATTAAACATCAATAGTAAATCGTTCCATCAACCAACCATTTGGAGGTAATTTTATATAATCCCAGTCATAGAGGTATACCCAATTCCATAAACCTCTTGGGGATGGTTTATCGCATTTGGCGAACCAATGCTAACCTTCGGACAAATCCACAATCTCACAATTTAGTCACTTCTGTATCCCAAACAAATATATCTCCCCATTATATAAAACATCCCATGAAATATCTGGGCCAAATTACAATCATTCACTAACCTGAAATTTTTGGGTCATTTAGGGATCGTCACCCCACCATGAATCCAGTGAGGTCGCCTCTGTGGGATCTTGTGGTGCCAGCGGGCTGGTGGGCATCTCTGTTGGAACCTGGGTCGGCTCGGGCTCCAGGACGATGATAAGACTCAAAGGGGAATATTTTAAGGACACTTATGGGGATATACTTTTGTTATATCATGGAGATATATACTGGGATATATTCTACACAGTAATGGGATATATTCTACTCGGAATTTGCTGGAGGTAGATGGCTGTGGGCAATGTGATGATTAAGAGGCGGGGAAATTGATGACGTCCTGATCTCAGACAACTCCCTGTAATGTCAAAGGCGATTACAAAAAAAATGGCAGCACTGCACGACTAAATGCAACAAATGAAAAAACATTAAAAAAGTATGTGGGTGTCCTTGTCGAAAATTTTGATCAATACCATACCCCATTCAACTATATATTGGCCCTAACTAAGGCTGATAACTAATCAAATCAAAAATTAATAATCAATGGAACAAAATTGACGACATGAAGTGAATAAAGGCAGCAGCACTTTTCGTGAGGCAAAAAAAATAGCATCCACTACTGTACTTGGTAACATATCAGGAGGAATGTATAGACGAATGGACTTAAACGGGATTATTTGTTCACTTCGTTCAATTTGTATATACAGTAATTCAATATCAAATTCCATGGTAAAGAGTGTTAAAGTCCACATCGTGTTGATAGTTCAATATCAAATTCCATTCAATATCAAGTTCAATCTCAAATTTCCCTATCATAGTCCCAAATGGATTCAATTCCATATCATGTTCAAGGAAATACCATTGAGTTCCTTCAAGTCTCTTCAGGCATTGCCCCCCTGTACCCCTGTCGCATCAGCACCGGCATCTCTGAAGGCGAAGGGATCGCTGAGCTCATCAATCCCGATGAGCCCATGGCGACTGGCAGATGCAACGCATCATGGAATTCTGAGCATCACATGATCATGATGAAAAAAAACATGGTCACAATGGTATATGTTATATATACGTATATATATATATATATTATCTATACATCCCTAGTTGTAGATATACAATGGTCACAAATACCATGACCTTGGGTACATTCTTGGCTTATGAGAATTGGCACGGGGGCTGCTTGAAGCGGAAATCTCCAGGAAATGCACAGGGGGTATCTGATCCAACGACAGGGCGTCAAACAAGTCGAGTGCCCCCTAAAACCAAAAACATCCCAAAACCCTGGGAATTCTCAAATCCCACGCAGAAAGGTTGAGTAGACAAATGATCTCCTAAATCTTGAATTGCCATTATTATGATAATCCCATCTTCAATATAATATAATATATATATATACACATATGTATATATATATATTGAGTAGTAGAACTCCCTATCATCATCAACCAACAGGGGGCCCCGTTCGGCCCCAGATCTTGTGAGCCCAGTCATAAGCCGACCGTCCCGACGGTGCCTGACGATCCATACGGAATCGGTACCTCGTCCAGACGCGGCACCTCGCTCCGCAACGTCTTGGGGAGTCCCCCAGTCGTCTTGGGGGGTCAATTGTCCTTCATAGTATAGGTGATTTACCATTTACAAATGATGTTATATCCCAGTTATAAAATGTTATACACCTCCATTTATCATGATATCATATGATATCATACGATATCCAGTTGATATGCCATTGCCATCTTTGATTCCCAGAAGGATAATACTCCAAGAAGTGGGCGAAAAAATATTCAGCTCACCTCTGAAAACAGAAACTCAGGGGAGATTGGCACCTCAAAGGAAACCCCCTGGACACCCCTCTTTGAGGCAGAGAAACCCAGGAAAATACCACGGATGTTCCTCATATCTCCGTAAACATCCATAAATCAGTAAACATCTATACATATCCATTGAAAAAAAAAACATAAATATCCATGGGTGTTCCTCGAAAATAATCAGTAATCATCCATGAATATCCATCAACAACAATCAAAAAATAACGAGTACACAAAGATGGATCTTCCATCATCATTCCAGGCAGAAGTGAACTGACCAGCCATCACCAGGGCCCCAAGCTGCCATCTCGGGGGACACAAATATGGCAGATTCACCTGTGGCTGCTTTGGGAATGGCACCATTTTTTCCTGGATGAGGCTGTTTTATGGATGATAAAGATAAAGTCCTTGATATCCTGAAAGATAAACATATCCAAAATTATCCAAATATATGTCTGAATTATGTTTCCATTCAATTAAATGGTGCTTGTTTTTTTTCCAGCCAGCCATCTTTGAATATCAGGCCTTTATAGGTGAGGTTCCTATGAAAAAAAAACATGGCAATGCCCTGTTACGTAATATTGCCGGAGGGTAAAATATCATGCGATATCTAGGTGTCAACAGCAGAATATATATATACCCTTGCAATATTGACCAGTGTTTGAATTTCATGTTGAATTTCAGGGATTAATCATCAGGAACTCTTCACATCATTTATTTGTGCTCCTCAACAAATACTCCATCAGTGGAAGGTTACCTGGTACAGGCACTGATTTGTGGCCACGAAAACACTGGCTGAGAATTCTGATTCGTGCACCTTGTCTGAAAGTGTTGACAGTATTGACCCAAAACTAAGAGTTGTGAGCCATAGGATTAGCTGCCCATGTTTCAATGGCAACAATAGCAAGAGGAAACCCGACGTTCAGACCGTGTATATACTGAAATCACTCCTGCCCGTATCTCTCCTTCAAATTTTCTGACGCCTGTTCCAATTCTCTACCCTCACAGCAAAAAAAATGGCTTTCACAAAGTTAGCAAATGTTTTAGAGAAAAATTCGCCTCCGGTAAGTGACTAACAGTTTGCTGTGGCAAAAAGATGGCATATAGTGGATCTACCAACAGGATGCTACCCCCCATTTTTGTTGGTTTATCAATTTATAACCCCCATGAAAACTAGTTCGTTATATCATGTTATATCTATCATTATCTACCTTATCAACCATAGAGCCATAGAATTCATTCAGCCACTTATCCACATCTCAACTTGGCTCGCTATCTGAAGCGCCGCCTAGCTCGGGCCGGGGAGGAAGCTCCATCACATCAGGCGCTGTGGGCACCTCACGCGGAGCATATGGTTTTGAACCATTTTGAACCTGCAAATCTATGCAAATCGTGGGTTTTCCTAGAAAATCTTGGATTTCTTCGAAGAAAACGACTCACCAATTCTGCACCATGGAACCATGGAACCATGGCTTGAACCAAAGACAGAATTGCAATTCGTAATTTGGCCCGGGGCGATGGGGCGATGCTGTCATCTTGGCTCAGAAATGTGTCCGTGGCTGCAAGATGTTGCCAAATTTGCTTGACTTGGGATAGGAATATCATGGAATATCTCAATCAAGCGATATCCCGATGACTCAAAGCACCGAGGAAATATCATGAAATATCTAGTTGGCTTGCAATAAAAGAACGAGCCACTGTCAGGGATTGCATCAGGCCCGAATTTGGAGTCTATCTTATACTCCCAATCAGCGGTTTTTTTTTTGCAAACTCTGCGTATCGCCCCAATATAGAAATTCGCAATCATTGATCTATTCTTCTTGGCTACATATCTCCCATTTCTCCATATTTCTCCGCATAATTGCCGCACACATCCCATTGAACATCAATCATTTCATCCAATTTGTTTAAACGTCCAAGTCCAATGCTTGCTTCGCGCTGGGAATCATGAGAATCCCAACAGATAAAAAAAAACAGATCTTCACATACTTCCCCAACACAGAAACAAATCATTCAAGATGCACTGAAAATTTAGCCTCTGGTCAACGGGCTAACATAACGAACTGGAAAGATCCACCATGTTCAATGGGTAAATCCACGAACTTTCTATGGCCATTTTCAATAGCTATTTTGACATCACCAGCCTCCAACATCTGGAAACACCTTGTCCCTCCATATCTCCATCTCCACCTCCACCGTACCCTCCACCACAGATGTGGCGGGCGAAGGCATCTCGGTCGGCACCTGGGATCAGCTGTACGAGGCGCCGATTTTGTCTGGATGGCTCAACCTGTTCTTTCAAAAAATGACCATGATGCACATAGAAAAAGTAAAGAGATGGACAGATGATTAATGATAGATGAATTTTAGAGAGATAGGATACATATACAATGATATACAATGATCAATGATGTACGAATCTAGATTATATGCCTTTATGGATCAAAGTACCTTCTCAGGAATCATTTGGCGCATCGTTTGGGGAATCAGCGTGGCGCTTAGCAGTTTCCGGGATGTTCTGGGTGGCGATTGATTTTTTGCCAGGGACCTTGCCAAGCAAGGCCTCCACATAGATTGCCAGGGGTCCATCCTTATCGACGCTTACCCAGGGGACCCATCGCAAAGGGGGTTGCGGCACTGGGTCGCCGCCACCGGCAATGCTTCGGGTGAATCCACGAGCGGCGCAGATTCGCCTTGGCACGGCTGAAAAAGCCATGGTCGGATGGTCTCGTCCCTTCGCTGCCAGGTGTCCTCTCAGATTGTCATGTCTTTTCCTTGCTTTTTTCAGGTGAGGCCGCGAGGCCATGTGAAAAATCATCAGATTCTGCCCTTTTTTTGTGCCCAAACTTCAGGGTGAAACCATCTGAAAACTTTACTGAAATGCTGCACTGGGTCCCGGGCTCATCGCAGCAGATGGTTCAGGCACAAGGCCAAGCCCCTCCGGCACATGGGGAACCTGGCTGGTGAAGTTGAGCCACCCTGCATCCGAAGCAGTATGAAAAATTGCATGAAATCACCCACTATTAGAGTTTTAGAGACTCGTGTGGGAATTTAATGAATTTTTGGGGGCAGCTGATATCTGTTGAGCCTTGGGCCCACACCTTCCAAGCCCAAGAGTCGTAGACATTCAAATGACATAAAACCGAGGATGATGTTGGGTGATTAATTTTAGGCAGTAATTTTGCCTGTGATCAAGCCGAAAATCCGAACGCTTATTTTCTTGCTACAACTTGTAGCAGAATCTCTCGTTTTGAGAGGAGTTTCGGACTACAAATTTGACCGAAATTGGAATGTGTTCCCTTGCCAGATTAGATAACGGCATGAATGGTTTCAACTTGTATATGGTGCGTTCGATATGTATGATCGGATATATCAAAAAGAAGTACGCAATGTACTGTATATGGTTCATCATGTTCATCAGCATCATGAAGGGACCGCCAAAAACACCACTAACAAATCCAATGCAAAATCAACTCTAACAAACCACCGTTTTTTCACCACCACTATTTACAGTCATCTGTCACAGTCCCAAATAAATTCCGGCCCTTCTCGGCCCCTGATTTCGCCCAAAAAGGAGACCCGACCTCTGTGAGTGGATGTTCATCCATAGGCGAGGTGGGCGACGTCGGCTTCTCAGTCGGCACCTGCACTCTGCCAGATGTGTCAGGTCAACCGCAGCCGTGTTCACTGGTCAGCCTAAGGTCCTGCGATGGGTCTACCAAGTAGACATCATAGCCCTTAAGTAGTCCCGTAGTTGAAAAGCATTGAAACTCAAACCATCACTGGGTTTGAAGGAAAATGTTGCCGGAACCCGGTGTGCGCCACCAAGTTTGGGCTATATAGTTGATATTAGTTGATATTAGTTGTATAGTTTCCCTCAAATTTTGCCGCCAACCTCACAAACCACCGGTTCGGAAAGCAACTGTGAGAATGACGTCAACATCTCCCTGCCCACATTTCATCGGGCTCCCTGGCGGCAATGTCGGCTTCAGTAGGAGAGGATGCTCCCACTGAGGATGCCATACCTGGGATCCATCTCTTGGAATCATCCGGTGATGCAAACCGGCAAGAGCCTGAAGCAAATCTACTATCTTTACTGTCCATTTATAGATTTCCCATTAAAACCTCCAGTTAGTTTGGGGGGGTCCCATTGCCACATGGTTACATCAGCCACGGTCGTTGGTCAATGCTTTTCTAAGCCTCGCCTTTTCAGAGGCAAAAAAACGAAAACCAATTGGGATCTAAGCCATACCCATATGTTGGTGAATGATATCTACATGTATCTACCCATATACTATGTTATTGATATTTGTTGATAGATGTTGATTGCGTCCTTCAGCCTGGGGTTGGACCTTCCATCGGTAAGATGGTCTCGCCTGAACTTCTGGGAAGTACCGGCACCTCATCCACGTCCGCCTCAGCTGCGCTCTGATGCTCAATAGCTCCGTAAAAACACTCTATATGCGAATACACATATACCAGGACTCCAAGCCCCCCCCCCCCCCCGATGGTTCTTCTGGTCCCCCCCCCCCTGTGGCCTGTGGTGGTGGTATGGTTCTTCTGGTCCCCCCCCCTGTGGCCTGTGGTGGTGGTATGTTGGTATGTTGGTATGTTGGTATGTTGGTATGTTGGTATGTTGGTATGTTGGTATGTATGTTGGTATGTTGGTATGTTGGTATGTTGGTATGTTGGTATGTATGTATGTATGTATGTATGTCTGTCTGTCTGTCTGTATGTATCTATCTATCTATCTATCTATGTATGTATGTATGTATGTATGTATGTATGGTCCCGTGTCCCGTGTTCCCGTGTTCCCGAGAGCGTGAGCGTGAGCTTGGGGGACCATACCATTGGGGGGGGGCTAGGGATACGGAGTCCGGACTCATATATATATATATATACATATTCCATATACAGTACATGAAATTCTCATACGTCTCTTCTCATGGTCATGCTTCACAAATCGAAAAATAGCAATCTACGTACTAGATCTATGAGCAGGATGTGCCCTCAACTCCTCAACAAACCTATCATGGGCGTCAATGAGGCTTCCCATATTGGCAGAGTGGATTATGAGTATCCCCGATACCCACATAATATATATATATATGGTAGCGTAACCTTCTTCTATAATCAGAAACTCACTGAGTCTCCTGAAACTGCTGAAATAGGTTTTATCCACTGTTGGCCACATCCCCATCAAAACACGGACTTCGGCAAGAGACGGTTGGGGGAGCTCCACCTGGCTTGGGTGTTTCCAAGATCAGGGACTTAACCTGCAAATTCTTGAGATTTCACCAGCAAAAATGGAAACTTAGCCAGCCAAAATATAGGGATTTACGCTTATTCATAGCAGTAAATCTGGATATATCTGGATACACTGCCTGGATTTTACATGAAACATCATGGAACCCCCAATAATGAAACTGAGTTTAGACGATTCCTCACCTGGATGTAGCCTTGTTGGGCTTCATATTAAATTTAGGGGGTGTATTAACAAGGTTGGTCGAATGTCTCATGTGAACACTGCCAACCCAGAGGTCCCTTCTCCACTATCCAACATAATCATTTGAAGATGGTGTTTGAAACACAACAATTTGGACATGTAGGAACCCGCATACTAATTTCTGATAATCCTGTTTTTGCAACTTTTCTGTGTTTTCCATCCTTGAAACTGGGATGATCCTGTTCTTGCATCGTTTACAGCACCCAAAGATGAGGATGATTTGGTTTGAGCCGTTGATACCCAAAGATGAGAAGTTTCACACTTTCATCACATGTTTTGGGATCCCTTTCTGCCCTCAGATTTGAAATGCTACCCGCTTCTGGTTGACAACTCCAAACTCATTCGACCCACAGGATTGTGACATTTGAAACTGGTCTGACCAATTTCTCAATGGCCATGAATGCCGTAAAACAATGTGGATTTATCATGATTTATCATCCAGCAAGCTGTTAACCCCACCTGGGCGCTTGAAAACAAACTCCCGGGTTTATGGGGTCCACATGGGGGAACAACACATGAAGATGTAAAAAAAAATGTCTATATATAATATATATTTCTGTGGTGCAAATCTACATGCACATGTACAAATGAGTATATGGTATATGTGTATGTATGTATATTATGTCCAAGCAATCATGCAAAATGGTTATTTAAATGACTGCGTCGTTCAACTTTCTACATCTCCGATTTTGTGAGACATGGCTGGAATGATCATGGCTCAAAGTTATCAACATCTATATATATATAGGTACATATATCCATATCGATATATATATATGTATACATGTATCATATACTCTACATGGATGGATTTAGTATCAACACATGGCAAACGTTGCGGATCTGTTGGGTTCCCATGGAAAAACCCGCGGAAAAACCCACGGTTCTCCCACGGCCTAGCACGGTGGGCTCCACTCGTGTCGGCGCGGTCGGCACCTTTTTTTGACAATTCGATGGCCGGTGAGTAACACATCATGTGTGTGTATATATATATGGGTAGATCTCCACTACTTTCTTCTATTTTCCATATGTGTCTTATCATATATCGTCATATATCATCATATGATCATGGATTATCACATTCACATCAGATGTGATCATATGTGTCATCCTACCTTGCGATTTTTTTGGAGATGTACATGATGGAAATTGATAAAATAATATCCACATGTTTAATGGAAATAGCAAGCAAATATCAAAGCATAGTTTGGATGTCTACTCTGCCAGTTGGCCAGCCTACCCCTCTAGTGATGTTAGTTGGTTTTTACCCTATGAACACGAAAGTTATATCTACCATAAACCATTGAAATCAGCCACTTATGTGGTGTTTTTTTGCTTTTAAGGTATGAATTCATTGATCAGTGTGATTTGGCCCACCGTGTCCTGGCAGCTTTTGGCTGACCAGTCCTCAACAGTCAAGCAGGATTTACCCAATCAACAGAATTCGGGGGAAAATTACCCGCAAATGGTGTATATTAATTCTTAACATATACATATACATAAAAATAAACATATACATGAACATATACATATACATATATGTATACGTATACATATGCATATATACGTATACGTATACATATACCATATACATATACATATACCATATACCATATACATATACATATATACATCTACACATATACACATTTACATATATACACATTTACATAAAAACATATATACATATAAACATATATACATATATACATATATACATATATACATATATACATATATACATATATACATATATACAGATATATATATACATATATACATATATACATATATACATATATACATATATACAGATATATATATATACATATATACATATATACATATATATACATATATATACATATATATACATATATACATATATACATATATACATATATACATATAAATGTACATATACCCATACTTTTACCTATACGTATACGTATACATATGCATTACTGTCTGGCTTCCCTCCTTGACGAAAGCAGCGCACACTTTTGTGCCAGGGTCAAGTGCCTGCTGCAAAGAAAGGCAAAATGATACCACATGTAGGCACTTCAGCCATACACATGGACAAATTCGAAGAAAAAACTCCCACTGCCCTCGGAGGAGCTCGGGGAGGTGGAGGGAGTCTCAAAGCTCCGGTCAGCTCAGACATCACGCATGCTACCCCTTGTGGAGAACACATGCATTACTGTCTGGCTTCCCTCCTTGACGAAAGCAGCGCACACTTTTGTGCCAGGGTCAAGTGCCTGCTGCAAAGAAAGGCAAAATGATACCACATGTAGGCACTTCAGCCATACACATGGACAAATTCGAAGAAAAAACTCCCACTGCCCTCGGAGGAGCTCGGGGAGGTGGAGGGAGTCTCAAAGCTCCGGTCAGCTCAGACATCACGCATGCTACCCCTTGTGGAGAACACATGCATTACTGTCTGGCTTCCCTCCTTGACGAAAGCAGCGCACACTTTTGTGCCAGGGTCAAGTGCCTGCTGCAAAGAAAGGCAAAATGATACCACATGTAGGCACTTCAGCCATACACATGGACAAATTCGAAGAAAAAACTCCCACTGCCCTCAGCCACCCCCTCCACGCGTCCCTGACTTGGCAGCCAGAAAGAAAGTTCGGGCTGCGCGAATTAAAGGTTCAGCAGCCATGGGAATGGTGAGGGCAGCGAGTTCCTGCAAAGACTGGTCGAGGTAGAGGCGCGCTGTAGCAATATGTTGCCACCTGCCTTTGGCAAGAAGCTGATCAAAGCCCATGCCTTCACGGTAAGCGCTTGTTGCAGCGCCTCTCCTCAAAGAGTAGGGCAAATAATTGAGCCCTTCCAACTTAAGCGCCTGAACCACCTCCTTCCACAAGGTGCGAAACCGAGGGGCTGTGGTCTCAACTAAGAGATCACCAGGCTCTTTCCCTTTACACAAATATCTGAGGCTATAGATTCCCATCTCTTCAGTGATGAGAACCTTCTCCTGTGTCAGGAGGTTTCGTTGTGCTGTTTTGGTGTCATGCAAAAACAGAATTGCCGACTGATGGCCATACCTCGGCAGCACCACATCCTGGCGACGTAGCTGGAACATCTCCCCCGTTCTAAGCAGGCCACAAAAACCCACGACGACTAAGTGGGCCAAATCATCCCATTGCCAACGGAGGAAAACTCCGGCAAAGCCTAGGAGAAGCTTAGGATCCAGGGGCGTCGCTCTGCGAGGCTGCTCCAGTTTATTCCATAAAGAAAGGAGCCGCCAGCTCTGTCGCAGCTGGCCCTTCAAAGTAGGCTGGTGAAACTGTAAGGCAGCCAATGCATAGCTGGCCACAGACTTTGTATCTCCGTCTTCCCACAACGTCTCAATGTAGTCGGACAAGATACCATCCAGACCAGGCATTGAAAGAAGCCTGTCTGTTGAAACACCGGCAAACTCAGCCACTTCTTTCAAAGAGTGCTGATACCGCTCTTTTGTTCCTTTTGTCACCCTTTGATCACTCAACCGGCCAATTCTCTGACGCTCCCGTTTGCGCTCTGCCTTGCTGTCCATATATTTAATCGGCTTCGGCATATTTCCTGCTGGGGGCGTCCGCAGGATTTAGCTTGGACATGATCCAAGCCCAAAGCGGGTAAAGGTTCAAGGCAAGGCAAAGAGCACAGATGCGTCTGAGGATCCGGTTGATCTTTCGTGATGATGACCGTCCTTTGGCTAGCACGGACAAGCAAATCTGCGAGTCCGACAGGTGAAGGAACCTGCAGGAGTGAAAGGTTGAGCTCCGAGCTCTCCACTCCAGTGTCCGTAGAATGCACCGAAGCTCCAAAAGGTTGATGTGCTCTTTCCGCTGCCATTTCCAGGCTTGCGCTACTTTCCAGACCCACCTTCGGGGATCAATGGTGGTCCGGACCATAGCATCAGGTCGATAGGCCACATTCAGGTCCAACCGGACATCTGAGCCTCGGAACTCGGCTCGCCTCAAGTACTGATGGACCAGCCGGACCCCCAAAAGGCTTGGGTTTCCATCCTTTCCCGGATGGCTGCACAGCCTGAGCCATTCGGCCCTCTGGCTGTTCTTCTCCAGGCACATCACCTTTTCTTCCTCCACCAGCTCCTTGAACTCCTCTGAGGCCTTCACCCCTTCAACATCTATCAGCCCAAAGTCATCAAAATGTTGCTTGTCCATCGCCTCATGCCATTTCTCCACTATGGCCTTTGCCCCCATTGGGTCTGTGCGAACCTGCATGGACCAGAGCCAAAGATCCAGCAGGCAGGCCACTGTCACGGTGTGAAAGCTATTGCCCAGCGCGGCCTCTCGCTCCACCGTCTGGTCAATTTTCTCCTGCTCACTTTGGGGCTCCTTTTTGTGAAGCGCCAGGGTGTAGCCCGTGGGAAATCCCATCAACCTTTCTCGTTCTCCCACGCTAGCCACGCGCTTGCTTCCTGACCCATCCTGCTTTTCAAAAAGGTATTGGGGCAGGTAGGTGTAGGGAGGAAACTTCATCCTGTCCCCCTGCCAGAGCCTGACCGTGGCCTCATCACAACTTTTCAAGCCCGCCGGCTCTACTGGGGGTTTCCTCCTTGGGATCGCCCTTGTGAAAGTGGGCAGCCTGAGCTCGTCATCCTCTTCACCTGCAGTCCACTTCCATCCCTCATCGGCCACCTTACCAATGGGCTCCGCGTGCTCCTCAAAGACCACTGCATCATACAGGCCAAAGTGCTCTCGAGTGAAGCTCCCATGATCCTCCAGCGCCACATTTGACCAATACAGTCGCGGCCTTCTCACCCGCGATAGCCCACTCGAGCAGACGAGGAGCGGCTTTGAGCCCAGGGTGCCTGTCATCTCCTCAATGTCCTCATTGTCACCAACCACATTCTCTAACATCAGAAGGCACCAAACTCGCATCTCCTCCGCCATTTCCTCGATCCAGCCCAAGACTTCAGTATACTTGTAAAACAGCTGGGACCGGGGATCAGCAAGGTGTTCTCTGTTTGCTGATAAACGTGACAATCCTTGGCAAGGAGATCCACCTCCAGCTATCACCCCCGTCAGTCCCGGGACACTCCTCACCATTCTTTCAACCTCCTTCTTGGTCACCTTTTCGATATCCAACCAGATATCACATCCTGGCCACCGCACTGAGTTCAACCTTCTGCAAGCTGGGTCCTTTTCTACCACCACTAGGCGATCAACTTTCACCTCGGCCAATTCCAACGCCCGTGACAAGCCACCTAGACCGGCAAAGAAATCGAACACAAGAATCACCTGCGGCTCATCCAGACAGCTCGTCTCATCCGGGCACTCATCAACCCCTTCTTCAATGCAATAGACTTCACGCAATCCCTGACCTGTCAGCCGGCCCCCATGACAATGCCACCACCGCTTTCACTGGCATCAGCTGCTGTCACCACATCATGAATCCTGGACCTCAAGTCCGTGACTCGGAGCGGCTGGCTCATGGCTGCCATCAGAATTTCTTCAACAGCCTTGACGGACAGGTCAATCATCACCTCACCATCGCTGATCTCCTTCCACAAGTAGTCAAAGATTCCGAACAGCGGCCTGCGAAACTGCATCGTGTGGACCTCCTTTCCCAGGAAAACTTGGAGGCTCTTCCGAGGGGCCTTCTCCGGACGCAGGATCCACATACCCAAAGAGATGCTCTCCAGAGCCCTCCGTGTGGCCCCTTTCAACAGCCCCTTTTCGCCGTCCAGCACAGCTCCCAGCTTTTCCCCTTTCTCCACACGCACCAACGACTTGTCCGGGCAGACAGGGATCCCCCAATGCTGGCACGCCCGTCTAAGCCTTTCCTGCTCCTCTGAGGCCTTCCCCTCAAGATCATCAGCAACTCGCTTTTCCATCACTTCCATCAAGCTTGTGTCATCGAGATATAGGCTCCATAGCTTCTCCTCCACTTCCAAGTCAGGGAATTGGCTGTCCCGACGAATCTCGCAGCTGCCCAGCAATCCGGCTCCCCCTCTCAGAGGATTTCTCAATGCGAGTCGGCGATGTGCGTGTTGGAGCACACCTACCGCTGATGCCCAGCCCATCGGTAGGACAGTGGCCCCAACATGAACCTTTCCAGGTTTGTCAAAGCCCAGCACTCGCCAGTCGACCGGTGCCGAAAAACACATCATCCGACTCCATTCCTCTGGCAAGGCAAATAGGTAGAATGCTGACACCAAATCATCTGCTGAAATGCGCAGCACCCTCCCTTGTGGCAAGACCACATGTTGCAAGGAGGGAGCGCCGCTCAGCGTCTTGACATCCCCAGTCAGGATCTTGGTCGCGGCATTGGTGCCCCTGAAGTCCATGATCAGTCTCAAAACTGGTCGCTCATCATCCAAGTACTTGCCGGGCTTGACCACTCCAAATGAGCCATTCACCAAAAATTGTCCCTTCACCTTCACGGGATCTTCAGGCCCCGCGCATACAACTCCTTCACAATCATTTCCCATTGTTCAGCGCTGGCATGAACTTTTGGCCGCGGCAAGTCATCTGGCATCTCCTCCTCCGGCAATATGTTCCCAAGGGGGTTCTCCAACTTCTCCCGCAGTTCTCCATCGCACAACTCAACCAGAGGTACACTAGCTCCGTACCCCGGCGGGGGGAGCCCAGGCATGATCTGGTCCAGTGTCAGCCTCTGCGCCTTCTCCACAACTTCGCCTTGATAGGAGATACGGACATCCCCTAGCTTTTTCCCCCATTCCCCCATGTCAGGGGACCGGGGAATCTTTTCCTTTGTCTCCGAGGTGTCATCCACAAAATTTTTAACCGTTGACCACAGCCTATCCAACGCCATCTGTTGAGCCTTGGTCACGGTCCCTTGGTGCACGGGTCCTTTTCTTCCACCTCCACACCAAAGGAAATTCACCAAGCAAACTGCCAGGCCATGCCACAACAATAGGCCAATACGGCGCATCTCCTTCCCCGCCTTTTCCTTGTTCTGCTTCTTGGCTGCCCATGATCCTGCCAACCTTCGGAACTCCCCTGACTCGAAAAGGCCTTTGAGCTCCTTGACTGTGTCTGGCAACAGCGGCAGGGGTAGTACGCCCCTCTGGCGAAGCTCCCTTTTGCCGACGTCTGACCCTGGTTCCACCAGACGCTCAAGGTATTTGCCCAAGGGGGTCCCACTGCGGTGGATGGCTAAGGCAACCAAGGCCCCATTCTGTGCCACACTTAAGCCTCCACATTCCTCTGACCGCAGCCAACCCTTAAGCGTTTCAACCATCTCCTGACTCGAGGCTTCTACTTCGACCGTCTCGAGGGACTCCTGCTCATAGGCCTCCTCTTCGGCGTTGGGCTCCGTATCGCCCCCTTTCTTCCGTCTCCTTTCCGAGTCTCCGGGTGTCCTCTTCTTCCTTTCCATCCTCCTGCTTTTCCTTGACCCTTCTTCGGCCCTGTCCCCGGAGGCAACTTCAGACCTCCTTCTCGCGGGTCTGGAGGGTCCACTCGGGTTTCCTCCTGAGGGATCTCTTTCACTTGATCGCTGATCGTCACTCGCCGCTGTGGCTCCGGACTCCTCTTCTCCTCCACTTTCCGTTCGGGGGGTGGCGTCACGGGTCCTCCTCTCATCCGGAACCCGCCGCCCGCTTCCTATTTCGGTGGCTGGCCCCGGTTCTTCTGGGTGAGCTGCTTCAGTTTTGAGTTGGCCAACTCCAGGCGTGCTGCCTTCCGTCGCTCCCCCTCCGAGGTGAGACTCGCTGATTGCGCCGGTATCAGCTCTTGATGGCGTGCAGTCTGCCATCCTCCCTCTCCGAGAGATGTCTCCAGGGCTTTGAGGCGCTGGACCATAAGGTCCCCCAGCTCCCCCAGCCGCCCTTGGATCAGCAGGTCTATGCCGGACCCCAGAGTCACCAGCTCCCGATAGTTGCGCAACCCTATCGTGCTGGCGGGGTGCTGTGTCAGCACAATCTGGTTGATGTACCCCAACATGCGGTACTTTGTCCAGTCTTCGGGCCCGTTGTCTGCTCCTGCTACTTCTCCGAGGTACCTTTGGAGCTCTTTCATGGCTCTTTTCAGGAGCCTCCCGGGGTGCTTTCGACTCAGCCGCCATAGTTCTTCCTCCCCCCGGGCAGAGGGCATTCGAAAACCTTCAGACGACTGAGAAGAGCCTGAACCTTGACTCCGGCTCTTTGAGTACTCACTGGACTTCTTATCCCTCTGCCTCCTGCGTCCTCGACCGCGACTTCTCGAGCGCCATTTTCGCTGGCCCTTCCTTTCCAGCTCCTTTGCCCGATGCAGTTCTCTCCTCTCTGCCGCTTTCCTTTCCAGCAATGCCCCCACGGACCCACGAGGAGCCCCCTGGGGACCAGCCTTCTTGTCGCCTCCCAGACCGTCTCCCCCTTCTCCTTCTCGCGGCTCTTTAAGGGCGGCTTCACGGGCAGCTCGATCAAGACCAGTAGGGTCTGGCCTCTGACCACCCCCCAAGCCACGAGGGCCAGCAGGGGGTGGAGGTGGTCCCCCTGGCTCGGGGACCCTTTCTGCTGGGACAAACTTGTTGACTGCCTCCGTCACGAGTTGAACTCCAAAGTTTCTCATGTAATCATTTTCCAACATCAACAAGGGATTGACCAGTCTCCAACGCTGGACATGAATCAACTCCCGCCGGTCTCCTCGGGCCAGTCGACTCTTGCAGTCACTGAACTTCTCCTGACAAATGTGATAGACACACTTTCCCACCTGGAGCTCTCTCGTCGCGTACCACTGGTAGTAGTCATCAGAGGCCCCCAAATGGTTGGCTAGTAAAAGCCCTTCCGGGAAATTTTCCCAATCCTCTAAGACGACAAGAGCTCGTCCTTGTGGCTTTCTCTGGTTGTCGTAACATTCATACTCCAAAAGGCCCCCTCGTGTCATGCATCCTCGGGCCACCTCTAGGATAGCGGCGCCAAAGCTGCGGCCATCCTTCCAGCTCAAGTCTTCGGACGTCAGACCCCTGGTGACGAGTTGCTCCCAATCCTCAAGTAGGCCACCTTTTGCCAGAAGCATCCTCTTTTGCTCCTCCATTCTCTCCCCACTCTTGAGGGTCTCTTACCAACTCAAGTTGGCAAGGCTGAAGCTCAAGCTTCCCTGCCCCCAACAGTGAGGAGGGCGACCTGAATTTTCCTTTTCCTTCTTCCTCGTACCCTTAACCGCCCAGCTTACCCGATCAAACGGGCCTAGCCAGGCAACCAACCAAAAAGAAGGACCCCCTCTCACCCCTAGCCCACGAGAGGCCCTGAGGTGAAGGAGCCCTTCGCACTGTTGCTCACTGCCCTGCCTCTCCTAACCCTCACTCCACAGGAAGCCAAGGGAAGAAGGAGGCAGGGCAGCCTTGAGTCTCAAAGCTCCGGTCAGCTCAGACATCACGCATGCTACCCCTTGTGGAGAACACATACATATACAGATACCTATACCTATACGTATACGTATACATATACATTTACATATACATATACATATACCTATACCTATACCTATACGTATACGTATACGTATACGTATACATATACATATAGACATATAGACATATACATATACATATAGTATACATATACATATAGTATACATATACATATACACATATACATATACATATACGTATACATATACATAAATATAAATATACATATACATATACCCATACCTATACCTAAACGTATGCATATACCTATACCTATACCTATACGTATACGTATACGTATACATATACATATAGACATTGACATATACATATACGTATACGCATACGTATACATATACATATACATTTACGTTTATATATACATATACATGTACATATACATATACGTATATATATATATATACACATACATACATATACATATATTACTATATATGTGATATATATATATATGTGATATATTTATATATATACATTTACCACCACTGTACATATTCACTACTAAACAAACAATGCCAACAGCGGACTCACCCCACAGGTCACCGTCGCAACGATGGCAACTCAGGACTCCCGGCTGTGTCGTCTCCCAAGTCCGACACGGGACTGGTTGGCATCTCTGTTGGCACCTGGGAAAATTTGGAGAAATGGATGGTTGGGACATCCATTAGATTGCATTATATACAGTATGTATATATATATATATGTATATATATATATATTTATGATGATGATCCCAATTTTTAAGGTTTTATCATCATGATATTCCTGGGTTTAAGGGAAATCTTTTCCTGTCAATGTTTTTTCTTGAATTATCCCAATGAGACACAACGGGTTGCTGCTGGCTTGGCATGCTGACAGGATCAATGCTCACCCAAAATTTGGGAACGCTCAAATTTCTCTGTGAATATTGGCAGCCAACTTTGCGAGGATTGGAAATAAATATGGCATGGTTACATGGTTCTGATTCTAACTTCATTGTTGCATCGAAGCCTCTGATAAACCATTCTCATTGGTGATTTACCTATTTTAGTTGCGGCATTAAATTGAATGTGGAATACCGCAAACAAGCAAGAATCTAGTGCGAGGAATTGTAAGAATTGGTTAACAAGTTACGAGTAGTTTTGAATACATAGATAAGGAATCACATAAGTGATCACACCGAAGACTAACTGATTTACCTAATCTGATAAGAAATGCTGTGATGATAATATCAATTGAGTAATACTAATATTACTAATGTATAATATTGATAATTATTCAACCAAATGATAACAAAACCTCCCAAGATCTTTGGGCCACCTTCAGCCACCGCCTTTGCCGCCAAAAAACCGGCATCTCCGAAGGCGATTCCGGGGGCGCAGAGGAGTCGGGACCCAGAAAGGCGGAGGATTGGAGACCTCCGTTTGCGCAAACGCGACGCGACGCGACGTTGTTCAATGGCTCAATATCATCATGGGAAAATATGGGAAAATGATATTTATGATATGTATGATGGGAAAATCTGTAGTTGGGAAATCTGATATGGGAAAATCTGGGAATTTCTGTAGGATGTTTATGGATGTATGATGTGTGATGATGCTTTAACATCATGTACAGTAACTATAATTCTCCTATGATTTTCCTGTTCCGTAGGAAATGCATATGGGTATGGGTCAAGATTGGGTTATCCAAAAAAAATGTGATTAGTACTGAAATATGACCAAAATCTGTTTTCAGCTGCGTCTCTTTCATTTTGACCATACCCATATGGATGCCTTATGTTGGAAGATTATATGGTTTATGTGTGTTGGGAGTTGATGGATGCCTTATGTCATCGGATTTAGGGTACATCTATCGAACCCCTGGCTGAGTCGAAATGGTCGGGAGCAAACGAACAGTAGCTGCGAGTCGATTTATCCGACCATGTGTGGGTCAGAAAGAATTGATTCAGCACTCATTCAGAGGACCCACAATAGGTTAATATGTATGTAAATATATATATATATACATATATATTATTATATATATATAACTGTATGTATTGGTCCTGACGTAGATAGAATTAGAAATTGGATGTTGCAAGATTATATTGAAAATTGGGCTCATGAAGAACTGAAGGTGGTTGGAATATTTAGACCTCCCCAGGTACATTTGGAATATCCCCAAACTGGGTCGCTGGAACGTGTTTGAGAATGTTTGAGAGCTAGTTGGACTGTGTCTAGAAATATAAACACAGATTCCCCAACCATCTCCGCACCGGAAACTTTGGAAGCCATACCAGGTGCTGTTTTTTGATTTTAGGTTGCGAGGGACATAGACTATGGTCACAACATGTCAAAACATTCGGCTTTCATCAAAGGAAAGGTGAAGACATGTGAAGAGCAGCTCGAACCCACATTCAGAAAAGCAATGTAGGTTTAAGATGGTTTAAGAATGGAAAGCAAACTGTTCCACAAAGCTTTGGTGGTTCACAAGGTTTCTGATCTGTATACTAAAAATACCATGCTCCCCGAACTGATCAATTTCTTACTGCTTTTTGTATCAGCAAGTGCCTTTTTCTTAGCCGCAAAGGGTGCCCTCCAGGAGTGGTGTGCCCGAACAAAATTGCGAACCTCACAAATATGAAGGAATCAATATGAACGATGTCACATGATGTTGAAAAATAGTGTCAAACTGCTGTGGGGTCTGTTTGGGGCTTGGATTCACAATCCCATAATATTCCATCTGTGTGGTTTTGTGGCAAGATTTTATCATATTTTCTGGTTGGTGGTATACCTACCCCTCTGAAAAATATGGAAGTCAGTTGGGATTAGTGTTCCCAATATATGAAAAAAACATGTTCCAAACCACCAACCAGTTTTGATATGTTATCTTCCATCCGAGTTTCTGGGGGTGGTTTTAGTTTTGACAGAGACGTGAAAATTGGCCGTCTTCCGATGTTTTTTCAATGTCTTGAAAATCAGATTGGACAATGTACCAGATTCTATCTATCTCAGGATCACTACTATGTACAAGTATATAATTATATATACACTACCGATCCTAATTACTATATAATCATATATTATCACTTGTATAGCTATATACACTAATTATAATTACAACAAAAAAATACATGCTACTATGTATATAATTACTGTATAATTATATATATACATACATACATTACATATATCATATGCTGTGGGTACTCCCCTAAAATCACCGCCGCATCATCCCTGCCACCTGGCACCAACAGAGGAGGCTCGTCGGTGGTCACCTGGCCAAGTGCGACAGTTTCGCGATTCAAAATATGTGCCAGAGGTGTGCAAAACATTGAAATGGCTATGGATCAGCTGTAAATACCTGGGGGATGAACATCCATAAATCATCATAAATCCATAAATCCATCCCAGTTCTTTTGATCACCGGTAGGTAACTTGACCCATCCCCAAATGGATGATTTTTGTAACGTAACTTTGAGACAGTTCAAGAAACAATTCCGAGAGACTCCTGGATCTGGCACACAATGTCGCAGTGATTCAATGATAATCATTGATAATCCGTAAGTTGCATCTGGAAATCCTCAAAACATCAAATGTGTTGGATCCAGCTTTTTTATGCTTTTTTGGGATAAATGCGCCTCCACCGTTGGATCATAACCTGGCGATCCGATCACGGAGGAAGGTCCCATAAAAATCGTGGACCCAAGAAATTCGTCAAGTTCCTTTCGGGGATCATCCGTTGGAATCACGGAAGTGACTAGCTGACTAGCCATTTTGGGATATGTTTAGTGGATCAACCTGCCAATCTTAGGGGATCACACAACAACTTAACCATCAACTGGGAAACCAAGGCTCTGGACATGGGTTTTCAACAAATGTTTCGTGGGCCCAGTCACTAGAATCAGGTTGCACATTTCCAGATCGGATGGAAAGACCTGCAAATTTTGGGTGAGAGCTATCTAGCTACAAACATCCCAAGTAGGGCTTGCAAAACAAGAGCTTTGAAACCAACCACTGATAGTTCTATCATGCTGCACTTTATCCCGTTTTTTTGATGCTTTGGTCGCTTAGATCCACCAGCAAAAGCAACATGTGTGTCCACGTATCACCAAGTATCTTGACCCGGCCACCCCGAAAGGCCAAACGACATGAAACAAATCACCAAAGCTTATCCACCCGCCTGGCAAGTGCATTGGCTCGCCCACCTCCGACAAATGGGATCAGTCTCGGGGAGGCTGATTTTGTGGAAGAAAAAGCTTTGGAAAGCGCGGCATTTCCGTATTCGCCTGAAACAAGAAAACCCTGGTGTACCCTCAAATCACTTCAAATCAGAAATTCCTTTATTTGAATCTCTTGGGCCCTGGTTTCACCTCTGACACGAAACACTTATATCATTAAAGGAAAGAGAATGAGAAAATCGGACAAAGACCTGCACGTCATCCCAATAAACTCCTGCCAAAGCCTCAGATTTCAGCAATGTTTACCCTCTGGTTATTTGTGCCAGTTCGCCATGGAAAGATCCACCCATGTTCAAGTTCGGTAAACCATCTATTTCGATTAGGGCCATCTATACCATGGCGAACTGTTAGTCATAACCAGAGGGTATTATCCATTATATCCCCTATAAATCCCTATAAATCCCTATAATAACCAAATGGTACCCAGAGGGTCGGGTAAGGCTTTTCGACCAGGTCTCCCGACAGCATCCCCTAGTGGCTCTTCGATAGGACTCGTGGGCAGCTCAGTGGGAACCTGACTGAAGAGGAAATCCCCGAGAAATGGCGGCCTTTGTCAAAAAGGCTGTTGATTCATGGGAAAAACCACGAACTAATGGTGGTTTAATGGGGTTTAACCAACAAAATGGTGATTTTAATGGGATGTACCCTCTGGTAAACTAACATAACTATGGAAAATCACCATTTTTAATGGGAAAACTCACTATTCAATAGCTATGTTAAATTACCAGAGGTAACAGGGGAATGTGCGTTTGCAATGGTTTAATGGTGGTTTAATGGTGGTTTAATGGTGGTTTAACCAACAAAATGGTGAAATGGTGATTTTAATGGGATGTACCCTCTGGAAAATATTTGATTACCAAACGGAACTCTCCAAATTGGCAATCCAAAGATGTCTGGAAAATCAGAAGTGTGGAAAATACTTGGACGAGTGCTACATGCCTGAAAACAGCATGCACCGCCGTCCATGCAGTTGCCGACTTTTCGGCTCAACTCGTTCTCCAATTACCCTCTGGTAAACTAACATAGCTATGGAAAATCACCATTTTTAATGGGAAAATCCACTATTTCTATGGTCATTTTCAATAGCTATTTTGACATAACCAGAGGGTATTTGGAATATCATCCAATCTCAAGATATTTCAAGAACCCACCGTGACTTTATTAATTGCTTGACATCCATCCGATCACTCTCGAATCTCATCCCCAAGGGATGATCGTGTTGACGACGACATCCCCGAGGTTTTTTTGTCTGGGTAAAACAATGTCATTTGTTGATATATCTAGCATATACTAGCATATAGCATATTATGTGGGCAGAACAATGTCATAAACCACCTATTTGGGAATGGTTTCAACATACCACCTATAAAAATGCTGATGATAATTGGGGATGGTGCAAATGACATGTAAGTTTTTCCCACATGATGTGGTATTAGAAAGAAAAAACATACCGACCTGGAAGTTCATAATATGTCGCTGGGTTTGCCACATCCCAATTCCGAAATATCCCGATTTTGACATGTTGCACTTTATTGAGTTAAGATGAACCCAGGATGCATTAAACGCTGTTGATTCAATAGGGGGGTTGCCTCCTTACCTCCTATTTAGTGATCGTTTGCCGTGGAAATGGAACCGTTCTTAACTGTTTATCGCTAATCCTGGCGTTACATGAACAAAAATACAACTTACACCATTGATACTCGCATTTTCCTATGATGTACCCTCAAAAAATTGCCAGAAATGGGTAGTTATTTATATATTTATATATATATATATATATATATGTGCGCATATATATATATATATACATATGCATATACATATACATATACATAAGGTTCTGGCTGTAAGCTCACTTGTCAGGAAGATTTCCCCCCCTGGCAGTGAGTAGGGTGTTCGGTCTTGACCCGCCAGCTACCTTAGCGGGTGCCATTCGCCCGCGGGCTGCTTTGCGTTTGGCAAGCATTGCAGCTTTGGCCAATTGTGCTCTTTGACCCTGGGCTGGTCAAATCACCTTTGCTCAGAAAGTTTGACATCTTCATCGCTGAACTGGCACGCCCTGGCGATCTCCATCCTTGTGTTTGTGCTCACGATCGGGCTTGCGAAGTGTGGTTGAGCTTCTCCCCCTTCATTCTGGCATATTTCTTCTACCTTGCCGAAGTGCTGGCGAAGTTTATGTTCATCCTGGTCGTATATTTGTACATCCTTGGATCTTTTTGCAATCATTCTGAGCTCCAATACATCTCGTCGCAGACAGCGACGCCAACGTGCAGCAGTTCGAAGGAATTTGTGGCTCCATCGACAAGGCCACATCACGCTCACTGCCGGCCGTATCAAGCAAGCAATTCGAACCCTCTCAGCGCACCATTCTGTGGATCGCCTACATCTTGCTCATCTACGCAGACTCATTGCCCAGATACCAGCAACGATGGCGGAATCATGGAGGTGCAAGCGCTGTTGGAAGGTCCTCAGTGGCAAGCATCCGCACTGTCCACATTGTGGAGGCCATTGGAACAAGATGCAGGATATGAGCTTCATGCCGCCAGAGCGAGATCCGTCACACAGGCCGAAGAGTCGTGGACGCTCTCCGCATGCGAAAAACGAGCAGTACACTGGCTGGTATTGGGATGGATCCACAACCTATCCCGATCGGGGACGCAGTGGCTCAGCAAAACCTGCAGGACAAGGCAGAGGTCGAAGAAGACAGAAAAACAAGAACAAGGGCCAGCCTTATGCGGCTCTAGCCATGCCACCGCCGTGGAAGCCGGAGGAAGCATCGACGAAAGAGACTCCGTCTACCTCTTCGGTGCTAGCCACAGCCCAGGCGGAGATGGTGAAAGAGATTCGAGAAGCCTATACAGACGAAAAAGACATGCCAGCCAGTGTTCGGCGCATGGTGGAAAAGCACGATCCCAACAGTGGACGCCAGCTTACGGCTTCTATGAACAAGACCACAAAGGATCTGGAGAAGGCCCGAGACAGCCTGCAGAAGCTTTCAGATGCGAAAGCAAAGCACCGCAGCAAGTGGATGAACCACATGAAGAGCCTCATGGAGACCTTATCCAAGCAGGTCGAAGCCTTCGAAGACCAGCAGAAAAGCTACAACGACAAGATCAAGACCGCCCAGAAGGACATCACTATCACAAGGAGAGAGTTGAGGAGGCTTACAGCACAAGCTGCAGCCGACCACTCTGCGGAGGTGGTGGAACCGACCCTGGACGAAGAAGACCAGACAGACAACGCAGTCGATGTGGAAGAGGACGAACTGCGCACACAGGTCTACGATCTATTGTCCAAGTGTCTGAAGAAGGCCGACAAAGCCACTGTGGTAGAGATCAACTCCGACGAGGAGCACATGGATACCAGTGCCGAAAGGGCCAACAAAAGGCCTCGTTCAGCCGATCCATTTGGATCTTCTACCAAGTGACAATTGGCAACGGTGGTGATTGTCTGCGGAAAGACCATCGGGAGCCAGCCTACTTCAATGTCAAGGACGCCGGCAACTTTGTTGAGGCCTATGACCATCTGCAAGATGGTTGTGCAGCAAGCAGAGATTGCAGCTATACGCCTTGGCCACTACATCCACGAACCCACAATGAAGACAATTGTATTTATCCATTCATGGCGTTGCACATTGCCTATGATCTCGCCAATCAATGTGGCACATGGAACAATATGAGAACAGAACATGATGATGGAATTTCTTGGATCTCCTGTTTTGATCCTATGCCAGCTTGGACACCTCCCCAAGATCAGCTGTGCTCACCAAAAACAGTGACATTCTCCTCTGAAATCAGCGTTTACCATGCTTACGAGGATGAGATCGGAAACTACATCAGCTATGCCACCAAGAATCAAGTTGAGTTGCATCCACAACAATGCCATCTCACTGACAACCACATGAGACCAGCTCAAGACCGCTTTCGAGATGAGTTTCAGCCTCGAAGACCACCTGATGCACATGCCCATGCGCTTGCACATCAACCAGACTTTGTGCAAGAATTAGCTGCCACCCTTCACCATGAGGGCACCTTCGATCCACGCAGGCAGGAGCGCTATATCAAGGTCCTTACATGGTACATACATGGGATTGACAGACGAGAATGCAGAATGGCAAGAAGTGTGCGTCTCACAGAGGACTTCACAACATGGCCACAAACCATCCTCGAGGAATGGAGAGGAATCCTGCGACCACAGCAAGCTGTCACCTTCTTTGTCGCAGAACCTGAACCGCCCATTGCTGAATGGGAAGACCACCATGCACAGCTGATTCTTGTGCAGGCCCCACAGCATTTTGAAAGAGCCGTCTTGTTCAGCTCGGTCTTCCATGCACATCAACAAGTTGCCTTTCAACGCATTGCCAGATTCTGCCTTTCAGAAGTGCATCTACAAGAATGCATCGACAACGCAGAAGTTCCTAGGCAAGTACGGCAACGGCCTATTCAGGCTTTCTATGGCTGGCGTCCCATTTTGATGCCTCCACAGCCGCGCACTGAGCTCAGAGATGGAGCGGCAGTTGTACTGCATGTGCGACAAGCACCTGAAACGATTGGCCAATATGAGAGGTATCCATTTGACTTTCTTTGGCAAGAAGATGGCTATGTGCCGCAACACACTGCACATCGCACCAGAAGTCGATCACCACGACGTCCACACCAAGAAAGCGATGATGAAGCCTCTCTTTTAGCCCATCAACCGCTACAAACTCGACCTGTGCCTGCATTGACTGACAACCCGGATGTTGTGCAAGATGACAACATGATCAATGAGGATTCAGATGAGGACACAGAGTCCAGCGCATCAGCATCGACCTATGATAGCAATGAACCCTCAAGCTTCTTCAACATTTTCCAATTGAAATCGCCTATGTTTGCTGCACGTGTGCGTACAGACAGCTGGCCACTTGCATACAGCCAGATCAGACACATCATTGGACTTGATCGACACGACATCCAGTATATCCACATGGTCACCCACAGGCCTGCTGACCTGTATGCAGCTGGCACTCATGTGGCGCTGGTACAACGAGTCAATGATTTGAGTCCTGGTGACCACAAGCGCATTGTCCTGGTTGACGTAGTTTTCCATGAGCATGATGCGGCTGAAACCACCACGCACCGGTATGCAACATTGATGCGAAAGGATATGACAAGGCGAATCATGCTTGAAGAATTGCAACTTCATGCATATTGCAAACAAGTCAAACAACAATGTATTGTCAAGGTCAATGGGAAGATCATACCCTTGTCCAATCATGTGCTATTTGACATGCATCATGCTGACTACATTCGTATTGACTTGCCACCACATCCAAAGCGATCCCTTCCTTCCAGGGCTATTGCACGATGTTTGCGTGATGGGATCAAGATGGCAGAGGCACAAAGGCTCTACGACCAAGGGACAACAGACTTTGAATGGGAAACAGTCCCTGCCCATCATCAAGAAGATCAAGATGCACTGGATCTTCTTCAAAGGCAAACAACCAGGCGCCAAACAGCTGAGAAGGTGGCTCATACTCAGCGGCCTGGGTCATTGCCTACGCCCTTGCGTCTTCAGGAACTGATCCCAGCCCCACCCCAAACATGCATTGATTTTGCAGAGGTGCAATGGGCAACTATTCAAGTGGCGAACATTGACCTTGACCTCATGCAAAACTGGCCTGACGACCTTGAGCTGCAAACTGTCACCATTGACCATCTTGCCACTCTGGGAGAGATCTCACAAAGCAAACCCAAAGCCATCCACTTTTATGTTGATGGTTCCAAATGCGATGGCGAAGTTGGTGCTGGTGTGGCGTGCTTTTTCGAATACAACCACTATGATGCCCTGGCTGGATGTATGAGCAAATCGATCCAGCCTGCCCAACATGCCTTTTATGGCGAACATGCGGCTATGATATGGGCTCTATTGTGGGCGATTCAACTCAGCGACTGGTGCATGTACACCTTTGCCACGTATGACATTGACATCAGCTTCAATTTCGACGCGATGAATACTGGCTTCCAAGCAGCAGGGCAGTGGCGCACAGTTGAACACCGCATGTGGAAAACTGTCATGCGTTCTTTGGCACAAGTTCTTGAACGACGCCACACGCAAACCCGCCTGCATTGGACCCACATCAAAGCACATACACAACACCCAAGAAACGAGCTAGTTGATCAACTAGCCAAATATGCTGCCAAAAATCCTGACAATGTTGGCAATTGCGATGCATGGATGCCATGGATCACAGAAGGCCTCCATCAACATACCCTGCCCTGGCTCTGGTATTACGAGTATCTGCACACCCAGCCTCATGATGCTCCAAGCCTTGAGGGCACCTTGTTGACAGCCTGCCGAACACCCATGGCACATGAAGATCATCGCCAGACTGACCAACCTTCACCAAAAGTTGCACAAGATGATGTCACCGTAGCCTCATTTGACTTCATCCTGGCCACCGTCAACATCCTCACGCTGGCCACTGAAGATCAATTTGGAAGGATCACGCCGACAAAGCAACAACTCCTGATGGAGCAATTTAGTGCTGCTGGATGCCATGTCCTTGGTCTACAAGAAACACGACACAAGCGCATCATCAACCCCAGCAATGAGCACTATCACATTGTTGGCCACCCAAGTGATGCACAAGGCCTTGATGGAGTTCAAATGTGGTTTGCGAAGCGTAAGCCTCTCTACGCAGATGGCCCTTACATCCTGATGAAGCACTTGAAGATCGTACATGATGCCCCAACGCTCCTGATCGTCAAATTAGACATGCCAAATTGGCGATCCATCTTCATCACAGGACGTGCCCCACATGCTGGCCGCCCGGCGGAAGAAAGTCAGAAATACTGGGAGCACATCTCCAAATGCATTCGGCAATTTGCCCATGTGATGCCAATATTCTACCTTGGTGATACCAATGGGCACCTTGGTGCGCATCCTAGTAGTGCTGTTGGGCCTCACTATGCATCCATTGAGAACATCCCTGGTGCGACATTCCATGATTGGTTACTTGAACATCAGCTTTGGCTTCCCAGCACATTTCAGGAGCATCAAGTTGGGGATGACAACTCGACCTTCCTCTCCCCTGATGGGCAACATGAAACCCGAATTGACTATGTGGCACTACCATCTGATATTGACTATGACAACGTCACCAGCTGGGTAGATGCTGACATTGATCTTGGAGGTGCGCGCACTGACCACATTGCGGCGTTCTGTCGTTGCTGCTTTGAGAAGTCCAGCATAAATCGACTGCATTTGCCAGCTCAAGAAAGCCGGAAACCAACACGACATGAAATGGCTGCACAAGTACGAGATCCTGCCGTACAGGCTTTCCTCTACCAGACCTTGAGCAACCCTGCATGGAGTGTTGACCCACATCAATCTGCAGACCACTTGGCAAATTGTACACAAGCCGCATTACAGCACATCACACCTACGTCCAAAAGATGGAGACGCAAGTATCACGTTGATGCTGCTACATGGGCCATTGTTGAGGAGAAGAAAATGCTCTTCCGACAGTTCAAAGCCATGCGGAAGACACGAACCAAGACGGTCCTACAAGTGATCCTTCAAGCATGGAGACAACAAATGCCCAACAACGCTCAGTGCAATCTGCAAGACCACAAGGTCTGGCTGAAGATGATCGATCACGCCATCGCCACTACCACATCCAAGATGCAAGAAGCAGCCAAACAAGCATCCAGTGCCATTCGCAAGGCTGACACCAAGTATTACCTGGCCCTTGCAGAACAAACTGGACATGCATACACCCATGAAGGGCTCACAGCAGTTTGGAAGCAGATCAAAGCAGTGCTGCCTCGCAACAAACTCAAGCAAATACATGCCAGACAGGAGCTTGGTGACACATTGCTGCAGCACTTTGCACAGCTTGAGGCGGGAACAATCACAAACCGTGATGACAGCCACCAACAGTGAATCATCCGCAACAATCAGGATCTAGACACTGGACCGAGCGTACGGCAGCTTGCACTTGAGGAGTTACCCACATTGGCTGAAATTGAAGACCTATGCCTCAAGCAGCGCCCGAACAGAGCACCTGGACTCGATCTGATTCCACCAGAAGTCTGTCGGTTTGCCGCCAAGGAGATTGCTCCATATATCCACAACGTGATCCTCAAATCCTTCCTCTGGGGAGTTGAACCACTGAGGTACAAAGGTGGACAGCTATGCGCAATATGGAAGCAAAAACACTCCCGTGCCAATGCCAGCTCTTACAGAGGAATTTTGTTAGCAGAGGTGTTTGGGAAGATCCTGCACTCTTGGGCGCGGCAACGCCTTCTTCCGACCCTGGTCCATAGACGAGCACCAGGCCAAATCGGTGGGCTCCCATCGCAGCAGACCACTACAGCAATACAGCTGCTGAAGCTGCACGGGCGTCAGGGTCGCCACCGCCGAATGACTACTGCAGTCATCTTTGTCGACTTGAAGGCGGCGTTTCATCACATGCTCAGGGAATTTGTGTTCTCAGTGAATGAACCCCTTCAGCAACGTGAGCTTCGGCATATCTTCGACCCCAATGAGTTCAACATTGAACAACTTGCTGCAGATCTCCAACAAGCGTGTGAGGAACAGCCCACGGACATCCCAGCGGCCCTGCGTCTCTTTCTCCACGACATTCACAAATCGACATGGTTCCAACTCGATTCTGACAAGGATCAAATTGTCACCACTGGCAGAGGGACGAGACCTGGATCTCCCCTGGCGGATTTAGGCTTCAATTTGCTCATGTCTCGCATCATGCATCAACTTGGAGATGGTCTTCAACAATTGAGCGACTATGTCAGAGGAGGCGAATTGCTTGGAGCACAGGTGCCACCAGTGGCGTGGGTCGATGACTTGGCGATCCCACTTGCTACAGAAGACCCTCACAAGATGATTCCGCTGATCCAAGACGCAGTTGCACTTCTGCATGCCACATTCACTGCCCACGGCATGACCATGAATTTTGATTCAGGAAAATCTGAAGCGGTGGTTATGTACCGCGGAAAAGGTGCAAATGAGTGCAGGACGGCCCTTTTTGACACAGACAGTGCGCCATGTATAGTTACAACTACGGACACGCACGTGCTTTCCGTCAAGGTTGTGGCTACATACAGACACTTGGGTGCTCGCTACACCATGAATGCAGATGGTGAGGCAGAAATATCTACCAGGATCGCCATGGCTAGACAATCCTACCAGGAGCTGAAGCGAGCCATCTTCCACAATCAGTACATCCCGCTCAAAGGCCGTATGCAGCTCTATGACAGCCTCGTTGTGTCGCGTTTGATGTATGCGTGCTCCATCTGGATGGATGTATCCAAAAGCCAACTCCAACAATTGGAAGCGATGATCATCGAGCACCACCGCAGGATGGCCAACATTGGCTTCTGGAATGACACACATATGACTGATGCGGAACTGAGGCAACACCTTGAGATCCCGCCATTTCGCATCACGTGGGCACGACACAGACTCATTTATTTGCAACACATTGGGAAGCATGCAGCAGACTTTCACAAGCACCTCCTGCTTGCTGAATTTCAACAAGGACGAGGATGGCTTTGTGAAGTGACGACTGACCTCAAATGGCTTGCAACATTGGTCCCTGTACCTTTCAACATTCCAATGACCCCACGAGAGTGGGAAGAAGCCTGGACGATGCTGCAGGGGCTCTCGCACTGGAAAAGCCTGGTCAAACGTGCATGCAATAAGCATGCCCTCCAAGACCGGATTGCAAGGGATGTTGAGCACTACCACAGCGTTATTGTGGATGAGTTGACCCAAGCTGGATTCCATGTCTGGACAGGGGACCACACGACGGAAGAGCAGCAGAAGCCGCAATATCGATGTGATCAATGTGATATGGTGTTTGATTCAGCTCATGCGCGAGGTTCCCATGCCTATCAAGTGCATGGGATGATGTCAGCAGAACGGCCCTATGTCCAGTCCACTGTCTGTCCAGGCTGCCTGAAAGACCACCATACAACTTGGCGCGTACGACAACACCTCAAGTACCGCCAAAATGGATGCTGGGACAGGATACATGGAGCTCGACTACCTGGTGAACCCTGCACCATTGTCCTGCCCAAGCATCTACAACATGTGCAACGGCTCCCAGCTGTGAGAAGGCACCTAGGGCCTATACGCCCCACCAGCATCCAAAGACAACGAATCCAGCTCCGACAGCGCATCACAGCACTTCGAGCAGCTGGACAAGAAGAATATGCTTGGTGGCACCCAGAGCGAGACCCGGCACTGGCTGAGAGAGCTTGTGCAGTCTTTACAGCTGGACTGCACCAATGGTGCCAACATGAAGCTCCAACCAACATTGAGTTTCAAGACATCATGTTTGGCAAAATCTTTCAGCTTGGCATCCCTGACCTTTTGGGTGGGCGCCTCTTTGTCCACTGGATTGAGACTCGATTCTATGACGAATGGCCCAACGACCTCGACCCCGAGCTCATCGACATTCTGGAGATCGCTTACATGCAGATGTTGGATGATATTCCAGCGTGGCAGAGCCGCTGTGAGATGAAGAAGCTCACAAACCTGTGGATGCATCTCCCTCCTGATGAGCCGGAGATCCCACCCAGGCAACCTCCTTTGACGCAGAAGCCAAGATCACGAATCCACGAGATATGCGCACCTTACAACTTGATGGGACAACACGAACAGCAAAGGCGCCTATGGAAACTATTTGCTGCTCCGCGACCACAAGTTCCAGCCAAACGAGGTCCCTACTACATTGTGCACCTCTATTCAGGGCGACGTAGGCCTCTGGATTTTCACGCTGCTGTTGAGGAGCTTCTCCCACGCTTTGCGCATCTGGAGATCCGCGTCCTCTCCATTGACACAGCGATCAATGCGGAGTTCAACGTCCATGACACGAAATTGTGGGGCTTCCTGGTTGACGCAGCCCGTGCAGGGCGCATTCTGGGCCTTTTACAGGGCCCACCATGCGAAACCTGGACCGCTGCGAGGCACCACCAGCAGCTGGACTCCGATGGTCGAGCTCTACGAGGCCCGAGACCTCTCCGGTCAACACAGGACCTGTGGGGACTTGCGCTCCTTTCCTGCCGAGAGCTTGAGCAGATCTATGTCGGTAACGTGCTGCTCTTAAAAGGGATACTCCTTGCGTGCCTGGTGACCATCAGCGGCGGTGCCACATTTCTCGAGCATCCATCAATGCCGTTCCAAGATGAAATCTCGAGCATATGGCGATCAGGGCTCCTTTGTCTCCTTCATCGTCCACCGCATGGCCCCTTCAAGCGAGTGAGTGCTGAGCAGTGGCGTTTTGGTAGCTGTGGAGTCAAGCCTACCACTTTTCTTTATTCAAATTCAAATTTGCCACGAGCCCTTGAGATGTGCGTGGACCAGACGGCTAAGCGTCCGACTGCCCACCTCATCGGGCGCAATACAGATGGTTCTTATAGAACTGCCAAAGCCAAGGAATACCCGGCACAGCTCAACAGAGCTTTCGCACAGGCCATTTTTGCGGCCATGACACGATGGTCGATGGCGCCGGGAGCGGCAGAGGCCGAGAGCTTTGGCAAAGAATTGGCGAGGAAATCAGCCAGCATTGAGTGCGGTGAGATTTTCCCTGACTATCAGCCATTGGGTTAGTCAGCGCCATTTGCATGATAGCACGAGCGAGACTCATATGCTGTTGGAAAAAAATACATACATATATATATACATATACATATATATATACATACATATACATATACGTATACATATACATAACCGTACACATATACATATACATATACATATACATATACATATACATATACATATACATAGACATCCTATTAGCCAATGACATTCCCATGATTGTCCCATGGATTTACCACGTGTTCCCCAAAATTGGGGGCGTTCTGCAAATGGGGGATCCCGAAGTCGCCATGGATTTCAATACGAAAATTTAGTCTAATGACTTGGATGATTTGGGCGTACCCCCATGACTTAGGAAACCCCCATGTGGAAATATGGAATACCCATCCATCATTTGTAGATCATCTTCCTAGAAAAACTATGGATTTTCCAAAGATTGTCAGTTAGATATCCTAGTATCCCATGATATCATCCCATATTTTCCCTGGATTTACCACATGTTCCCCATTTGTGCCATTCAAAATACCCGCCCTATCCCATCTCAGTATTTCACACTATAGTTGCTTGAAATTCCGGTGTCCCAATCCGGGTTGGGGCGTCAAAATCACAAGTCAATTACGGGATGGGACCCCTTCAGATAGCGAGCCAAGTTCTATGGTTTATGGTAGGTATAATGAACTAGTTAATGTGGCTAAAACAATCAGAACAATCCCCAATTTGACCATTTTTTTGGTGGTATGTTTGCCATTCCCAGTCATGGGTGGTTTATTATTGGTTTAACCACATTACTAGTTACTAGACTAATGACAATAAGGTCTTAACAAAAGGAATTACCATAGGAATTACCATGATTTTGGCATATTTAAACCATATTGAGATATAAACCATAAATATACTATGAAATATATATATACATGAAATACCATATATATATAGTGTATATATATAGTGTATATATATATACATATAATGTTGCATAAGTTTACTATTTAAACCATATTGAACTATAGTTAATGGTTTTTATAAAGCAATTTCTAACCAACCCTCCCGCTCGGCACAGTGGCACCGGCATCTCCGAAGGCGTCATCGCCAAGGCTGAGGAGGCCAGAGCGGAGGAGGACACTGGGCCTGGACCAGCCGGGAACGGCCGAGCCTGGGAGATTTGGGTGAATTTTCGCAAGAAAAATGGTAAGTCATGGTGAAAACCATGGTGAATCACCGTGTTTTAACCCATTTTCCTGAGATTTGGGTAAATCATGGTGAATTTATGGCGAAAATCTTTGGTTAATGACTAATAACATCATGGTGAACATCATTGTGAACATCATGGTAAACATCATGGTGAAAACCATTGTGAACATCATGGTAAACATCATGGCGAAAAATCATTGTGAACATCCTGGTGAACATCATGGTGCACATCATCCTGAACATCATGGTAAACATCATGGTGAACATCCTGGTGAACATCATGGTGAACATCATCGTGAACATCCTGCTGAACATCATGGTGAAAATCATGGGGAACATCATGGTGAACATCATGGTGAACATCATGGTAGACATCATGGTGAACATCCTGGTGAACATCATGGTGAACATCATGGTGCACATCATCGTGAACATCATGGTAAACATCCTGGTGAAAATCATGGTGAACATCATGGTGAACATCATGGTGAACATGAACATCCTGGTGAACATCCTGGTGAACAACATCATCATGGTGAACATCATGGTGCACATCATCGTGAACATCATGGTAAACATCATGGTGAACATCCTGGTGAACATCATGGTGCACATCATCGTGAACATCATGGTAAACATCATGGTGAACATCCTGGTGAACATCATGGTGCACATCATCGTGAACATTATGGTAAACATCCTGGTGAGCATCATGGTGAACATCATGGTGCACATCATCGTGAACATCCTGGTGAACATCCTAGTAAACATCCTGGTGAAAATCATGGTGAAAATCATGGTGAAAGTCATGGTAAACATCATCGTGAACATTCAGGTGAACATCCTGGTGAAAATCATGGGGAACATCATGGTGAACATCATGGTGAACATCATGGTAAACATCATGGTGAACATCCTGGTGAACATCATGGTGAACATCATGGTGCACATCATCGTGAACATTATGGTAAACATCCTGGTGAGCATCATGGTGAACATCATGGTGCACATCATCGTGAACATCCTGGTGAACATCCTGGTAAACATCCTGGTGAAAATCATGGTGAAAATCATGGTGAAAGTCATGGTAAACATCATCGTGAACATTCAGGTGAACATCCTGGTGAAAATCATGGGGAACATCATGGTGAACATCATGGTGAACATCATGGTAAACATCATGGTGAACATCCTGGTGAACATCATGGTGAACATCATGGTGCACATCATCGTGAACATCATGGTAAACATCGTGGTGAACATCATGGTGCACATCATCGTGAACATCATGGTAAACATCCTTGTGAAAATCCTGGTGAACATCCTGGTGAACAACATGGTGAACATCATGGTGAACATCATGGTGCACATCATCGTGAACATCATGGTAAACATCATGGTGAACATCCTGGTGAACATCATGGTGCACATCATCGTGAACATCATGGTAAACATCATGGTGAACATCCTGGTGAACATCATGGTGAACATCATGGTGAACATCATCGTGAACATCATGGTAAACATCCTGGTGAGCATCATGGTGAACATCATGGTGCACATCATCGTGAACATCCTGGTGAACATCCTGGTGAACATCCTGGTGAAAATCATGGTGAACACCATGGTGAACACCATGGTGAACATCATGGTGCACATCATCGTGAACATCATGGTGAACATCATGGTGAACATCCTGGTAAACATCGTGGTGAACATCATGGTGCACATCATCGTGAACATCATGGTAAACATCCTTGTGAAAATCATGGTGAACATCATGGTGAACATCATCGTAAACATCCAGGTGAACATCCTGGTGAAAATCATGGTGAACATCATGGTGAACATCATGGTGCACAACATCGTGAACATCATGGTAAACATCATGGTGAACATCCTGGTGAACATCATGGTGAACATCATGGTGAACATCATGGTGCACATCATCGTGAACATCCTGGTGAACATCCTGGTGCACATCATCGTGAACATCATGGTAAACATCATGGTGAACATCCTGGTGAACATCATGGTGAACATCATGGTGCACATCATCGTGAACATTATGGTAAACATCCTGGTGAGCATCATGGTGAACATCATGGTGCACATCATCGTGAACATCCTGGTGAACATCCTGGTAAACATCCTGGTGAAAATCATGGTGAAAATCATGGTGAAAGTCATGGTAAACATCATCGTGAACATTCAGGTGAACATCCTGGTGAAAATCATGGGGAACATCATGGTGAACATCATGGTGAACATCATGGTAAACATCATGGTGAACATCCTGGTGAACATCATGGTGAACATCATGGTGCACATCATCGTGAACATTATGGTAAACATCCTGGTGAGCATCATGGTGAACATCATGGTGCACATCATCGTGAACATCCTGGTGAACATCCTGGTAAACATCCTGGTGAAAATCATGGTGAAAATCATGGTGAAAGTCATGGTAAACATCATCGTGAACATTCAGGTGAACATCCTGGTGAACATCATGGTGATTATCATGGGGAACACCGTGGTGAAAATCATGGTAAACATCATGGTGAACATCATCAAAAACATCATGGTGAAAACTATGGTGAACATCATGGTGAAAATCATGGTAAACATCATGGTAAACATAATCATAAACATCATGGTGAACATCATGGTAAACATCATCATAAACATCATGATGAAAATCATGGTGAACATCATGGTGAACACCATGGTGAGCATCATGGTGAACATCATGGTGAACATCAAGGAGAACATCATGGTGAACATCCTGGTGAAAATCATGGTGAACATCATGGTGAACATCATCGTGAACATCATGGTAAACATCCTGGCGAAAATCATGGTGAACATCATGGTAAACATCATCGTGAACATTCAGGTGAACATCCTGCTGAACATCCTGGTGAACATCATGGGGAACATCATGGTGAACATCATGGTGAACATCATGGTAAACATCATGGTGAACATCCTGGTGAACATCATGGTGAAAATCATGGTGCACATCATCGTGAACATCATGGTAAACATCCTGGTGAACATCATGGTGAACATCATGGTGAAAGTCATGGTGAACATCCTGGTGAACATCCTGGTGAAAATCATGGTGAACAACATGGTGAACATCATGGTGAAAATCATGGTGAACATCATGGTGAACATCATGGTGATTATCATGGTGAATATCATGGTGAACATCATGCTCAACATCACGGTGAACAACACGGTGAACATCATGGTGAACATCATGGTGAACATGATGGTGAACATCATGGTAAATATCATTGTGAAAATCATTGTGAAAATCCGTTGCACATCATGGTGAACATCATGGTGGAAATCATTGTGAAAATCATTGTGAAAATCATTGTGAACATCATGGTGAACACCATGGTGAACATCATGGTGAACATCATGGTAAACATCATGGTGAACATCATGGTGAACATCATGGTGCACATCATGGTGAACATCATGGTGAACATCATGGTGAACATCATGGTGAACATCATGGTGAACATCATGGTGAACATCATGGTAAATATCATTGTGAAAATCATTGTGAAAATCATTGTGAAAATCCGTTGCACATCATGGTGAACACCTTGGTGAACATCATGGTGAACATCATGGTGAACATCATGGGGAACATCATGGTGAACATCATGGTGAACATCATGGTGAACATCCTGGTGAAAATCATGGTGAACACCGTGGTAAACATCATGGTTAAAAATTATCGTGAAAAGCATGGTGAAAATCATGGTGAACGTCATGGTGAACATCATGGTGAAAATCATGGTGAAAGTCATGGTGAAAATCATGGTGAAAATCATGGTGAACACCATGGTGAACACCACGGTCAAAATCATGGTGAACATCATGGTGAACATCACGGTGAAAATCATGGTGAAAATCATAGTGAACACCATGGTGAACACCACGGTCAAAATCATGGTGAACATCATGGTGAACATCACGGTGAACAACACGGTGAACATCATGGTGAACATCATGGTGAACATCATGGTGAACATGATGGTGAACATCATGGTGAAAATCATGGTAAACATCATGGTGAACATCATGGTAAATCACCATTTGTTTACCCATGTTCCCGAGATTTGGGTAAATCATGTTGAATTTTTGGTGAAAATCTTAGGATTATTGGTTAATGACTATTCATAACCAATGCAAACAATGATGAATGGCGAAAAAAAATGGAAAGTCAAATTAAAAAACAATGAAAAAAAGAAGCATGACTTTCCAATAATTCATCTTGAATAACCCTCTGATGTGTTCAATGGGGACAATCTTTGATGACAGAAATCACTCGTAAATAATTGGGGTTTATCCTCAATCAAAAGCAAACATCTGTGGGGTGCTGTGATGTTCAATTTCCATACGGGCAGGCCAACCATATGCAAACATCATAGATGCCTGCACGTGTATCTGTAGATGTTCGAAACCGAAATATATATATATAGTAAGTATATTATATTATATTATATATATAACATATAATATTAAATATTATATTATATATGAAATATACACATATATTATATTATATTATATTATATTATAATTTAATATATGATATTATATTATATTACATTATATTATATCATATGATATTATATCATATTATATTATATTATATCATATTGTATCATTTTATATCATATCATATTATATCATATTATATCATATCATATTATATCATATTATATTTTATACATCTATACATGTCATATCAGTACAAACCATGGACATGTCAAAACCACGGAGATGTACCCGACTAACCAGCTGCTGGACATCCAGCGACCGGCCTGACGACCTCCGTGGCAAGGGAACTTCGGTCGCTTCCTCACATGGAAAATGGGATCCGGTGCGGTTCCAGAAATTACGTCATTAAAATGTTCAACTTGACACGTACCATATAAATCCATATGACATTATATGCATATAATATATATATATACAACATGATCATGCCGGTAAGAGACTGGATGTATGGAGATAAGCTACTCCATAACGAGCATGGAGACGGAGAAAAATGGAGAAAAATCAGTTTCAGATGTCAACTGGAGGATGGCCCTCTATGACGTTGCAAAATCCAGGACGGCCCACTGGCGGTGGGAGTGTCAAACAAAGTCTTGTTCGCTACAACGTGATGTTGAGCGCAAGCAACTAAAGGCAAATGAAAGACATCAATAGAACGTGATCTTGAACCACTGCTCTACATAAATGAGGAATTGTTGGGAACTGTTTGTTACTGGTTGCTGGTTTCAATGAAAAAGATTGATTATTCCCAATATATGGAAATTCAAAAAATTCATGTTCCAAACCACCAACCAGAGGTGGTATGGTACCCAAAACTTTGGACTTTGACTGATCTTTTCCAACCAGATTATGATTGAATGATGTTAAATGCCCAGGGTGAATCCTCCCCTGGGTTCCATCTCCAGTTCAATTTGGATCGCTCCTGAGTGCGTTCACCTCCTGGCGAGGCCCAACCAATGCCCCACAGATGTGGATCGATCCCCATATTCATGCGCCTAATATGGAGATATCACAGGATATCACAGTTGTGTCATCCCCTTTTTTTGGATGATGATGATGTGGCATACAATCTAACAATCCTGACTTTGACCATGGCGCATGACACCTGCGCCTATAGTTAGTGTATTCCGGAAAAAATCCTAGGTATATCTCAGGAACTCGTTGTAGCAACTCAAAGAGAGGATAGCAACACATCAGGGGAGTCTCTTTCTGATGTAGACCTCCAAGGAGCGGGATTGGGACGTGGTGTCTTGCAGGTTCTGCATGGTTCTCTTTGCGTTGCATCGTACCCCAAAAAGATTGTCCTCAGTTCCAAAAAAATTGAAGCGAGGACATGGCCCAAATACATGTTGAAACCTTTGAACTCGGTTGAAAGCGGCCAAAGGATGCGGTTCTTGGGACTTGTGTAACTTATGTATTCGTCTCTGCTTGGTTTTTTTCCCTTTCTGAAACGGTGGTAGTGGCCCCATTCTTGCAACCACTGTCCGGGCCCTCCATTCGTCTCCTGAAATCGTCGGCACATTGGTTCCCAAGGTGCGAGTGTCGAGAGTAACAGCCTCGCAGCACTGCCGGACATAGGTATCCCATGCGACCCTGCCTTTACCCTCTGGTAAACGTGTACATAACTGTGGAAAATCACCATTTTTAATGGAAAAACTCACTATAAATGGCCATTTTCAATAGCTATGTTAATTACCAGAGGGTACCAATCATTACCAATCATTACGCTCAAGAATAGCATAAGGCGCCAGTAACGGCCTCACAGTGAGCACTGATGGACATACGTATTCTCCCGGATCATATTGGCAAATTCCCTAAAATGAGTTTGTGTGAGAATCCCATGGTTGATCATCATTCCCATTATAGAATATGTATATAACTTGCCATGCTTGATCTTATACTCTACAAGTAGCTCTGGATAAGTCCAATTTTGAGGATGGGTTCAAACCCAATACCCCCTTGTGAATATCAAACTAGCTGGGAATTATGGATGTCCATCCGCTTAAAATTGTATTTATAAATATCTGTAGCCATTTGAGTCATGGTCAATACATGGTTTATAGGGGTATGGTCATGCATCCCATTCCACGCGAAGTATATCAATCCCAATGAAAATTGATTGATGTTCATCCCCCAGCATGAGTAGATCATGGTATATCATCCCAAGTTTGATGATAGTTCTGATAGTTGGTATGTATCCCATCTTATATCCCCACAAATATCCCATCCTGGGCATGGGTCAAAACCTATTACCATAGCTTGGGGAATTAATATCCAGCTATACCAACTATGACTTAGGCTAGGGTGCCAGGGCTTTGACTCATAATTATTATGTCCAATGGTTAAATCCAACTTCCACGGTTCCACCACCAGGACACCAGGGCAGCTGCCTCAGTAGGATCTTCTGGTGCCAGCGGACTGGTGGGCATCTCTGTTGGCACCTGGCCAACTGTGGGTCAGCTGAGGGTCATGAAAATTGGGGGTTCGGGGTTAGCCATCAAAAATTGGTTTCTGTTAGGATTAGGATGGCTTAACTATCATTGAATGGGGACATATAATGATGTCTATAATATATATAGTGTGTGTGTGTACTAATATATATATGTGCTTCATATACATATACATATATGTACATATGTGTATATATATATGTACATATGAATATATATATATATATGTACATATGAATATATATATATATATGTACATATGAATATATATATGTACATATGAATATATATATATATATACATATGTGTATGTAAGTGTATATATATATACATATAGACATAGACTTATTTGCATGTGTATATATATATCGCCTATCCATGCGCATCCAACATAAGTCAATATAATATGAAATACCCCCAATGAAGGGCCCCCAATTCATGAATAGATCCAAAATGATCAAATACTAAGGCAAGGTTTCGTTTGGTGGGCATTCAATTTTTGGTGAAGGGTTTAATTTCCGAGTTAATGTCAAATGGCAATTTGAAAATTGCTTGGCTAGGGGTATGGCCACTCCAAATCCATAACTCGATAACAGGTCATTATACATGCCATTTCAGGGCAATTACCAGCAACACTGAATGATTGTGAAAAAGAGTAAAGAAACGCGGGTGTTCCGAACACAACAGGGTTCCCCCTGATTAAGGGATGTTACAGACATGTACACTCAATTGTTACAGTCATATCGTCATTTGACGGTATATATTGTTTTATATATATATGTATATATATTGTTATATATATATATATTGTTATATATATATTGTTATATATATATATACATATATTCATTATATGGTGTGTATTTATATAATATCATAAATTGTTCCAGTCATATGATAATTTCATGTTTTGACCCATCGCCTTGGCGGGTGAAACCTGGCATCCGCATGTGGAACATGGATGAACATGAAATAGGTTCCATATAGTCATTTGATAATTTCATGTTTTGACCCATCGCCTTGGCGGGTGAAACCTGGCATCCGCATGTGGAACATGGATGAACATGAAATAGGCATGAATAGACTACAAGTACTTTAGTAGAATATATATATATATATATATATATATATACGTATATATATATATACATATATATATATGGTTCCCAGCAGCTTAATCTTGACCCAATCCCACCTTAGGAAGCCATTATCAATTCATATCTCGAGCGTGCGAACAACAAGCTATTTCCATTGCAGCTATTACAGACCAGGAATTGCACAGACACCATGAAAGACAACAAATTCATAAAAACTTCCATAACAGCAAACCGCTGGTATTCCAGGTTATATAAATCTCATCAAACAAACCCTGTCGTGTTCCCCCAATCAGTGCCAATCAGCCAGATACCCTGCAACAAAAATCTTAGCTGCTTAGTAGATAATCCCATTGATACCAAAAAGACTAAAGGATTAAATTGATTGGTACCATAATTGATATTCATAATCCCATAATCCCAGTAGATAATCCCATCTGCATCCCATTAGTCCCTACCCATCCAGTCGATTGACCTAGCAATTTGGTCAACCCCGACCCTCCGCACCGGCATCTCTGAGGGCGAAGGTATCGCAGAGCTCATCAAGCCCGAGGAGCCCGCAGCGACTGGCAGAGACCGGAGTCGTCTTCGAGTCTCGTCGTGACCAAGAAAAAATGGCATGACTATCCCCGTTAAATCACCATTTCTCCCCAATTCTTGGTGGTTTACCCTCTGAACTGACAGGTTGCTATGGAAAATCCATTTAGATAACCACGGTTTCATGGCCTTCAATACCCTTACATTCTTGGGTTCATGATAAATTTGGGACCGGTTTTAGGGGAAAAAATATAGGAAACCATTGAGTATCAATCATTGGTGTAAACTTTGGCATTTTTTGCTACACCGTCCACGAACAGTTTCGAGATGTTTCGAGCCATAGGGTTGTTCAAGTAACAACTGGGCGCAAAACAAGACGAGTTCCTTTTGGAAACCGAAATCCACCATGGTAATTCTAAGTTCCCTAAGCTTTCCATAGATTGAGTGGGAAAATGATCTCCAAATCTTAAATGGTCGATTATGACGTTAGATTCTTCCACGGTTCCGATGAGGCCAGTCTTGGGCCAGTCATAGGGTCATGGGCGCCTGATGATCCATATGGAATAGGTTCCAAAGGTGGCACCTGCGAGACAAGTGGAAACTTCAGGCTATGATCTGCTGATTTTGGGGAAAATTTGGATAAATGGAGCGTAATTCCATTGGGCTTCACATGTAACGAGGAATTCAAGCAACCCTGGTTCAATGGCACCACTGAACGAACGCCGCAATTGCTGGTAGCGTAGAAACACTGGTGATGAAGTTCCCTTGGAATGCTGGTCTATCCTACAAGGTAAACTGACTGTCCATGTCCCTCAGAGTTGCCTATGTAGGGGTTGATTGCAGTAGGGGGCATTGATTGCATCCACTTCTTGATGGTTGTGACCCACAGCCAAATATCCAGGAGGCGAGTTTCGCTGCAGACCTTTGACAGCGCGTAGGGGATATACATATAGAGGGTTCCTAAAATATGGGTACCCCTAAATCATCAATTTTAATAAGATGTTCCACTATAAACCATCCATTTTTGGGTATCCCCATTTCAGGAAAGCTCCATATGACCACATAATCGGCCAGTGCGTCCGCAAGACATGGCTGCTGTTTTTGCTCATGACCAAACGGTGGGTAGGTTGCATGCTCTGAATTCTCTCAGCCCCTCCAGCGCCTCCAACGTAGGTCCTGACAACGGACCAAACCAACGAGGCAGGATCAGGAAACCGAGGAAACCCCAAAGTTGATGGTTGCAAATGCACAAATTGCCAAACTCAGACCCGGCCCCAGAAAATTATTAAATACCTACCTGTAAGACTAAAATCAAAATATATACGAACACCCCTAAGTCTGCACAGAACCTACACATCATTCTGTCTTATTCATGTTCAATCATCATGATTTTTATCCCCAGACACCTGCCCAATTACATAAGTCACAATGTTAAATTTCAGGCTCTTCGTTGTTATTTTGATTCTGGTACTACAATGAATAAAAACTATGATCTTACAATTTCAAGGCTCCCTAGTCTTAGTATTACAATATAACACAATGTTCGAATTGAAGGCCAACCTAGGTATTTCGCCGCGCCTGACGTCACCGTGGGCCCCGTTCTTGTCGTTCTTGTGACCGTGGCTGTAGGCACCTGGAAGGTATGGTGCCTAAGCCCACCATGAATGTAGATCGGGCCATCCTGGGCTTTCCCCATGGGTTGTGTCAAGAAATCGTTTTTAATCCAATTCCTTTCAACAAAAAATTGAAAGATCAAAATCCAATGTGTTGATATTGTGTTGACAATTGAAAGATCAAAACCTGAAAACCATTGAAAACCTAAAGCCTTTTTGGTCTTTGGAAACATATGGACGATGAAACGGGAATTGACATCCCATCTCTTGTTGGTCCTGTCCAAATCGTTGCTGGTGAGTCACCAGGGGTTGCTGGGATCGAAACCATCGGCAAACCAGAAGTTACCGGTATCACGATCATCACCCGATCATTTATGGTGGAACCTCTCGAACCATCTATTCATTGCGAAGATTTGGATATGTATTGCTGGTTAGGACTTCCCATGTTACTTCAACAGCCCCAACTCTCGGGAAAATCCAGGGTTTTTTAGGTCGAACAAATAGCCAGGGTGGTTCAAATCCAACCCCAACTGGCTAAGCAGTTTGCGTTGGGCCATTGACCCTGAGCACATGTTCTACCCAGACTCACCTAAAATCAAGGCCAATCGTAGACCACCAAAAACGTAGCTAGGTCATGTTGGGTGGTACATACCACCATTCCAATCTACCAATCTACCAGGGTAAATCCCCAGAAATCTACTAATCCAGGAAGCACCAATCTACTCAACCAGCTTGTCATAGGGAAAATTCCACCATGGGATTTTCCACCCACCTCCTGTGTGGATTCCCGTGGTGTGGCAGTGGGGCTGGATGGCATCTCAGTGGGAACCTGGGGCACCAGGCCAGGTACAGCCCGAATGCTACAGCCGTGCCATGTGAAATCGTATATCTGTACACCCTATATATGTTTGTGTATATATATATATATGTATGTACATATGTATATGTAGACAATAATATACATATGGATATATATGTATAATATATATATATATACAATAATATACATATGGATATGTATGTAAATATATATATATATATTATGAAAACATATTGCAATATCATAACCACACAAAGTGCGTGCACATTGTATATAATATAGTTGGATAACCCTGCCAGGAAATAGAAAATCACCTAAACAGCAAACCCAGCTAAGAAAGGGTAAATTAGTGTGACGGGAATATTACAATTAAACCAGGTTGCTGGTTTTGAAATGGCTCTTGAGTTTACTTGCAACACCTCAATTTAAAGACTCAACAAATCAGCAAATTTTCCAAACAACAATCCATTGAATGGCCCTGGTAAAACAGTTCGCCCTGCAGTAAATTAAGACGGACATGGCAAACCCCACCGTGAATATAGATCATGTTTAGAATAATATAGAATAACCGTACCCGCTGGTAATTTAACAGTTTGCTATTGAAAATGGCTCATAGAAATAGTTGATTTACTGTTTTTTTAGATGGTGATGTTCCATAGTTTTTTGTATGTTTACCAGAGGGTAGAATATACAGTAACCGATGTCTAGTACACCCTCTAGTAAAACAGTAGTAGTAATGGGTAATAATGGTTATATCTAACTGTAATAGTGATGAAATATATAGTTATTATTGGAAAAATATATTACCAGTAGTACCCGCACGAGGCGGGGCGGAAGTTGCCTTAAAGATATATATAAGATCTTTCTCATCTATAGAACTTGCATGCGCCGTGCGCCAGCCAAGCCCGTGCGTGCGTGCACTCTGCGAAAATGGTGTTCTGTTTCACATGTCACATTTGAAGCTCCACTTCGCCCTTCACACTTCTCCCTGCACCCTTCCCAATCCACACTTCACACTTCACACTCCACACTTCACATTTCACACTTCACACTCCACACTTCACAGTCCACACTTCACACTTCTCACTTCTCACTGCTTCCTTCACACTCCAAACTTCACACTGCATTCTTCACGCCCCACACTTCACACTGCACTCTTCACACCCCACACTTCATCTCATCTGAGCTCCTCTCACCTTATCCCAGCTGAGCTCTTCTCATCTCATCTCTTCTCGTATGTCATCTACGCATAGAACTACGCCTGTCTCAGAAAAAAGAGCTTTTCTCGTATGTCTCAGAAAAAAGACGATTTCGAAGCACTTTTTAAAAGAATTTTTAAAAGGAAAATTATTGGCGCCAAAATTGAGAAAATCTGCTGACAATTCACTTTCGCAGCCTTGATGCAGCCATTCCAATACGATTTACGATCTTCAGCTGCAAAAGACAATAGTATTACGCATGCAGCCGTAGCACCGAGCAACCTTGACGCAGCCACTACAATGCGTTTCGCAGCATCCCGTAGCAAACCTACCCCTATCTACGCACGTGGCAACACCAAATGACAACAATCATGCAGCCATTCCAATGCGATCTGCAACCACAGCTCCAAGAACCGCATAGAACTACGCACACAGGAACAACCACTCGTTGCAAAACACATAGGAGGAACAATTCGCGCATGAAACGGCCCCAGCCGCACCCGCCGCACAGACGAGGTACCTTTCATCGCCGGCTGCAGCCACTTTACACGCAAAAACACAAGGTTTTGTGCTCCGGCTTCCTCCCCAAAACATAGCCCATGCAACATTCATGCAGCCATTCCAATGCGATCATGCAACCAGAGATTCAAGAACCGCATAGAACTACGCACACAGGAACAACCACTCGTTGCAAAACATAGGAGGAACAATTCGCGCATGAAACGACCCCAGCCGCACCCGCCGCACAGACGAGGTACCTTTCATCGCCGGCTGCAGCCACTTTACACGGAAAAACACAAGGTTTCGTGCTCCGGCTTCCTCCCCAAAACATAACCCATGCAACATTCATGCAGCCATTCCAATGCGATCTGCAACCACAGCTTCAAGAACCGCATAGAACTACGCACACAGGAACAACCACTCGTTGCAAAACACATAGGAGGAACAATTCGCGCATGAAACGACCCCAGCCGCACCCGCCGCACAGACGAGGTACCTTTCATCGCCGGCTGCAGCCACTTTACACGCAAAAACACAAGGTTTTGTGCTCCGGCTTCCTCCCCAAAACATAGCCCATGCAACATTCATGCAGCCATTCCAATGCGATCATGCAACCAGAGATTCAAGAACCGCATAGAACTACGCACACAGGAACAACCACTCGTTGCAAAACACATAGGAGGAACAATTTGCGCATGAAACGACCCCAGCCGCACCCGCCGCACAGACGAGGTACCTTTCTTCGCCGGCTGCAGCCACTTTACACGGAAAAACACAAGGTTTCGTGCTCCGGCTTCCTCCCCAAACATAAGCCCATGCAACATTCATGCAGCCATTCCAATGCGATCTGCAACCACAGCTTCAAGAACCGCATAGAACTACGCACACAGGAACAACCACTCGTTGCAAAACACATAGGAGGAACAATTCGCGCATGAAACGACCCCAGCCGCACCCGCCGCACAGACGAGGTACCTTTCATCGCCGGCTGCAGCCACTTTACACGGAAAAACACAAGGTTTCGTGCTCCGGCTTCCTCCCCAAAACATAACCCATGCAACATTCATGCAGCCATTCCAATGCGATCTGCAACCACAGCTTCAAGAACCGCATAGAACTACGCACACAGGAACAACCACTCGTTGCAAAACACACAGGAGGAACAATTCGCGCATGAAACGACCCCAGCCGCACCCGTCGCACACACGAGGTACCTTTCATCGTCGCCTGCAGCCACTTTACACGGAAAAACACAAGGTTTCGTGCCCCGGCTTCCTCCCCAAAACATAGCCCAGGCAACATTCATGCAGCCATTACAATGCGATCTGCAAACACAGCTTCAGGAAACGCATAGAACTCCCACGTCCCCACCTCCCTTCCTCACCACTCCCCTTCATCACCACTTCCCTTCATCACCACTTCCCTTTCACCACTTCCCTTCGTCACCACTTCCCTTCGTCACCACTTCCCTTCGTCACCACTTCCCTTCGTCACCACTTCCCTTCGTCACCACTTCCCTTCGTCACCACTCCCCTTCGTCACCACTCCCCTTCATCATCACTTCCCTTCTTCACCACTTCCCTTCGTCACCACTTCCCTTCTCCACCACTTCCCTTCGTCACCACTCCCCTTCATCATCACTTCCCTTCTGTGATCTACCACCCTTCGTCAAGGTCAACTGCATAGCTTCTTATTCTTTTGTTATGTATTGTTACATTATGTATTGTTGTGTGATCTACCACCATTTTGTTATGTATTGTTATTGTTATATGTAGTGTAAAGTCTCACACCACCCTTCATCAAAGTCAATTCTTTTCTGATGTATTGTTATGTAGTGTAAAGTCTCACACCACCCTTCATCAAGGTCAAGTCTCACTCGCGCACCACCCTTCATCATAGTCAATTCCATCAAGTAAAAGTCATTCGTAACTCGGAAGTATTGCTTCCCAACTTCCTTTGATAACCATAAACCCCGGTTCAAAAAATAGCCCTCCCCCTGGGTTCCCCCAGCTGGCAACATCGAGGGCGAGACCGGGGCGGAGCTCATCAGAGACGATGAGGCAAAGGCCACGGCTGGCGCAGGTGAATGCATCACCATGGTTATTAGGATGGTACCCCCATAGCTGGATGGTTTATTTCATGAAAAAACAATCTCAAATGGATGATTTGGGGGTACCCCTATTTTAGGAAACCTCCATACAGTACCCCCAAAAAAAAGAAATAGAGAGAAGTAAATCATCACTAGGACCTGGTAGGACCTCACACTACCGCATTTTAGTAGGACTTTACCAAGTTTTATCATTTTAGGGATTATTATAGTGATTGGGATGAATTTATTGGGGGTTATGGGATGATCTATGGGATTTATATGGATCTCGAAGTTAGTGAGTTCGATTCTGAGATGATAGGACTATTGTGGTGTGATCATTATTGGGATATGCAAGGTGGCCCCCCTAAATAAAGAGAGCTGGGGACTGTGAGCGTGCGCTTTTTTAGACATTGCAAGATGCTGAGTATCTTCATCTAAGCGTCAGTTGACACATGCCTCTAAGCCAAAACCCTCATACTGACGAGATGTCCATCAAATGTATGACTAAAAAAACATATTAAACATGGTTGAAGACAAAACAAAACTAGTTCTTCACATGCGCAAGCAACACAATACATAATTGGTGACAACACTGCATCGAGAAAAACCCTCGTCAAATGAGATTACCGAGGTAGATTTACCTTTCAGCCGTGTGTTTTTGCAGGGGCAATATCCAAACAAAATATTAAGTATTCCTTAAAAAGTTGCACCATGCCCTTCGAAGGAGTGCAGTGTGCATTTCCAGATGTCTAACCCATTTAGAAAAGTCAATATTTCTGCATAATATAATATATGCAATATTATTGACATAGAGCATCCCTTTCAAAAGTGCAACATGTTTGAAACTGTGGGCACCATTAACGAATGCTCTTTCGCTTCTTACCACTGAACAACAGAATATTGTCCTGTATGGCAAAAAAAAGTCTTCCTGTGGAGAAGCAGCATTCTTGGAAAACTGGATTACTTTTGTTTGACATGTGTACTCTTCCCCTTGGTCCGATCAGCCCAGCCTTCATTTAGACAACTCTTACTTGTTTTGCCAGCCCTTCAAAAGACCAACAACGAACCAGAAAACAAGAAACCAAGAAACCCAAAAACAAAGAAACCAAAAAACTAAAAAAACAAGAAACAAAAAAATCAAAAACAAAAACAAAAAACTAACCCCAAGGAACCAAATCTTTGTTACTTTCATGAGTCTGTTTTTTTTGTGTTTCTTGTTTTTTTGTTTTTTAGTTTTTTGGTTTTTTGGTTCTGTGGTTTTTTGTTTTTTTTTGTGTGTTTTTTTTCCCCCTTTTCCTTTTCCCTTTGCAGCAGATTGGCATGGGCCAACAGACATGCAGAAGATAAACAATCTTTTTTTCTAGATACTTTGAGGAAAACTATTGCAAAATATTGCAAATTTGTGCACGCTGGTGGTGCCCTGTTCTGTCAATAAAGCCTGGTTTAAAACTATTTTACACCCCATCAACTATACTATATCTACTACAGACCCACTCTTACAGTAACTCTAGTCAATCATCAACTTAGCTATCTAGGAGGCCCCACCTTGCAGGAATGATTGTGGAATCTAGAGAAGATGTGGATAGTGAAGAACAGTCAACAACCTGAAATGTTGGGCCTTTTACCTTCATCGGCTAATCTGGCAATTCAAAAACGGTGATATCTCTTCCATACGATTTCAGTTGTTTCAGACGATGTTCATATGGTTTGTTCCTCATATGTTCCATATATTTTTATCCATACCTTGCCCTCCCCACAGCTCGCGCCTGATCGCACGGGAACCGGCACCTTGCTGGCCTTAACAGTTGGCCCCCGTGGTAGCAGAAAAATTGATGTAATTTGATGGTTTACACTTTTACACCTATAGATGGTTCAATTCAAGAATAATCCCCATCTGCTTTGGATTGTGGAGTATCATAGTTCTAGTACATACCCTCTGGTAAATTAACATAGATGTCGAGAAGCCACCAAACTAACATAGATTATGTTCCTAGGAAAACCATTGATGTTCCACATCTATGTAAACGTTTACCCCAGTGAATTATAGTAAGAGCTATCATGGTTTTGATGATTATCATTTAAGCGATATGATAGTTTAAATGGTTTAATAGTAGCTGGACTAGTTATCAGTGATGTTGGTTTCTAGATTAAAAATAGTTGTAATAGTGTGTAAAAGATTTGGCATGTTCCATATCGTTTCCTCGAAAATTGTTCAAGACACGTCGAATCAGCTACACTGAATGTGTCGATCTTCGCTGTGCTTGCCTACGCGGGGTGCTTGGGATAGTGTTGAATCCAATCGGCTATTCAAGCGGCAAGTCTGCCTGGGGCAATCTATGAAGAACCACCTTTAGAAGTTCTTCTCGACAATTGTGAGCAAGAGTGCTCTGCCGCTGAGTGGAGTCCCGCTGTTTAAAAGGGCGCCATAGCCCGCTTGCGAATATATCATATTAACACGATCTATCCTCATATCAATAATATCATATTAACTATATCATCATACTAATATTGGATATTATCTATCCTCATTTATTTTTAAAAAAAAAAAAACTCCATGATACCACCATTTGGATGCGCCTCTGTCGGTGGCGAGGTGGGCGATGGCCTCTGAGTTGGAACCTGCAAAAACTCGTGGAGGGATATTGACCAACAATAATGATATAGATATAGACATATATAGATTTAGATGTAGATATAGACATATATAGATATAGACATATATAGATATAGACATAGAAATAGATATAGACAAAGAAATAGATGTAGATTTAGACATAGATATAGAAAAGGATATAGATATAGACATAGATATAGATATAGATACGGATAGATAGACAGACAGACAGACAGATAGATAGATAGATAGTCAGATAGATAGTCAGATAGATAGATAGATAGACAGATAGAAAGATAGATAGATAGATAGATAGACAGATAGAAAGATAGATAGATAGATAGATCGATAGATAGATATGGAGATACATAGGTATAGAGATAGATAGACTAGAAAGAAATAGACAGATATAAATAGAGGTAGATAGAGATAGATAGATATAGATAGATTTAGATAGATATAGATATAGATAGATAGAGATAGATAGGTGTAGAGAGTGATAATGATAGTGATATAGATAGAGATAGATAGATGTAGAGTTAGATATAGATATAGATAAAGATACGTATAGTTAGAAAGATATAGATACAGATACAGATATAGATATAGATATAGACGTAGATATAGATTTAGAAAGAGATAGAGATAGAGATAGATGTAGATGTAGAGATAGATATAGATAGACATATATATATATAGACATACATATAGAAATAGATACCGATGGATGGATGGATGGATGGATGGATGGATAGATAGATAGAGAGAGAGAGAGAGGATAGAGATAGATAGATAGATAGTAGATAGATAGATAGATAGATCGATAGGTACATAGATAGATAGATAGATAGATAGATAGATAGATAGATACATAGATAGATAGATAGATAGATAGATAGAAAGGAAGATAGATAGATAGATAGATCTAGATAGATCTAGATAGATCTAGATAGATCTAGATGGATATAGATGGATATAGAAAGGTATAGGTAGATGTAGATAGGTAAATATAGATACAAATAGATATAGATAGATATAGATAGATATAGGGATAGATGTAGATATAGGCATAGATATAGATATAGAGATAGACATATATATATATATAGGTAAAGATATAGATATAGATGTAGATATAGACATAGACCTAGATAGATACAGATAGAGATAGATATAGATAGATATTGAAAGATAACGATAAATTTAAAAAGATAATGACAGATAAAGATAAAGACAATATAAAGATAAAGAACAAAGATAGATCAAGAACAGAGATAAATAAAGAACAGAGATAGATAAAGAACAGAGATAGATAAAGAACATAGATAGATAATGATAGATCATGATAGATAATGATGGATAATGATAGATAATGGGAAATAATGATCGATAATGATAGGTAATGATAGGTAATGATAGATAATGATAAATAATGATAGATAGTGATATATCATGCTATATCATGGTGTATATATATATATGTAGAAATATATTTATATGTGTAGATATATACATATACATGTAGATATATATACATATATTTATGTAGAAATATAAATATATATATGTGTGTAGAAATAAAAAATATTTGTGTGTATGTATGTATGTATGTATGTATGTGTGTGTCTGTATGTATGTATGTATGTATGTATGTATGTATGCATGCATGTATGTATGTATGTACAGTATGTATGTATGTATGTATGTATGTACAGTATGTATGTATGTATGTACGTACGTACGTACGTACGTACGTATGTACGTATGTATGTATGTGGCAGATTGTCAAAATGCTGTTTCCCAGATTATCCGGAAAATGGTCGTTTACTATGGGGCCCGTATTAAATGGTTCACATGTGGCATGACCTCCCCTCATGTATGTGGAAACGTAGTTAAGCTGCAAAACGTGTGAAAAAAGCACTAGCGCGGTGAAATTCCAGGGTCAGCAACAAAGCCCGAACGCAATGCTTTTCGAGCGTGCGACGAATCTGACGAACTGGAGCTGTCTGACTCTGTACTATTACTAGAGGTGTCAGAGCTGCGGACCACTTTCCTTTGGCGGTACCGCTTCGCCTTGACGGGCCAAATTTGCCTCATAGCGGGCGATCTTCCGCTCGAGGTTGGACATTTTCTGCGCTGCTGCCATCGCAGGTTCGTATGATGACAGATGAGACTCTTGCTCGATCAGCGTATCTCTGCCACCGTCTTCTGGGAAACTTCTTTTCCATCGCGTCGACATGTAGTAGCCGCGGCGCCACATAGCGTCTGAAGGAGCAATTTCTCGAGTCAGCCTGCAAAGAAAACGTAACAGCTTTGGTCCTGTCATAGTCAGAGAAGTGTCCGTCTCGATATCTCACAAAGCGCTTCTTTGGTCCTGCGCGCTGCATGTGAATACAATAGCTCTTCTTGATTTGAAATTCATCGACTTCACCTTTCCAAGCATGGGTCGGCCTGCGATCCTGATCCCATTTCAAGATCAGATAGCGCATGCCACCTTGGCTGGGCGGGTCATTGACCATATCTTGTTCTGCACCAGTTTGTCGAAGGAGGCCGTCTGAAGATTCCAGTGATGCATCCGGCACCATGAGAGCTTTGCGAACCCATGTAGAACAAATGAACAACGAGTCGCATTGACCCTTGCCATTTTTTTTCCCCAAAGTATTGCAAGTCACATGCAAATCGTCCCGGTTCTCAGGCTTGGCCCACTCCGTGCCCAGATAACTCAACAGGTCAACGCACCGGTAATGAGGTCCACAATCGAACCAGAACGAGATAGTCTTGCAACCCGCCAGTGACCCAAGCCTTTTCTTCACCTCAAGAAGCTGCGCACAAGCAGCTAAGCAAGTATGGTCAATGATGTCGGAGAGGAACACAATGCCAGTTTTGAGCGCAGGGCCAGCAACTTGACCTTTGTAGCACACAATGCCGAGGCAAATGACTTCTCTCCGGCTCTGTGCCCAGTAAGCATCTCCTGTTGGGACATGTCTGAGGGGTAGTGTCCAATTGGCTTTCCAATCGACCCAAATCAATAAATCATTTGGGGCCAGCGAAGAGATCTGCTTGTCCACTTCTGCAGATTGCCTGTCTGCGCACTCCCGATGGAACTCATATGCAGAACATACCTTCGGAACCCATCTCAAGTCGTGCTCCCACTTCGCTTCTTCTGAGTGGAGGTTGAAGATTGAGGAACGCCTCTTCGCAGCTGCAAGTTCTTCCCGGTACTTCTCTGTGTGCTTGTTGATGTAGCTGAGATACGATGAACACAGCTCCGTTCCAGCTCTTGGTGATCCCGGATTCCATTCACCGGTGAAATGTTGAAAGTACGGCGGGTACAGCTTGCTGAGGCGATCCCGCACTGTCTCGATGCAGGAATGCATTTTCCTGAGTGGAACCGAACATGCAAACATGAGGCGTGAATGAATGTGAGAGGCCCAACAATGCCTCACCCTTGGCTGACTGGCTCTCATTCAAAAGCTGATTCTCAAATCGCAGACAGTCTCGTTCAGCTGAAGCCATTTCGGCCCTTTCGCGTGACTCATCTAGTTGAATCTTTGGGATGGTTCTTCTCTTCTGCTTTCGAGAAGACTCTGGCCCAGAGCGCTTCGCTTTTTTGGCGCTGGGGGCGGCAGCAACCACCGCCTCGCCTCGAGAATCGTTTCCCACATCCCTCTTCTTGCGATTCTGACCCGAGATGTCAGCTGCTGCCATGGCGTCAGCTTGGTGATCACCAGCTCTAGATCTACGCGAAGCGATGGAGTTTGTGATGTCATGTCTTCTTTAAGGCACATGCAAATATATCTGCCCAGGACAAATCAGTGTGAAAGGAAGATGGGCTGAAACTTGCCTCCACCCTCTGTTTCTGACATGTTTGCGGCCTGTTTCGGGCCTTTCTGGGCGGTCTCTTCGATCCAAAAAAAGAGATAGAAAACACACGGGAACCTATTCACCTAAAGTGGATGGAGGGAAAATGACTGTCGATCTTCCTGGAGGCAAAAACATCCCAACGTCACGTGAAGTGGTGAGCCAATCTGTGGCCCTAGCAAGCCACCAGTCCTGCTGCAGTTGCGAAAGCCCTCTCACAGCAGCAAGCGACAGCGTTGATGCTCCCACGATATCAATCCTGTGACACAGGGAAAGCACACTTCAACAGCCTGTCTTCGATTTCCGATGCAATATGAAGAACCCGATTTGGGACAAATCAATCTGAAAGGACGATGGATGGATGGATGGATGGATGGATGGATGGATGGATGGGCTGAATCTTGCATCCACCCCTTGTTTCTGACATGTTTCTGACCTGTTTCTGACCTTCCTGGGATGCTTCTTCGACCCATCACAAAAAAACGAGACCCTACTCTGGAGAAATAGAAATTTTTAATAGAGTGTGGTTGGAGGGAGAAGTATTGTCAAGCTTCCTGGCTGCAAAAACATCCCAGCGTCATGTGAAGTGGTGAGCCAATCTGTGGCCCTAGCAAGCCACCAGTCCTGCTGCAGTTGCGAAAACCCGCTCACAGCAGCTAGCGACAGCGCTGGTGTCTCCCACGATATCAATCCTGTGACACAGGGAAAGCACACATGCAAGGGTTCAACAGCCTGTCTTCGATTTCCGATGCAATATGATGAACCGGATTTGGGACAAATCAATCTGAAAACCAAATGGATGGATGGATGGATGGATGGATGGGCTGAATCTTGCATCCACCGCTGTTTCTGACATGTTTCTGACCTGTTTCTGACCTTCCTGGCATGCCTCTTCGATCCATCAAACGAGAAAACAAACGGGAACCTTCTCTGGAGAAATAGAAACAGAGTGTGGCAGGAGGGAAAATTATTGTCAAGCTTCCTGGCTGCAAAAACATCCCAAACGGTGAGTCCCTCTGTGGCCCTAGCAAGCCTGCAGTCCTGGTGCAGTTGCGAAAACCCTCTCACAGCACCAAGCAACAGCGCTGGTGTCTCCCACGATATCAATCCTGTGACACAGGGAAAGCACACATGCAAGGGTTCAACCCTGTCTTCTTTTTTTCCGATACAATATGATGAACCGGCTTTGCGACAAATCAATCTGTAAGGACGATGGATGGATGGATGGGCTGAATCTTGCATCCACCCCTTGTTTCTGACATGTTTCTGACCTGTTTCTGACCTTCCTGGGATGCCTCTTCGACCCATCACAAAAAAACGAGACCCTACTCTGGAGAAATAGAAATTTTTAATAGAGTGTGGTTGGAGGGAGAATTATTGTCAAGCTTCCTGGCTGCAAAAACATCACAACCTCATGTGAAGTGGTGAGCCAATCTGTGGCCCGTAGCCAGCCACCAGTCCCGGTGCAGTTGCGAAGGCTCTCACAGCAGCAAGCGAGAGCGCTGGTGCCCCCTGTGACACCGGGAAAATCCGATGCAATATGATGAACCGGATTTGGGACCACATGGCTGAAAATTGCCCCCGCCCTCAATTTTGAACATGTTTCTGACCTGGTCCTGACGTTTCTGGGCTGTCTCTTCATTCCAGAAAAAGAAAATAAAAGGGCACTTACTCTCGCTATAGCGGGTCCGAGTCAGAATGTCAATTGTGCTGGCTTCAAACACATCTCAACGTCACGCGAAATGGTGAATCTCTTTGTAAGTTTAGAAAGCTGCCAGTCCTGCTGAGTTGCGAAGGCCCTCACTGCAGCAAAGAAGAGCGCTGGCTTCTCCCGTGGTATCAATCCTTGGGCGCCAGAGCACGAATGCAGGTGTCTTAGATTCTTAGATTTCCGGTGCAGCTTGGAATTCGGGACAAATCAGAACCTTCTGTTTCTGACCTGTTTCTGGCCTTTCTGGATGCCTCTTAAAACTTGAAACAGAAGAAGAAGAAAAAGGATGGGAGCCTACTCGCGAGACACTGACAGAGAATGTGGTAAGAGTGAGCATGTCAATCTTCCTGGCTGCTTGGAAATCCCAACTTTTAATCCTGAAAGGGGGATCACGTGATCTATATAGTGAAAATGTTCAGTCAAGGACAGTATTTGCATCAAGAAATACATGTCTGCTTGCAACTGAACTCTGCGCAATTAGTTTTCACGCACTTCCATCCATGGAGATGCGGCCCCGTAGCTGAATCCCCTGCATGTGTTTTCACATGCAACCCCGGAGTCACTCTATCGAGATCACACCACAAAAAAAACACTAGTCCACATCTTGGACCGGTGCCCGCACAAGGCGGTTTCGCTCTCCGGCTCGCTTTCGCTTGCAGTCTTTGCAATAGCGACCCGAGGGGAAGCCCTTCTGACATATATACCAGTGCTGCACTGACCGAAGTCTATTGCAGTTAGCCCCTTGGGTTGCGGTTCATCAGCTGCTGACGGGCCAGGTTATCCTTCTTCTCCTTCTGCAGCATGGCCACCAGTGTCTCCAAATGAGCGAGCCTCTCAGCCATACCTTCGTCATCCACTTGTGGCTTCCAAGCTGCGAGGATCTTCTCCAGGCTCTGGGAATGCAGCTTGACCCAATTCACAGAGCCCGCGCGCGCTGCACGGGAACAGGGACAATCTGCACAGCATGCTGCAGCCGCCAGGCATAGCACCCATTAGGGAACCATTGGGAAAGCTCATCCTGGCGGGGCAAAAATCAAGCAAAAGCATCAGGAAACTGGAAGCAACTGAGCACACAATGCGGCCCAAACTTTGCAAAATCACTTCATGATGCAAGGCCAAAAAAAAGTAACAACATATATTCCCTGCAAGAAAATATCGCACTTGTCTGTCCTTTTTCACGCAGTGCTCAGCCTCCATGCCCATCAAATCGTCCAAGGTGTAAAACTCCGAGGAAACAATCCTGGGCATGATTGACTAGCATGTAGGAAAGCAGCTCGGAAACTATGTTTTGATTCTGATGGGGGGCGGTTGAACTTGAAGACGCTACCTAGATCATGCCAGCATTGGTCTTCCAAAAATCAAGATGGAACCGCCTCAATTTCCTGAAGTGGAGGCCTCGCATAAATAGTTCTTGAACCGCCGGCTTTGATGGCTTGAGGTCAGACACAGTGGCTGCGCCAATGCAAAGGCATTCATTTAACGGCCAAGAAACTCAACGACGCTGGTTACAGGGGATATACCGCTTTCCATGAGTGGCACTGGCCCTCTCGCCTTGCATTCGAAACTCCGCAGCTCAACCACCTTGGCGCCACTAAAACCATGCACGTCCCTAGAAACCCGCAATACAATATGCATATCTGTGATATGGGGGGGGGAAGGGTGGGGTGGGGTGGGGCAATAACGTTCATGTCAAGTGGCACACGCATGGAATGTATGTTGTGCAGTCAGGGTGTGGATTGGTGGGGTGGGGTGGGGCAATAGCGTTCATGTCAACTTGAACACGCATGGAATGTTATGCATATCTTTGATATGGGGGAAGGGTGGGGTGGGGTGGGGCAATAACGTTCATGTCAAGTGGCACACGCATGGAATGTTATGCATATCTGTGATATGGGGGGGGGAAGGGTGGGGTGGGGTGGGGCAATAACGTTCATGTCAAGTGGCACACGCATGGAATGTATGTTGTGCAGTCAGGGTGTGGATTGGTGGGGTGGGGTGGGGCAATAGCGTTCATGTCAACTTGAACACGCATGGACTGGGATCTTCTCTTGCACTTGCACACACACGTCATGCTACGCTCTGGCATCTTCTCTTGCACTTGCACACACACGTCATGCTACGCTCTGGGATCTTCTATTGCACTTGCACACACACACACACACGTCATGCTACGCTCTGGGGTCTCCTCTTGCACTTGCACACACACGTCATGCTACGCTCTGGGATCTTCTCTTGCACTTGCACACACATGTCATGCTACGCTGCGGGTCTCTGTATATATACATCTATAAATATATTTACTGTCCTATGGACGCGCATGGAAATTCCAATATCAGAAATGACGATCTGTTTATATGAGTTCATATTTGTAGGTATCTATTTGAACATTCCAACCGCTCACCCAACAGGATCGTTCCCCGCAATCTCTGCTTCCTTTTCTTTCGCACCTGTGCCGGTGCATGTCTCAACAGATTGCCGCATTGCATGTACAAACTCAACACCTTGGCTGAAGAGTCAACCACAGCTGGAAGCAAGCTGGCTTCTCCGCAGGCTAAAGAAAACTTGGGGTGATTGAAGAAGCCATCCTTCTTCAAGCGCATCCAACATTCCCATGGATCATCTTCGATTTTGCCCAAACCAATGCGAAAGCTGTTCCAATTTTTGTTGGAATCAACCTGTCTCTTCTGCTCATATGTCCTCCGCACGTTTTTCTTGGTGTATGCCTTTCGAGCAGCCAGTTTCCTTTTTTCTGTTTTCCTAGTTTTTCTACCTGGATTCGCTCGAGCGTTGTCTCTATGACGACGTTGCAGCTCTGCCCTCAACCGTCTGATTTCCCTTGCCGCTTTGGGCTTGCAACTCTCTAATCGATGTCCAGAACGTCCACATCCCAAACACTTGCGACTCATGGCTCAGTCAGTGGAATATAAATGACATCATAGACACTTGCATGCAATACATGAAATTTCTCCTCCCGATGTCGAAATTTAATGTGCCAAATCATACACGAAACACAATGAAAAACATGTTTTTTTGTCATCCCAAAGTTAGTTTCGGACGCTGTCATCTTCAACACTGAAATGAATGAAAGATATGTTAACAATGAATCCATGATGATCTGTCAAAAAAACAACATGAA